TAAATAAATGTTATAGAATATTTGGTTTTTTTTTCTGATTTCTTTATTAGAATATTTTTGACTTTTTAAAGGTCAACAACAAGATATTCGGCTGAGGCGAATATATTTCCATTTGACCCTTCTGATCTTATTCTTCGTGAGAACTAGCCTGGTCTTGTGGCATAAAATGGCCGATGACAATGTTTTCTACCCCAGCTATAAGATAAATGCTGTTTCACTCCTTTCTCCCCTAGCTATGCCCTTTAATGGTGCCGACTTGATATCTACCAGATAAGAAAGGGTTCAAGGCGCAAGAAATTTAAAGACCGGAACCCTCATATCTGATGCGTCATATCTGTGTACTGCAGTGGGAGGAGTGGGAGGAAATCAAAACAAAGAATGGGCAAGGAATCATTTTTGCGGGGGCGGGAGAATAAGAATATTGCTATTGTACAGTGAAACCCTTGATAACGAATACATCGGAAGAATTTATCAAATTTCGTCTTGACAATATTTCAATGAGTTTTATACTATTACGTAAATTTCAGTATTTGCGAAAATAAATAAATAGCCATGAATATGCGGGAACAGTTTTAAAGAGTTCAATATAATCATTTAATTAAAAAACCAAATATCTGCAAAATTCCATTATCAGAAAGTGAAGAATACAACATTTGATGAATTTTTTCGATGTATTCGTTATTAAGGGTTTCACTGTAAATATGAACATCATGATTTATGATTATGAAATGCACTCTGTTCCTTAAAATCGTGTAAGTAAGTTTTCCAGGAGATGAAAATTATATTTACCAAGATTAACTGTATCAGGATGTGAGACAATATTTTAAAAAATTCAATTGTTGAGGTATAAAAGCAAATTACATATAAAAAGAAACCCTTAAAATGTAAATTGCATTCCAGGAAGAATTCAGTAATACAAATATTTTTTATAAATAAGACGACATTCTATTGTGCTGTATGAAAAGACTAGTTGGGTTTGTATACTTGAAATAGATTATCAAGTACAGTAGTTGGCAACAGAGAGATGGACAAATTATACGCGACGTCACAAGTGTCAAATATAACAAGGAGAAAGAAATTTTCTCACATCAGTTGACATATTTTCCAAGATTAAATAAAAAGAGTGTAAAAACAGAAAATAAAGAAAACATAAAATTGCACTTATTTTACCGTAAAATAAGCACTTTATTTCAAAATTATCACTATTATTAATAATTTTGTCGGACACAAAAACTAAGTTGACACTTGTGATGTCAGAATACAGCTGTACTGAGAGTGTACACATTCTACGTTGCCATCTATTCTATTAGAATCTATTTGGTATACTTAAACTATGGGTGTTGGTCCATTTGGGTACAGGCTTCAAGTAAAAAGTATGCTTCCTAAAATTTGAGGACATCTTTAAAAAGCAGAATTTTCAACCACCCCAATCTTTTTGATCTACCCCAAGGAGTATGGAATAGAATGGAGATACAACTGACGCGGCCCGCCCTACCATACGATTATGCATCCTTTGCAGACGGGTACTCCATTTGTATAAGAAATTTTCAGAATAGGTTATTGTATACGCGGTATAATTGCACATCAGACAAATATTCATCAATCATGTATAATTCTATTCTATACTCCTTGATCCACCAAACCGTGTAAACTTGAAATATCGTTAAATGTGCTTTCTTAGTTTCCTATTCTAGCAGTGGCTTACACACATACAATTTATTAGGTTAGTACATGAAATTGATCAATTCGCAAATCTTTACTTCCCGGACAATATATACTGACAATACTAGGTTTCCAGATAGAAAAGAGAAAACAACAGAAAAACTAAAAAACACGATCATTTCAAAACGTTCGTTTAATTTGCATATTTTTCTCTCAGGGTCAAAATTTGGCATAGTACAAGAAAAGCAAACGTTTAAAATAAACAATTTCACTATTTTGTGAAGCCGCTAAAAAGTCCAACCAACTTTTTAAAAAACGAACCAACCTGTCTCGCATCGCTTTGACAAGGAGTGACTACAGACCCGTTTCTCTTGATGCTACAGGTAACACATTTCCTTGATAACAACATCACTAAACATCATATTATTGAAATGTCTTCTTATTTTACAATTATATGCATGTTCCAATATAGGTTTTTAATATCTATGTGAAAGTTAAAGCCTTGAACTTATCAACTTAATACTTGTTGGTAGTTTGCTATCTTTTCGCCGGATGAATTAGAAATTCTTATATTCCTCTAAATTAATTTTCCAAAAAACACTGTGTGGCCATCCCTAGCACTTTCTCCGGATTCAGCTGTACTCTGATAAAGCCGGAGGCTCGGAGTTTAGTATTGAGTCCTCTGTCGGGAGGATAACACTCACACACATACCCCCCCCCCACTCATTGACAATCACCTCTTCCAAACATATTAACACTTTTTTAAATAAAAAATACATAAAGACAGTTTCTATTACTTTTTTTGTTGGCCATACATTGATTTTTTTAGATAAAATGTATCAGCTCAAACAGTTTTATTTTAACATGATAAGTAAAAAACAGTGAGTTCACCACATAAAGGTAAATAAAAATATATATATTTATATTTAGATAAATAAAACACTAATTTGAAAATCAAGGATGTTTGAGAAAACAGGCCAAGTTTACTAATTATAGAAATAAGTTTTACATTTTTGCCCATTTACTCCAAAACATGTATCTTTTGAATAGGCCTGGGCATTGTTTTTATGTATTATATGTCATACATCTATGTATACATACATATCTATGAGAACTTGCTTGATTTGGTGCAGCAGCAGAACTAAACCTGTAAATCTATGTACCAATAACAATAAAGACCTAGGTGAATCTTCCTGTAAACCTTTAAACCAATGACCCCATAGACCAATCTGGGGCGTTTGCAGGAATTTGTCTTTTGTATATGCACTTGAGACCTACGCAATATATGTTTAAGCATACAAACTAATAAGCTTATTTACTAAAAAACTTTACATCCAAATTAACACCTATGCATACAATCCTGTTAAACCTTTAGATTTGTAAATCCATACCTATCATAGACCTTCAGGTCAGGGCACCCACAAAGACGAGAGACGATTGAACGCAATTTATTTATTATTATTTCTTACGTGGTTGGTTCAGTGCAGCCTTACACGACTTCATTATCTTCACCAAATCATTTAATAAATCATATATAGACTATTTTTAAGAAATTTTATCCCAAATGACACCATCTTCTGTCATATTCAAAGAGTGTAAGGTCGGATAAAAGTTCAATTCTTTGTAGGTGGTAACCCTCTTTTCCAAGATAAACTGTTTATATTTAGGATGAGGCGGCGTGGAAAGGTTGGGCTAGGATTGGCCCTAGTTTGGTTTGGTGGAATGGTCTACTATATTCAGATTACAAAAGACGAAGTAATAGAATTAAAAACATATTAGTTTACTTTTTTTAAAGGGACATTCTCCAGAGGGAAACCGTACAATTTTCAAAATTGGAAACTTCCCAAGTGTACAATTTCTTAAATGACAAATTTCTTTGCTTAAACGCTCGCTCCCTAATATACCTCCTGGCACGGCATAGACTCGTTTATGGACAGCTTTGAGATTTAGTTAACTAGAAAGCTTCCTTTGGGACAATTCTTTTAGTAAATTACCTAACACCCTAAATGAGATTTTAGTCCAAACCCTTGAGATTTGCCATCCTCCCATCGTTGATGAAAGACCATCTAACCATAGATATTCTTATTTTGCAGGAAAAGAATCGAGGAATTATGCTGAAACCAAATCTAGATTCTAAGGCTATAAATAAACCTGGATCTAGGTATTCACAATATTCATACATGGTTACCCTCAAAGGATTAGAGCTAAGAGATGATTTAGTAGATTTTGATAATATATTTTGGGTCCCTCCTTTTCAGCTTTTCATTGGTTTCTTCTTAGATGAATCGACTCATGCAATATAGTATAGGGTTATTCGCAAATCATGAGACTTCAGAGACGACTGTACGTAATTCATTTTGCTCATTTTCTTTATATCCAGGTACCCAGTAACTGGACACGCATCTTTTCTAGATCATGTATTATACCCGTTAAAAACTATAGATCTGGTCCAAATTAAACCTTTAGATCTTTAAATTCAAAGTTTTTAGGTCGTCGTTAAAGTCTCATTTAATGTGGGTAACCCGTATAACGTTATAGTACATGATACTGATCTCAGTTGTTTTTAAAGTTTTTGGCCTTTTTTTTTGAAGGCTTGTAGCCTTGTTCACCTATCTAATAATTATCATAATATAAATACCCAAATTTCTGCACTATAGGAATAAGAAAGTCAATTGCAAAGCTCATTTAGGTGCCTTTTTCTTTTTGTAAAAAAAACGAAATTTATATTTTTAAGTTTCGTTAATTTTAGAAATATTTTCCGTAGATTGGACCAGTATACGATGTAGCAATGATAAAACAGGGATTTTAATTTAAATCGGGTGGTATATATATATATATATATATATTAATAATAAACTGAATATTCATGAAATATGCCGAAATTATATGAATGAAATAAAGTATTTCTTTTTGAATAGATAGATGTAAACAAGGCCAACTGTTAACTCAATTAATGGAATACATACATACAGGGTGTCCCACATAATATTGGATCGTGCTTAAACTGGAAACGAAAACAACATTTTTTTGAAGATTTAACTTATTTAAACCATTATAAAAGGCGTTTTAAAAATTTTCATAGAGAAAATACACACAAGGATCTTTGAGTATTTTATTTGTAATCTGGCTTACAAGCTTGGAGATTAACCAACATGATATGGAACACTCTTCTACATGACATATGTGTTATGTATCGAATATATTTAATACCTATACTTTTTTAGCTAAACAATATTATTTGCATAATCTACTTCATATCAATAATTTTGATATAAAAATCGCGAAGTAACTGATTTTCAGATTCGTTTTTTGTTGCAACTATGTCGTAGTCCTTAGATATTTCAAATTGGGAATTAGTCCAGATCAAATGGTCAAAGTTTGAAATACCAAAGGTTTACATCAGCTCCCTTAAAACAAAACTTTACCACCAATTTTATGTTGTATATTATGTTTAAAGTAAAAAAAAGACCTTTTAATCAGAACTTTATCACCTTTGGTTACAAATCTACAGTGTTGTGATCAAGTATTACTGCAACAAAGTTTTACTTCAGAAATCTACTAAAATATATCTAAAATATATCTAAAATTCATCTAAAATATATCTAAAATATATCTGAAATATATCTAAAATATATCTAAAATATATCTAAAATATATCTAAAATATATCTAAAAATCACTCAAATTTGGTTTTTTGTCTATACATTACTGTATAGAACATTTGGATTTATGTAGGAAATCCGTTTTCCACAATTCCATCTCCATCTGCAGGAGACAAAAGTTCCGTAGTCTCAAATTCTCCTTTTTCCTAAGATCAGTGCACCCCACCTGCACATTGCACATGCACATTCGACATCTTTTAAAGCTGATGGTGGCCACTTCGAACATTTATAGCACATAAAGTAAATGTTTAGCGGTGTTTTGTATTTTTTTGTATGAATAAAAATGTAAAAAGGTTTATGTATTTATTGATTTTTGATCCATTGTTGCAGTAATACTTGTTAGTTTGTTTAATTTTTATATTATCATTAATTTCGCTTTATTTTCAGTCCCAATGCAGATCTAAGCTTTCAAGAACGATCAAAGCCTCAATATTTTGACGAGAAGAATTATCTCAGGAAAGATTCATTCATTCATATACAATCGGTCTTAACCTTGAAAGGGATCGCCAAAGCGGGGGAAGGCAGGCGGCCATGAGCCACCACTATTTTCCTATCCGTGCCACATATTAGCTTTTTTCTCTTCTGGTAGCCATGAGCCACCACTATTTCCCCTTCCGTACCACCACATTTGACTCTTCCGGGCAAAACTACTTTTTAAATGGTATATTTAGAATGGGAAATAGTGGTGGCTCATGGCTGCCGGAAGAAAAACAAAGCTAATATGTGGTACGGAATGGGAAATAGTGGTGGCATATGGCCGCCTGCCTTCCCCCGCTCATCGCCAACGTAATTTTGATTTTTTCTTTATTCAAACATTGCAACAATCGATGAAAATTGATAGTGACAATGTAGGACGTTGCCAGAATTTAACAGGTTCAACACCGTAATTTGATAAAATCTCCCGCACTGTTGTTAGTCCCGTTGTCAGAATTTAACAGGTTCAACACCGTAATTTGATAAAATCTCCCGCACTGTTGTTAGTCCCGTTGTCAGAATTTAACAGGTTCAATAACGTAATTTGATAAAATCTCCCGCACTGTTGTTAGTCCCGTTGAGAATCGAGATGAGGTCTTACTTATATTTATGCTTACAGGCCCTTTAAAAAAATAATTTCCTCTAAATTGCCATCTCAGATTCGGATGAAATCAAAATCCCTTTGAACGATTTAATGGCTTTACGCTTTAAGTTAAAGATAATATTTGTCTCAATTGAAACTTTTTGATATTTGTGAGTGAACCTGGAATTATGGAAGAAAAAAATATATAACACTTTTTTTAAAATGAATGGTGCTGTTTTTTAGAAATGGACTGCCAACTGGAGAAGATCCCTATAAAAAGAATAAATTCAATCAGGTAATAATAAATAATCTATCTTGATCCTATTAAAGGAATTGATTATACTTGTCACAAAAAGGGTATATCTTCCTCATAAGTTCTTATACTTCATCTAGTTTTATTTTCTAAAGTATGCCCTGTATATTATCGAATGGTGTTCTGCACACACACTTTAAAAAAAAAACTAGATGTAAAAATCAATTATAAATAAACATTTCAAACATTTAAATTCCTATGTCTGAAGCCGAAATAGACAAAAACAAATTAATTTGTTTTGGCACTATTGAAAATAGTTTGAAATATCATTTCATTAGAAGCAGTATTTCCCACAGGCTAATACAGACTGCTCATACGCTCTGATGGTATACCCTTGCAGGCCTATTTGTTGTCCCGGCACGCCATGATACTTTTCCATAAGGTTTTTTTTTGTTGCATATAATACCCATTTAGGGGTTTTTGCAGATTTTGTATTTCGTATCCAAAGAATCCTTAATTATCCCTGAATACAGATGTCTGTAGGTTGGTCGTGTACTCCAGTTGTACACAATGGAACCTGCTGTGGAAAATATCGCATTTACCAGCGTGTGTGCAGTCTACGGTATCTCCATAGATAAAGATAGATTGCGCATAAGACAACATTTTTCATCTTGAAAGATATAAATGTACAGAGATGTTTTAAAGATATTCCTATTATATAGATTAACTAGGTCGGTTGTGAACATTGGCTGTTCTTATGTCATTGAGTACTTGTGGTGTACATGAGTTCTGTAGAGAGAAATTTAAGTTAGTTTAGTCCTTCTTATGACCTTCTTCAGTTCTCGTCAATATGATATATTGCTCAGTGAAATAATTTGATATTCTCAAAATAAAATTCACTTCTGAGTGGTTTAATAATCATGAAAACACCAAACCACCCCACTTATCATTGAAGTACACTTTGACCCCTAGAGGTATAAGTTCGCGGACTGTACAATTCTTGGTGATTTTGAGTACATAAGCTATCTATGTTTATTTATTTATCTATGGGTATCTCTAAAAATATCTCACGTAGTCGACCCCCTTTTTGATCTCCAGCTGGCGCCCCTAAAGTTTTCAAGATACATCCTGGCAAGAACACCATTCAGGGATATACAAGGCATACTTTGTGGTTGTACAACTCCTTTATAAGATTAAAACCCATCTTTACTATAGTGATAACCAGAAAACACACCATTTGTACAGATGAAACAGACCAATTTCAATAAACTAGTGATATATAAGCGCCTTATAAAACTATTTGCTTTGGAATAGAGTCAAATACACTTCAGTATTGCAATATTCTCCTCTTCATATTCCATTGTTTTCTGGTTATCACAGTATCCGGACAATTTTACTTACAATATGTTTAGAAACAACACTAATATTTAAAGTTTTCAGAAAGCTAGCGACAACCTGCCGAGCAACAGGTAAATTTATCATATTGTAAATTAATAACTTTAAAGTGAGCTTTTATTTAACGATTTTCATCAACAATTCACAACTAGATATTAAAAAATATAGTTTAACTAAATATAGATTTTTTTCAAGATGAATTTTTTCTTCGTCGATGTTTATATTTTGCACTTCTTTTTGGGGAAAAAATGAAAAAATTTAAATTGCTATTTGTATACGTCGCGTTGGGTTCTTTAAAATATTTTTGACCGTCCTTTCAGATGTTGGTAAAAAAATCCTTTTAAATGTAGATAAGAAGAATATTTCACAGATACTTTCAAAGAATTGCCTTTCTAAAGTGATTTTTATATATTACTTTTATAAAAAAAAAACTTGTTAAAACAAACCGGAAACCTATTTTTACTTGTGTGTATTAATATAACACTGTATAGAATAAGTGTGTTACTGCAACTGTAACTGTACACTTGCTGTATGATGTACTAGGCTTTTAGGGCGCTTCACGCCCATCTTCCATTTCAATTGTGAACATGTTCTCCTTGAGTATATTGTAAAACAAAAACAAAAGCAAAACAAAAATAGAACATTTTTAGGGGATTTTATAAAAAAAATGTTGTGGAATTTCAAAATTTTCAAACATAGAATTTTTAAGGTGGCAAATTGGGGCCCGATAAGTTTAAAGCCGTTTTGACATTTCTTGTATGCAAACGGACGTACAGATAGACAGACACACAAACAGACAGACAAGCAAAGTATATATAAATAAACTGTACGAGGAAGTGTAACTGTAACTTTACAGTTACTTAATGATGCAAAAACTGTTCAGAGTTAGTGTAATTGTAACTGTACAGTTACTGTATGATCTGTACACACTGTACAGTGTAAGTGTGACTGCACGCAATTGAAACTCTATATTTAACTGTAACTTTACAGCTGCTGTACATTGAGCTATTGGGCTTTTATTGTTGATAATCACTCATGTAATCAATTGCTGATTTAGATAATCTATATTGCATACAAAATATATATTTAGATTAATAATACTGTTTATAAAGATATCTTTATTGCATACAAAATATATATTTAGATTAATAATACTGTTTATAAAGATATCTTTATTGCATACAAAATATATATTTAGATTAATAATACTGTTTATAAAGATATCTATATTGCATACAAAATATATATTTAGATTAATAATACTGTTTATAAAGATATCTATATTTGTGAAATCTAATCTGATAATTTCAATTGTTAAAACTTTTCTTTTTCGGATTAAAAAAAATTGTAATTTGTTTTTAATTTGGCCGGAGTTATGAAGTTAATATTTTACGTGACATACATAAAGCTTCCGGTTTATTAACAACATAAAAGTGCACTATTTTAATCAGATGACATATGGCAGTAAAAAAGTCCAATTTGAAGTGAGGGTTTAAATAGAACCGTGGAAGAATTTAATAGACTATTTTAGGATTATTTTTTTTGTGTGTGTCAATATCTAGCCATTTTATTCCTGGTAGAAATCAGTCATTCGTTTTTTATTGATATTTCGATGTATCTTTTAATAGTTTTGAGTCTATCGTTTTTGATTAAATAAATAAATAACTAAATAAATAAATAAATAAATAAATAAATTTTTAACAGTTTTTAACAGTTTTCAACTGTTTCTTGTGGTAAAGCTGATAATTAACAATTTAGTAGGATACATTTTTCATTTGTTCACATTGGATAAACATTAAAATGTAAACTTTGTTTGGTTAAAATTGTAAGGTTCATTTAATCATCAGATATTTTGCTACAGTGAGAACCAGAAACATTACAGTGTATTTAACGTTATAGTTACAAGTCAAAAAAATTAATTTATAACTTATTAAACCACTTATCCAGTTACATGGGACTGCTTGAGTCTAAACTGTCGTCTTCATATGCCAGAGTTTTCTGGTTATCATGCTGCAAATGAATATTATAAAACAAAATATTAAGTTTAATTCAATTTTCTTAGCATCTGAGACTTAAATGTTAGTGAAGTTCAGTATATTTTATGCCACTACCAAAGTTTAAATTGAATATTTTGTTGTTGAAAGGAATTGCGCAATAATTAATTGCATTTATTGCGTACCAAAAGGTTTCAATTTAATTTTCTTGAAAAATTGAAAAACAAACGCAAGAAAGTTGGACGGGACGGAATTGCGCGCAATTCCGCGCAATTCCAATGCGTTTATTTGCGCGCAATTATACGGAATTGCGCGCAAGTCAAATTCACTTCCGTTGGAAACCCTAGTGAAAACTGTATTATCTTCAATGTGACCCATGAAACTTTGAAATAGGAAAAAAGACTTCTAGACTCAAGTAATGATTTTAAACAGTTCATAAAACATCTATAAATGGTAAAATTTGCTTTAAACAACATCAAAAAGATTTAATGGCATCATCCTATTCCACAATTTTCTGGGTCTTACTGTATATTTTATTTATTTGTTTATATGTTCTATAGCGTGCTGGAACGGAGCCCGACAAATCTGATCAAGGAGATTATCCTGGTTGATGATTTTAGCGACAATGGTAAGAGTTTATATTGTCGGGAACTTTAGATAAGTTTAGTTGTTGTCGTCAGTACTTTAATAAGTACGTTTTGTAGGGTTTAAATAGGAGTGGGTGAAAAAGAATATCCTGCATAAAAAAGTATTTGATCTTTAAATACAATCAAAATCTTATGAATCGGTATTAAGTAACAATTCCTCAATTGCTTGAAGATTTTCAAATATAATATCAAGTACAATAGGTGGCAACAGAGAAATGGACCAGATATACACGACGTCACAAGTGTCAAACATAACAAGGAAAACAAAATTTTTTAACATTGGTGACATGTTTTCCAAGATTCAATAAAAAGGTGTAAAAACAGAAAATAAAGAACACATAAAATTGCACTTATTTCACTGTAAGATAAGCACTTTATTCTAAAATTATCAAGCTATTATTAATAATTTTGTCGGACACAAAACTGAATTAACACTTGTTACGTCAGAATACAACTGTACTAAGAGTGTACAAATTCTACGTTGCCATCTATTGTACCAGAATCTATTTGGAAGATTGTGAAAGAACAAAAAATAAAATAATCAAAATATGTAGGAGTCTTTTTAAATCAAAATAAATATGTTCAGTGAGAACCATTGGAACAGGAAGACGACTTTTAGACTCAAGTTATGACTTTAAATTGTCCAATGAACACGAGACACAGCAATTGTGCAGTGTAAACAGACCCGTTTCACTAAATAAGTGATTTTATAAGTTAATAATAAAACTATTTGCTCTATGACAACATCAAATACACTTAATTATCGCTTTAATATCATTTACCCATTCCAAAGTATTTCATTTTCCCTGCCGAGGATTATTTTGAATTCCGACCGACTAAAACCCTCCCTATGTTCTATGCAAACCAACAGGCAGACAAACATCAAACATCGGGGGTTAAAACACAAAATGGAATGAGAAGAATTTTTTTCTCACTCAAACAGATTATTTAATCTAAGGATTCCAATTGTTCAAATTAAGTCTGAAAATAATGTGAAAACTAATTTTTTCTTTAGCTGCTGATGGAGAGGAATTAGGTGCTATTGACAAGGTAATCTACTCCAGTCATATTTACAGACAGTCAGAGCCAATAAAGAAAAGAAATGTAAGTCGTCTCTGTTTAATGTCTTAATCTTCGCTCTTATATATGTGTTCGCTATAGCTGGCATAACGGCTAGACCAAATTGGATGAAATTTTTGAGGGAACCCATGAGAATCCCGCGTGTGACAAAGGCTAAAGAATCGAAATTTTTGTTTTAGGTTTCCAAATTTTAAACCCAGGTACTTTAGCTGTTAGTGACAAAACTAAATGCAAATATAACCATAAAAAAAAGTTGGCAACGAAATAGATAAAATTACAACTAAAGGGAACCTTGAGTGTGAGAGTAAACAAATTTCAGAATTAAGAACTAATAATACAGGTTGCAGTGTTGAGAAATGATAATACATGTTGTTGCAGTATTAAGAAATGATAATACAGGTTGCAGTGTTGAGAAATGATAATACATGTTGTTGCAGTAATAAGAAATAATAATACAGGTTTCAGAATTAAGAAATGATAATACAGGTTGCAGTATTAAGAAATGATAATACAGGTTGCAGTATTAAGCAATGATAATACATGTTGCAGTATTAAGAAATGATAATACAGGTTCAATTGTTGAGAAATGATAATACATGTTGCAGTATTGACAAATGATAATACAGGTTGCAGTATTAAGAAATGATAATACATATATGCAGTATTAAGAAATAATAATACAGGTTGCAGTGTTGAGAAATGATAATACATGTTGCAGTATTGACAAATGATAATACAGGTTGCAGTATTAAGAAATGATAATACATATATGCAGTATTAAGAAATGATAATATATGTATGCAGTATTAAGAAATGATAATACAGGTTGCAGTGTTGAGAAATGATAATACATGTTGTTGCAGTAATAAGAAATAATAATACAGCTTTCAGAATTAACAAATGATAATACAGGTTTCAGAATTAACAAATGATAATACAGGTTGCAGTATTAAGAAATGATAATACAGGTTGCAGTATTAAGAAATGATAATACAGGTTCAATTGTTGAGAAATGATAATACATGTTGCAGTATTGACAAATGATAATACAGGTTTTAGAATTAAGAAATGATAATACATATATGCAGTACTAAGAAATGATAATACAGGTTGCAGTATTAAGAAATGATAATACAGGTTGCAGTATTAAGAAATGATAATACAGGTTGCAGTGTTGAGAAATGATAAGCGTGAAGGATTAATGAGATCACGTGTTAAAGGAGCTAATTTTGCCACAGCTCCCATCCTTACATTCCTAGACAGCCATTGTGAATGCAATCAGGTCAGAACAGAAAAATCACATAATAAATTGTAAATTTGTTAATTTATTTGGCTTATGGTTTAGAATGTCTGAAGAGTCATGAGGAATCGATTATCTTAAAGTAAAAGGGACTGTAAGCATAATTTCAAACCAAGATGGATATGTCCTTATCACAACGGTATCCCTGAAACCTTTATCTCATGAATAGTGTTTCTAGGTTTAAAAGGAAATAATTTTGATGATTCATGCATGTTTTCATGCAATAGAAATGCACAAGTTATTGTTGTAGAGGACCCACAATTGAAAATAATCAGTTTTTAAAACTATATTTATATTTAATTCATTCTTGATTAGACAAAGCGTTTCGGGTACCATTTGAATCAACATTGACATTTTTGCATAGAATGTACTTGAAATTACGCTTACAATCTCTAAATGCTATTTATGAAAAATTTGAAATCAGATCGACATGATTTAATGTTATAATATATTTTACTTAAAATTGAGAAAAATGTGCTCAAAGGTGACAGAGGTGACATACCTGCCATTTAACCCAAAAGAATTGAATCTACTCGAAATGTATGGCATTGATACAGGGGTGTATATTTTTCAGGAAGAGGGGGGTTCAAATGATGCTTTTTTTATTTTTTGATACCCAAAAATAAATTTATTTTCCCCTGAAAATATTTGATTTACCCAAAATCAGTTTCAAGCATCATAACTTTTTGATGAAAAAAGGGGGGGGGTAGGAGTAAATGATTTTTCTTGATAACAATTTTAAAACTGATAATAATAATTATAACGGCAAAGAAACTGAACATTTAAAAATTTTCTCCGATCTCAAATTTTAAAATGTCATATCTTTGCCTGAAGGTGTGCAACCTTTGATTTTTCAAACCATTTCATCTAGCAGAATTCACAGTATTTCATCTAGCAGAATTCACAGTATTTCATCTAGCAGAATTCACAGTATTTCATCTAACAGAATTCACAGTATTTCTTCGTGATTTGATTTTAAGCAATTTAATCGAAGTGCTCAGGTTTCTGCATAATGACTTTTTTAAAAACTTTTTGTAAATGATACTTACAAGGTGTGTTTGATCAACAATGCGAATTATATTGTAATTTCATTATTTATTGGAGAATTTCCCTGATCTAAATCTTGTTGGAAAGGAAAAGTTGTTAGCGTTTGATTGCATTTAAAAAAATCTGAAACATAAAAAATTTAGTCTTCAACCTGCAATTGAGTAGAATCAAATCATCCAACAATGCAAGAGCTGCAAGCTAGCATTTTTTTTAATTCTTACAGGTCGGCCATTTCTTTAGATATATGAATAAATAAGCACATTTTAGAAACATTATACCAAACAGAAAACAGAAAAAAAGGAATTTTTATTTAATTGCCGAGTTGGTGGTTTCAAGGTGTAGGTGCGTAGCAGAAAAATCGACGATTTTGCAGCTAAAGTTCCTAATAAAATGACGATTTTGCAGCTAAAGTTCCTAATAAAATGACGATTTTGCAGCTAAATTTCAAATTTTCAAACAATGTAATTTTTAAAAATTTTGTCTTTTTAGAACAGTCTTTGCGATTTCTAAAATGATCTAAAACAACAATCTAAATTAAGGATTTAACGAATATTTTAACACTCAAATTAAAAAATGGCCAAAAAATTACGCTTTTCTGTCGGCTACAGATTACAGAAATAATGGCAAAAAAATCATTTTGAATTTTTCTTAGTTTCGTATATTTCTATTCAAAAGAAAAAGAGCACGAAAATTCTCCAATAAATAAAGAAATTACAACGTAATTTGCATTCTTGATCAAACACACCTCGTAACATTATACGATTTATTATTATCTTTTTTGTTTAGCATTGGTTGGAATCCTTACTAGAAAGAGTTCAACAAGATTACAGGTTGGCTGAAAACAAAAATAATAAGAAAATAAATATTAAAATTGTTTAAATTTTATATCTTACATTTGAATATTTAGAAGTGTAGTGTGTCCAATCATAGATGTTATAAGCATGGATTCCTTTCAGGTTGTTGTTTTTAAAGGCATTTAAAGATTTTTTTTAAAATCGTTTTAAGTTTTAATACAATAGCTAAGTAACTTTTTTTTGGGAACGTACGTTTTTAATCTGCTTATTTACGGTTAATTGAACTAACGTAACGGACAAGTCTATTCAGTAAAAAATACCTGTTCTTCACATTAGTAAGATTTTTGATTTGAAATTTCAAAAAATCTTGGTTTATCTTCGTTAGTTAGTTTAGATAATTTCTAGGTTAATATGTCTAAATATTACCATTCATTCATGCAACTTTGTCCAGCCTTAAATATCCTGTGATTTATGTTTTAACACCTAACAATTCATTTTTAGAATTATATGTTTTGACCCAGAAAAGCTTAACTTTCAGTATGTTGGTGCGAGTGCCGATCTTCGAGGAGGGTTTGACTGGAACCTGGTTTTTAAATGGGAATATTTATCAAAGAAGGAGAGAGAGGCGAGGAAAATAGATCCGACCAAGGTATTCCAGATTTACTCTATTTTTGCATATTCACTTTTCTTATGATTTTTGGCGATTCGCCTTTAAATCTTTTTATATTTACAATTGGGTTATTTGGAATCTTTTTTCTTCGAATAATTTATTTTAGTATTCTCAAAGTTTTTCATAAAGGTACTTTATGTGAAGTTATTTTATTTCAGATAAAACCTAAATCATGAAGATTATAGGATCAAAGTAGTTGAGTCTTTGCCAAAAACTCTGCTTTTCTACACCGTATATCTTTGGATTCCAATGTCGTAGTACTTAGATATTTCAAACTATGAATTCTGTTAGATCAAATGATATAAGTTTGGAATATCAAAGATGTACGACATTTGGTTCCAAAGCTTTAGGGATTATGAATTCAGAGTTTGTGGCAAAGACTCAAATCCTTTATAAATTAGAGCTTGTTCATGAAATTCAAAAGAGATAGCATGAAAATAATTAGTCAACCCCCCCCCCCCCGCTGGTTTTGGTCTGGTTTTTTTTCTTCTCAAATATCTAAGAAACAATTTCCAATAAAATTTAAAAACTTTTTTATTAAAATAAAGTATAATTTATAATCTTATTTAATTTTCCATACTTGTAGAATATTCTTCAGAATATCTGTAAAGGTGATCGAGACCCCGATGATTGCAGGAGGACTATTTATGATCAATAAAACATATTTTGAATGGCTCGGAAAGTATGATATGAAGATGGATATCTGGGGCGGAGAAAATTTAGGTAACAATTGAACTCATATATAGCGTGTTTGGAAATATAAATAAACATTTTGTATTCAAGAATACCACAAAATGTTTCGATGCATTCTGCATTCAGGAAATTAGGCAGATTGAATACATCAAAATATTTTTTTTAAAGTTATCTTTTTGTCCTTCGAACTAGAGCAAGGTTTAGGGTAGCCTTTTTTTGACCTTTTTATTTACACTATTAAAAATTTGTCTCGAAAAATTTGGTTTAGAACCAACAAATATCTTGCCATACCACATATTTTTTAATCTTTTTTAGAAATATCTTTCCGTGTGTGGCAATGTGGAGGGAAGCTTGAGATAGTTCCGTGTTCTAGAGTTGGACATGTATTCAGGTTCAAAACTCAAGTTTTTTTATTCAATTAAGTATTCTTCCAGCTCGCCGCACCGGTTTCCTTTTCTTGGTACTGAGCAATCACTATAGTTTCAGTAGAAGTAAATATTTCCATTTACTGTTATAGCGCCGATATAAGAATTTATCTCTAATTGGATAATGAGCTAGATATAAAGATGTTGCCGCCATGCAATTTCTATTGGTTCAGAATAGACACCAAACACATGGCTGAACCCTGATTGGATCAGGCGCTAATGGACTCGGCATACTAGAGTGCAATCACAAGATTGAATTTTGCTAAACAAAGTTGTGTCTGGTAATAACCTACAAATATAGTCTTCGGACTAAAAATATCATCTGCATAAATAAAAAATACCTGTTGATCATACAGCTGATGTCGTTAGAAGATTAATTGATGTTTTTAGGAAACAGCATCCTTACTCTTTCCCCGGAGGTAGTGGTAACGTCTTTGCAAGGTAAATATAATTCTAATTTTTTTTTTTTAAGAATTAATTTTTTAATGTTTATGGGATATTCAGTTGACCCTCCGTTTAAAGACTTACTCGACAAGTTTGCAACAATACCCTTGAAATCTTTGCCCGAGCAAGAATTATGGCCGGGGACATCCTTGTTTTTCTTTTTCAAAATTAAATATTTATAATTGAAGGTTCTCAGAGATAAACAGGCAAAGTGACAGAATTCATCCCTTTTCAGATAAAAAACGACTTAGAAAATTATTCAGATCTCGATTAAAACTTTTAAAATCAAATTTTATTTTAGAAACACAAGGCGAGCAGCTGAAGTGTGGATGGATGACTATAAAAAGTTCTATTACGATGCAGTTCCCTTGGCAAAAAATGTACCTTTTGGAAGGTTAAAATTTTAAAGTCTATATTGATGAATTGCTCAAAATTAAATTAAGAATTTATTTTTCAATTCAGACAACAATAAAATATACTTTCAACCTATCTGTTTCGGCATTTATATTTATACTCTAAACGTAAAAAATAAATTAAGTTAGGATTTTGAAATTTTTAACTAAGAATCAGAGTTCATCACGATAAACGATTTATTTTAAATAATCAATAATAACGTTTTCATAGTTTTGATAAATTTGTCTTTATCAATACAAAAAGTTATTTATCAAAATCAAAAACTTTACTGAAAATATCTTTAAAATATCGAGCATCAATACATATTTTTTCTGTTCCTAGAATGTTTTCTGAAAAATTAGTTTTAAACTATTGTTTAGTATTGAAGAGAGATTGGACTTGAAAACTAAGTTAGAATGCAAACCGTTTGCCTGGTATCTGGATCACGTGTATCCGGATCTAAAAATACCATACAGAGAAGTTGTAGGAGTCCTCAGACAAGGTATGTAGGAGTCCTCAGACAAGGTATGTAGGAGTCCTCAGACAAGGTATGTAGGAGTCCTCAGACAAGGTATGTAGGAGTCCTCAGACAAGGTATGACTTTGTGATTTAAAGTCTAAGTATGAGAAAAGCTAATTTATAAGAAATTCTAATTTTTTAGTCTTCTCAATAAATAAAAAATACATAATTTAAAAGAAAAATATTTCAATCTAACATAAATTTACTTTATAATTTAATTTAAAGTACACTGTATATGAAACAAGTAAAAAATATTATGACACTTCAACTACAATACGAATAATTTGTTTGGAAATAATTTGATTTTTTACGATCCGAGTTAAATATTGCAACTTTCTGAATTTGTATGAACGCTACGTTCTTCGATATGAGTCGTTTTTAACAATTTTCTCCTTATAGACGCAACAGATAGTAGTAGGATTAGTAGCAAACACCATCGAATATTTTTCGACGTTAGCCTATACCCCTTTCATTTTTTTGCAAACACTCCCTTTAACTTTCATAGTAAAAACTCAATTTCCCGGTAACGCTGGGTTCCCAGGCTAGTTTAGTAGTTTATTATACTTATAACCCAACTTCTTTGCATTCGTTAAGTAAATGGTTTTATTCAATTCTTTTTTGTTGTTGTTAAACAAACAAAGCTATCATTTTTCACAAGAACTGTTAGAAAATATTAAATGATTTTTTAATAGATTGTAAACTCCGTAAACAAAGCTTTAACGTAGATAGCCAGTGCCTGGATACACTAGGACATCTTCTTGATGGGAGTGTTGGAGTTCATCCTTGCCATAATGCCGGAGGAAATCAGGTAGATCAGGTAGCTGAACCACGTGGATGTATTTGAACCACATCTTTTTAACTTAAACAAGCTCACAAGAGAAGTGATTCAAAAACGTCTAACCGGTTCAACTATTCATTGAATCTGGTTATGTGAGCTACGTGGCTAGTAACGTCACTACGTATACTAGTTACGGTATTGAGTTACTCTCGTCCAAAGATTGCAACTAAAATTACAATCTAGCCATGAAGATCTTGCTTGCTCCCAGCATTCCGACCGTAGGTATTAAATTACAGTCGTCTGAGGTTATTACGTAAAACGACATAAAATGCAAACCTGCCAGCACTCAAATCAGCCAGGATGTTGCAATAATTGAGTAGGCTCGATGAAGTATCCAGAGTCTAAAACTAAAGAATGCGCGAATTTTAAGTTCTGTAAAATAATGAGTAGCTACTTAAATATTAAACTTTTCAATTTTAAATTTGAATTTCCCGGGAAAAATCTGAGCCAATCAGAGAAAAGGATTTAAAGAATTATTACGTAAGTATCGGTATTCGGTAATCAGCTGTTTTTTAAATTTTAAGTTATTTACGTGACGGAAAACAAAACATATTTCCAGTTACAACCGTATTTTGGGTTTACGTGCAAACATAAATTAATCTAAAACGTGAAATTTATTAAATCAAGGTTTTTACTTTTAAATATATCGTAATTAGTTGAATGCCGCTTACCGCTGAATGATGATAGACAAATAGGGATTGCGGGATTTCAAGAATTTAACCCTGTGTTTAAATTTTAACTCGTCGATTTCGGCGAGTTAAATATTTAACCACAGGGTTAAATAAAACCTCACGGTTAAAGTTCAGGTTTAAATTAAGTCAAATGTGGCATTTAACCATGAACTTAAAATTTAAGTCAAAACTTTTCGTTCTTTAGTTTTAGACTCTGGAGTCATAAATTTTGTATTGTTATTCCGTTGGCAATATACTAATCCGTATCTTTATGTGTCTGAAGTTAATTCATTTTGGGTTTCTAGAAAGATCGGACCAATCAGAAGCCATAAAATCTTTAATTTAGTGCTGCAAATAGAACTGAACCGGCTTCAGTTTTTTGAATATTTATTTCTATTGTCAGAATAGTCGTGGTAAACTCTAGAAAAAAAGACATGGTCCAAACACTTTATGTTTGCAGCTAGTAGTCCTAGGATTGGTAAATTACAAATATTCCTTGTTCCGGTAGATTATAAAATATTAATCCTAGGACTGGTCGATTATAAAATATTAATGTTAGGACAGGTCGATTATAAAATATTAATCTTAGGACTGGTCGATTATAAAATATTATTCTTAGGACTGGTTGAGTATAAAATATTAATCTTAGGACTGGTTGATTATAAAATATTAATCTTAGGACTGGTTGATTATAAAATTTAATCTTAGGACTGGTTGATTATAAAATATTAATCCTAGGACTGGTCGATTGTAAAATATTTTTTCTAGAACTGGTCGATTATAAAATATTATTCATGGGACTGGTCGATTATAAAATATTATTCATAGGACTGGTCGATTATAAAATATTATTCCAAGGACTGGTCGATTATAAAATATTATTCATAGGACTGGTCGATTGTAAAATATTTTTTCTAGAATGGTCGATCATAAAATATTAATCTTAGAACTGGTCGATTATAAAATATTAATCTTAGGACAGTGGCCGAATTTAAAGAATTTGAGCGGCGGTTTAAATTTAAACCGCGGTTTAAATATGGTTGGTTCCACTTAAAATTGTATCAAATGTTCCAAGATTTAAACCGGCGCTTAATTTAAACCGGGTTTCGGCGGATTTAAACCGCGGCTCAAATTCTTTAAATTCCATCTCTGGTCAATTATAAAATATTAATCTTAGAACTGGTCGATTATAAAATATTAATCTTAGAACTGGTCGATTATAAAATATTAATCTTAGAACTGTTCGATTATAAAATATTAATCTTAGGACTGGTCGATTATAAAATATTAATCCTAGGACTGGTCGATTATAAAATATTAATCTTAGGACTGGTCGATTATAAAATATTAATCCTAGGACTGGTCGATTATAAAATATTAATCTTAGGACTGGTTGATTATAAAATATTAATCTTAGGACTGGTTGATTATAAAATTTAATCCTAGGACTGGTTGATTGTAAAATATTTTTTCTAGAACTGGTCGATTATAAAATATTATTTATGGGACTGGTCGATTATAAAATATTATTCAAAAGGACTGGTCGATTATAAAATATTATTTATGGGACTGGTCGATTATAAAATATTATTCATAGGACTGGTCGATTGTAAAATATTTTTTCTAGAATGGTCGATCATAAAATATTAATCTTAGAACTGGTCGATTATAAAATATTAATCTTAGGACTGGTCAATTATAAAATTTTAATCCTAGAACTGGTCGATTATAAAATATTAATCTTAGAACTGGTCGATTATAAAATATTAATCTTAGGACTGGTCGTTTATAAAATATTAATCCTAGGACTGGTCGATTATAAAATATTAATCTTAGGACTGGTCGATTATAAAATATTAATGTTAGGACTGGTCGATTATAAAATATTATTCCTAGGACTGGTCGATTATAAAATATTATTCCTAGGACTCGCCGATTATAAAATATTAATCCAAGGACTGGTCGATTATAAAATATAATTCCTAGGACTGGTTTAATTGTAAAATATTATTCCTAGAGGACTGGTCAATTATAAAATATTAATCTTAGGACTGGTCGTTTACGAAAGAAAGCCAGCTTAAGCATTCAGATCTGTGTCTCAGCACTGATTCGTTAACTCCGGAGTCTCCTGTTCTACTGGCAGTTTGTGATAATTCAGAAATACAGGTCATTTTATATCTTTTAACTGTCAATTTATGTGCATTTAACATTATAGCAGTCATAAAGTTGAATCGATTTTTGCTTTTACTTTTACCTCCAAAATTTCAATATTCGTTACATAGATAATCTGTAAAAAAGTTAAAATTAAAGAGACGTATAGACGTATTTTCAACTTTCAAATGACCCTCTATTTAAGGTTGTAAATCGGACATGCCACTCTATAAAAAGAGGGTCACTTGAAATTTAGACTAAAGTCTATTTAACTAACAGACTGCAGTTCTTTTCCCAAATAAATATTTCACTATTTTTATTGTTTTCATTTAGCAGTTGATATACTTTTAATTTTTTCTATAGTAGACTTTATAAAAGTTTTGTTTAGGCTTGGGAGTTGTTAAGCTCGCATCAGGTTCTACACAAGATGTCAGGATTATGTCTCGACACAGAAAATAGTCAGGATAGTATCCTTATCCAACACTGTCAGGACAAAAGGTAAAATACGGCAATTCGACATTTTGTTACCGTAATTTCTTTCCTGAACTCCATTTTTTTCTGTATGTTAGTTTTACTATGCAAGAAAATGAAAATGTATTTTAAAAATAAAATAATTGCATCGAACTCTAATTTTCTTATACCAATTTGTTGAATGCATATATCTTAGCAAACGGATAGTTTTGATATTTCAACCTTTTGGCTACTTGATCTTGAATAAGTCAAAGTTTGAAACATCAATGGTCTACGACAGGTTTCAAAGATAAAATTATTAGAAAATTTGAATTTGAATAATCAGTGTCTTTCTTAAAAATAATATACACCTTGTATGGAAAATAAAAATTTTATAACAAATTATGACAAGTTTTTTTTTCTTATTGAATTTAAATTATTTGAATTTTCTAAATCATTTTTTAAAAATCTTTATTTCTTTTTCAGGAGCCAAAAATGGTTGTATACGGCTGGAAGCAGGAGAAAGAAATAAAAATACAGTATTACTATTATACTTGTGCCAAAACTATCAGACAAAATTTCTGAAAATTCCAATTCCATAAAGTGATTTTTAAAATGCAACTTTTCTATTGGACCAAATTATAACCTATAGGTTGTAGTATGTCCACCTTAATAAATTTTTTTTAGACAACTTTTGACAAAGTTATAGTTTTTACGCTCATTTCCTCTGTGATCAACAATCTCCCATGATATGTTTGGTGGAACCTACCTAACCGATCTTTTTAGTAACCTTGTATTATAGAATGTATGCAGATATGATAGTGTTATGATTTATATAGCTGCATTCCCGATTCACAGCGGTACCATTTAAACACTTGGTTAAACAAAAATGATTGTATTATAATTTTTATTATTTTTATAAAATTTTTCTCTTTAAACGTCTAAAAAATCTAATTTATGTAGAATTTGACCCTTTTCTTCATCTTTATCGATCACATAAAGAATTAAATGGTACCATCATAAGTCGGACATATCAATCTATGAATTGGGAGTTACTTTAAAATACGTTTACACTCTACAGTCCTTTTAACCAAAGTAAACTCACAAGCAAGAAATCTTGCAATAATTCCTACATGTATGCATTCAATTTATTGTAGAAAATATATTATTTATTTTTATTTAATAAATTATCAGTTTTGTTAGACAATAAATTACAGCAGGAAGTTTTAAACATTACCGCAGTACTATAGGTAAAAACTTTAGATCATGAACGGCAGAAGAGTTTTTAATGATACACGATTACCCACAAAGGATGAGCCTTTAATGACGACCTAAACCTTTTGGGGTAAATGAGTTAAATAGAGATTGAATTTTACATACTGTTTTGAATATATAGTTTGAAGGGGAAAAAATAATTATCAATGATTTTTAATTGTACAGTTGTAACTTGCAGTTAGACTAGAATGACAAATTTCGCACAATGGTTTCTACAATTTTTGGGGAACTCTGTATATATAGTCAGCAGATATTGTAGCTTAACCCTTGATTTACTGAAAACGCAGTATTATATACTCTTTGACCCCAAAAATCAATGTTTCTGCATTAAACTGATTATTTTCTTCCATAACCCAGAATTATTATGACAATTATGGGCGCTGAGAGTGTGTTTAAGGAATTTTCTATGATTTAGAGGGGGGATAGAACCAATGTCCCCCCCTTCCTTTAGAAACAATAGTAAACTTCCCATATTAAATAATGTTAGTACATATTTTCTATTTATGCAGCTGAACAGCTTTCTTCTGTTGGCGGGCTGCCAGAAAAACGCAAAAATGTTGCTATTTAGGAATCAATGTCACTTGGCAAAGTTAGGAGAGCTTCCTAAATACATAGGTTAAAGTTAATAGTTATAAAATTTGTATCAGTGCAGTTCAAAATTTGCCGGGTTAACGCCTGGTTCATTATAGTTGTTCAAGTGATGTAAATAAGAAAAAGATTTTCGAAATTTTAGAGTCCGCTACAAGCTATAGACAAATAAAAAATACAAAAAAATATTAGCTCACTCTTTAAAGACTAAAGGATTAAATTTAGTCACTTCAACCACCTAAAATTACTTTTACTCAAGATATATTTAACAAAATAGTCGATGTTCTTTGTCTACATAAAACGAGGTTAACAACAAAGGATGATTTCCGAGAATACCGTACACTTTCTATTCAATCTTATATTTCTAACATTTATTTATTAATATTTGCATGATTATTTTCAATAGAGAAGAACTAATTTAATTATTAAAAATATCAGACATTACTTGAGTTTAGCCCTGTATAAAAGAATATAAAAGTAGCAACGAGAGAACTTTCAACAATTTCTACATATGTACAAAACTTCCGATTAACCCGAACTTCTTTAAATAATCAAAGTTTTGCAGTATTTTTTTTATATAAAGTAGATTCATTGATATGGACCACATTGAAAAGAATGCACCACGAATTCAGAAGCACAAAAGAGCACACAGCTTCAGAGTTTGGCACGCAATGCCCTGTAATACAGGCATTGCGCATTGTACACATATTTATTTTGTTTTATCTTTCCGGTAGAGTCTGATCCAATCAGAGTTCAGCTACGTGCTTGGTGACGATTTAGAACCAATAGAAATTGCAATATAGGTGACATCTATCTATCTCATGATCTAATTAAGAATGAATCCTGAAATCAGTGCTAAATAGTAAGAAACGGAGATGTGTATTTCTACTGAAAGAAGGACACTGTAGTACAGTATCTATTCTAAAATTGCCTTATTTCTACAAATCACAGAAGAAGAATCTTTCGAAGGAAAAAGAATCTATGAGACAGAAAGAGTAAGAAGTTTGTCCTACAGACTAAAATGAAGAGAAGAAGAAAAATGAGAAAATATTGATAAATATATGATTTATCAATAGTAATATTGCATATTTCTAGAAAGGGTAAAAAATGAGTTCAAATACCGGGATGGATGGCTCTAAAATCATCACCTTGGTTGCTAAACACTTTGAAATATTTTACGCTAGTGAGAGATTTGACGAGATTATTCAACATTTTTCAGAAATTTGCAAACTTTTAGGTAAATAATTTTTTAATACTATATAATATATAAATATATTTATTCTACTTAAAGCCAACCCATAAAAAGAAGGCTTGTAAATTGTAAAAGTAGTCAATTCATATTTACAGGCTAATTTTGCGCGGTTTCATTACTTTTAAAGAAAATTAATCTTACTTATGGGGAGGTTTACTATAGGGCAAAGTTTTTATTTTGGTTAAAAGTGTAGTATTTGACACCCATTTTACAATGATTTCTGATATATGCGAAGTTTGAACCCACAGGTCAATAATCACAAAGGAATTCAGTTTTTGTAAAACCTATATCTTTGCAACCTTATGATGTAAACCTTTGATATTTCAAACTTACATTATTTGATCTAATAGTATTCATAGCTTGAAATATTAAAGGTATACGACCTTGGGTTGCAACGATATTGAAATTAGATAAGCAGAGTTTGTGGCAAACTCAATTCATTTCAGGTTATCTTATCCACCGTCCTGTTCTTGTGCAGTGTATAAAGTATTCAGTATACACCCTATGCATTTCACCCGTTTGCAAAATTACTTTGCTGATGTTCCAAAAGGGAGAGCGGTTTCTCAGAAAATTAGAATGGGAGAGCCGGTCATTTTTTCGTTATTCCCGCTTTTTGAAAATTTAAACCCCCGAGGTATTGGTTCTAATTTTTATGAGAGTAAATGAGATTCCTTTGTATAGAGCTGAGTTTAACATGAACCTGCATAAATAATTTATAAGAAAGCGGGATTCAATAATAATTATTGCAAATCAAAAAAAGAATGAAATATCATTTTTTGACATTATTTGAAAAATCGAAGTCTATCCAAGGAAACAACACAAATGTTTAAAATTATAGAATGATAAATAGTGTCGTAATGTATTCTCATATAGAAATATTCGTTAGGACAAATTGTGTTAACTTGTTTAATTTTTAGATCTGCAACCTACCAACTTTTTAAACTTTTATCCAGCATTAAAGGTACAGTAGACTTTTCATTTTATTGTTGAAAAAAGTTTCTGATACAAATTCACCAGCAATCAGCATTTAGGACGCATATCAAAGAACTTAACACAAAATAGAAGACATGGAAAATTTAAATTTAATAAATGGCCTCTTCCATAAATATTTTATCAAGTTTGACAAGTATATTTTGTAGAAGAATGTGAAAGCGTGTCAAGGTATAAACTTGTTTAAAATTCTTGATGAAAGAACGAAACAAACAGTTTACTCAGACAACACAGCAGCCTCAAACATAAAGGTGAACATTCATTTTATATTTTTTAGTTTTTTATACATAGTTCAAGTGTTGCTATAGCTGGGTCTGTTTGACCAATACAATTCAATTTCTAGGAAACACAAACAGAAATAAACCATGTTGTTATTTGTAAACAATTGGAAGTATAATGTCAAGTTGTAGAAAAAATTTCATACTGCAGAATTTTTACTGCAAGGGAGTGTTTATTTTTCTGTATATCATAATTTATCTCTTACAATAAACACTAATATTTACATCTTTTAACACCCCAAATGCAGTACACATTTCTGAAGTGTAGTGCATGTACACAAAAACTTGTCAAAGTTCACAATGACATATAAAGTGTATTTTCATGCCTCTAAATGTACTTTCAACCCCGATCCCATTTGGGATCAGAAATGGAATTATATGGACCCCTGTATTAGAGTGGAATTTAGACAATCCCTTAGTATGAATTTTGTCAGTCCCTTTCAGCCTGAAAGGGAGTTCAAAGTGTACAATTCAAGTAAATGTTCATAAATTATATGCAGTAGAGTACATTAGTACAGTATATTCCCTAGACTATCCATTTCAATTTCGAATTTTTTAAAGCTGTTTAATTAACTTTATAATGAATTAGGTGAATAAAAAACATCATTTGATTTATATAGTTAAAACGGAAAATCAACGTTTGTAAAGTGGAAGGCATAAAGTCTATGTGAAATGATCATTGGTCAATTATGAAACCAGCCTATTTCATAATTTGGTTTTCTTTAATATTAATTTTAGATTTTCTATAAAATGATGTTCCAGGGACCAAAAGGTTATATAGAGCAAATATGTGAAGTACACCTGCAGTATGGAAACAGTACAACAAAATGGCCGTTTTACACTTTTTTCTAGTAAATTCCCCTCTAATATATATTTTATTCTCTTTGTATACACACTACACAGTTTACACATTTGGTGTTATCACGCATAAACAGAGTGATAAATCAGCAACAATCCAGAGGATGAAATACATAGAGTAATAAAACGAAGAGGTGAAGCTTAGCTCAGATGTACACAACCGACCTCCCTATTAAATAATTAATAGAATGGTCGGTTGTGTACATCACGATATGTTTACGTAACTAACACTGTACACTTGTATATAGAGTGATCGTATATTTAAGGGGGATTTTATGGAATTGACCGATTTTTAGTTTTTCTTTCTTTATTTAAACATAATTCGATGATGTAGCCTGCAAACATTTGACATTTTTCAAATATGTAGGTTTTCAATTTATTAGCAAAAAGTTCTGTCAAAAATATTAAGTTTCTAGGGCATGAATTTAACTTAAAACATTCTTATTTCAAACGTTTTTATTGTTTCTTCTCTTCAACTCTTTATCACAAACATGACAGTGTATGCAGGGTTACCCACAAAAGATTTAACAACGATGACGACCTGGAGCTCTTAACCCTAAACAAGCTGGGGGGGGGGGGGGGCGTTTGGCTCCTCCGTCTAGTTTTTTTGACTAATTTTTAACTTTTCATAAATAGAAATTTAGAGGATTTTTTTGTAAATTTTTTTTATGCATAAGGTAGGGTGCAGGGCGATAAAAAACCGGAGTATGTAAAAAAAAATCTTAAATAGCCCATAACTTTTTCATGACTAAAGCTACAGATCTGAAAACTATATTTTTGAAAAGCCCTTGAAAAATGGGCGCAGAAACGTGTGTTACACTTTTATATTTGTTTTAAACAAAAAAATATTTTATACATTTTTTCGACTTTTATTTACAAAATCCTAAAATCGTTTAGATCGAAATTTTTTGGGTTAAAACACTGATACAATTTTTGGTTCGTTTTATTCAAGTTCATGGTTTTATTTTATTTTAAAAGGCGCCACAATTATATTATTATTATACGTTATTTCAGAATTGCATGCTCTAAGCTTTGCTTTTATATTAAATTGTGCAAAGTTTTAGAGTGTGGCAAAACGAACTGTTGAAACGATTGGATTGGATTGGATGGGTTTATGTGAAGGACGGTTAATATTAAACTCTCTATTCGTAAACATTGGTGGAAGAGAAATTAAAATAGTACCGATTTAATAAGTTCTTTATTATCATTTTCCCCCTTTTTGCCTTATTCCCTATTTAGATAATTATAGTTATACAAAACGTCTACCTGTAAGAAATCTAGATGATGATTACTTTACTCTAACTCTAATACGAGTCTAACTGACTCTCTATCTCTCTAGCCAAAACTCAAGGCTCAAAGCACAACTGTGTAAAACAACGAGTAGTACTCAACTGATTTATTTCTATATACAGGTGAATGAACTGACCGGGATAGCCCGATACGGTCAACTTACAAATCGTTAAGGATTAATAATAATCATAGATAAAGTAGATAGCATTAAGAACATAGATAACATAGATTGCATTAATACAGATTATATGTTACATACCATAGTCTCATAGATAAATTATTTCTACACCTCCTTGATAAAGAAGTAATCAAGCTAGAAACTTAGAAAGGAGATACCTAAATGAGTTTAAATATGCAGAATAAATAACTCAAAGGGCACGTCCCTAAATTCAAGTTACGTTTTGATTTAGTTTTCTTTCATATTCATATTCATATTCATATTCATACAATTAAAAAATGCCCACTGAAAATGATATTATAAAACTAATCTTGATTTAGAAGATTTTATATGCTAAATATCTTCTTTTTGATTTTCAGATCATCCAAACTATGGAACTTTATTTTATTTTACAAAAATATATTTTAATTTCAGATGGTTGTGATAGGAGCAGGTCCTATTGGGTTGAGGACCGCTATAGAATCTCAACTCCTTGGTGCCAAGGTCACATTAATAGAGAAGCGGACTTCATTCTCCAGGTGATCAATTCTTGTCGTCAAGTGTTTACAACTATTATAGATTTTTGGACTTTAAAAAGTTTCCAAACAGTTTTACAAATTTCAAAATTTTTATTCTAAACATTTGCTTTCCACACTCTGCCAAACTTTGACTCTGTGAGAGAAATTGTATGTATTACTATTTTTGTCTTCTTTTCCACTTTTAATTGACAACCATTGTATTTTTTGTACAATCTTATTTAGAAACAACGTACTTCATCTTTGGCCATGGGTTATAGAAGATTTGAAGTCTCTAGGGGCAAAAACCTTCTATCCAAGATTCTGCACTGGAACCATGAACCATATAAGTACGTAAATAGTGAAACGGGTTCTTGAAACCATAAATCATATTTGTAAGTGAATAAAAGAAAGGATTTTTGCAAGCTTGAATCGGATCAGTAAGTAAATAAAGAACGGATAAACTTAAAGAACGGGTTCTTGGAACCTTAAATCAGATTAGTAAGTTTATGTATCTGGAAATCAAAAAGAATGTTTTAAGAAAATATCCAGAAATAATTATTTTCTCAGTTTTTTGGAAATTAATGGTTTTTGCAACGTTACTGGAAATTATAGGATGCTTTGTACGTGTCCGGAAATAAAATAAAATAAAGGTATCCGAAAATTTAATATTTGTTTAGGTATCTGTAAATCAAATGTTTTGTATTGGTATCCAGAAACTAAAATGTTAAAAAAGTATTCGGAAATTGCGATGTATCCGGAAATTACAATGCTTTAGGAACATCAATGAACTAAATGTTTTACTTTTGGTCTACAGAAATTACTATATTTTGTTTATGTATTCGGAAAGTTTTGTTTAGGTGTCCGGTTAACTTAAATGCTTTGTTTAGATATCCGGAAACTGAATGTTTTACTGTAGGTATCCGGAAATAAAAATTTTGTTTTAGGTACTGTAGTGATTTACAATTTTTGGTTTCGGTATCCGGAAATTACAATGTTTAAGTATCCAAAAGTTACAAGGTTTTGTTTAGGTATCCGGAAATTACAATATTTAAGTATCCGAAAGTTACAAGGTTTTGTTTAGGTATCCGGAAATTATAATGTTTAAGTATCCGAAAGTTACAAGGTTTTGTTTAGGCATCCGGAAATTACAATGTTTAAGTATCCGAAAGTTACAAGGTTATGTTTAGGCATCCGGAAATTACAATGTTTAAGTATCCGAAAGTTACAAGGTTTTGTTTAGGCATCCGGAAATTACAATGCATTCTCCTGAAAACTGCATTATGCTTTGGAGTGGAAGTATTTGGAGGAGTCGAATATCAAGGCAATCTTAGAACATTAATTAATTAGATTAGGATTTTTATTTCAATTGAGAGATTTTCCATAATTTGAGTTAAATAAAAAGTTCTTTGAACGGTTTAAGGAATTAATGAACCTGAATGTGTATCAGATCACTGGAAAATTATGGTAATTTAAGGCGCACCCTAAATATATAATTACAAGGCTTTTAGGGCGCTTCGTGAATCTTCTATTTCAACTTTTGTGGCTCTTCTGTGAGCATCTTCTTTTTGTTCAATATAAACAATAACAAAAAAGTTCGCGGATTTAGAATATATTTTTGTTCACGCATTTTCAAAATTTTACCAAATTTAAAAACTTGTCAACACAATTTTTTTTGTAATTTTGAGTATCCATAAACCTTCCTTGGGGTCATGTGAGGTACCACAAAATTTTTTTGCCCCGATCAGTTCGGCTGTTTTGACGTTTATTGGATTCAAACTGACAGAAAAACACCTATACAGAAAAGCAAAGTATATATAAAGGAAACTTTGGCTGATTAAACTCTCGTTTCTCCCAATGCTATTTTCACAAGTTCTCATTTCCTCGTGCAGACTGTAATGTTAAAATAATCGCAGCAAATGACAATAAATCTTATTATATCATATCTGTTCGGTTACATAGTAGTAAACCTATCGTGTAAGAATTCGCTTCCTAGCGTTTAATAATGCTTATTTTCATTCTTTAACGCACAGACCGTGTAAGAATGGAAATTGATACACAGTCAGAGCGTGACAGAATGTATATTCATACATGCTCCAAGCAATAAAGAATGGAAATTATTACACTAGTTGAAGAATATTCATTCTTACACCCTCTTTATATTGATCTTTTCAGCATAGATCAATATGCACACTCACCTTTTTCTTTTAAATATTGACCTAGCTTAGTCCTGACAGAAGAGTGGAAGGGGAGCCACCCCCCCCCCCTGTGTTTAATTAACATTAAGAATGATTCAGAGGACGTTCAAATTTTCTAACCTTTCCTTCAAAAATATGGACAATGCTTTAAGCCTTATGTTAGGCATTTTCATCAAACTGTCTGAGTCTCAAAGAATACTGCCTGACTCCCTACTTTATTCAAATATTTTTTTAGTTTTTTTTATTGCAAACTAAGTTTTGTAAGATTTTGCAAATCTCTGCATATTTTCAGAGCTTTTCCAAAATGGAAAGGTTATCATGTTTTTCACAATTTCAATCAACTGCTTTTTCACTTTATAACTGGATGCTGAACCAAAAAAAGCTTTTCCAAAATTCCACATTCAGTTGTAATATTTGGACAAAATAGACAGAATTTAGAGGTGATTGGGGTCGATTTGCCCCCCACCTCACAGCTAAAACCGGTTTTGAAGCACCTCAGCAGTCACCATATCTCGCATAGCTTGAGTTGAAGTGTTAACACAATAAAAAACATTGAAACGTTAAGTATAGAACCAAGTAATTGAAATATTAGTGTCACAAACTTTATGTAGGGTCTTAGCACTCAATATCAATGAAAACAAACCAATGAATCTTCATTCATGAATGAAAGACAAAAATCTTCATCATTTCATTTCTTGAACTGGGTCTTTCTGGATAATCTGCTTTTTTCTCCTCTTTTTAGAAGATTTAGGATCCAATATCCAGCAAAGGATTTCTTCTGTAAATAATTTCATGCTTTTGTCTAGTAGATTGAGACAACCAACTACTATTCTCTACTGCAGAGAAAAATACTTGTGAGAACAAGAAACCACTAAGTAAGGACCTCTGTAGAGGGAGAAAGTGGAGTCTTGGACGAATCTTCTCTCACAAACACATGGGATGAAAAGAGCAAACTTGGTGGAATTTGTTCTTGAACTGGGTTTGTTGGAGTTGAACTTTGATGTGGTGGAGAAAGACAATATTCTAGCTCCTCCACAGCATCAACTTAAAAAAAGCAAATGCATTATGAATTAGGAAACAAACAAGCTAACTAAGGAAACAATCACACCACATGCATTACTTACAAAAAAGAACCAATGTTTACCTACAAAAGGGTTTATAACATTTTACCTTTGTAACATTAGAAAAATAAAAAAAGTAATAGCCAGGACAAGAGCATAAGTGAAATACAAAAACAACCCTTCTTGATGTCAATTGTTCCAACTTGATAAAGTCGTATTTCACACAAATTTTTAAAATTATAATTTCTAGGGTATTTGCTCATGGAACCTCACAAAGATGATATAATAATAATCTTATGAGGATAAAAATGTCATAATGGAATTCTTAAACTCGATGAAATAATCTTGATGCATTCTTTAACTCAGGGCTCAAGATTATTTCATCTAGTTTAAGAACTACATTTTTTTCCTCATAAGACTATCGTAATATATAAAATTCTTTTATTTTCATTTATTGTAACACCCCCCCCCCCCACCTCATTTCAATCTCATAAAACTTCAAGTTGCGCATATCATTATGATCTTAATGACTTGCTACAAAATCTATAAAAATGCTAGAAAGTGATAGCAGTTGTGATGCTTATTCGCTGATCAGTAACTACTTTTAGAAACACTTACATTATATTTAATTTTTATAGAAATGTAACTTTACTCGGCTCAAATTGTGCAACCTTTTGTATTGAATTGTATCTAGTTGGAGGCACAGCTAGAAAAAAAATTTAATTTTGTCAGGAATACTAAATTAATTTATTTCTTCCAGGTGAGTCCTCCGAACCCTGAACTAGAAAACCAGCAGCTAGATGTTGTAATAGGAGCAGAGGGGAAACGAGTTACACTGCCAGGTTTCAGGTCAAACTCAATTTTCAAGAAAACGTTTTTAAAGTTTGCAATTTCCAGAGATTCTTTCTAAATTAAAAAGAATAACAAATCAAACTCAGGGCTTTCAAGAATTAATTTTTAATTTTGCAATATTCGTTTTTGTTTTGACAAATACGTCCAAATACGTCATGTGTGCACTTAACCTATTTGGAGGTCCAAGATCTTTAGGCTCACGGTCAAAAGTCTCAGAAAGAAATTGGAACACTAAAAACCTTTGATTTGATACCTCACATGATTTTATATTTTGACCTCTGGAGGTCATTGATGTTTGGAGGTCAAAAAGGGGTCCCAGAACGGGATCGGAAAACCAAAAAACCCTATGATGATCCATTATATGACCCATTTTCATTGATCCATTTTCATTGATTTCATATTTTGACTTCTTTAAAGGCCTATTTTTGAAAGGAGTTCAGAATGTTTGCGCATGACGTTTGTGGTTCCTAAAAATGTGAAAACACGCCTGATTAAACAAAAAAAATAATTCAAGTTAAATATCTTATTTTTCATAATTTCTTATTTTATGGAGATCAAAACGGAAGTTAATGACCTCCGCTTCCAAATTTGCTACGTAATCCGAGTATGTATTTGACCTAAATCACCTATCTCAATTTCTAGGACAAAACGGAGCCTAGGTACAAGCTGAGCTGATGTAAACGTAATTTGACTATTACACTGTTGACTAAACACCTTTTTACACCTAACTTAAACAAAAACTTATTTGATAAAATTGTCTAACCATATATCTGCCAAACTCAAATGCTTCATCGATAGGTTCGGCCTGCAAAATATGTTCAATGTCAAATTTGCATGTTCCCGAGCGATTTTTTGCGTTTTCCATCTTTATCAATTTTCACACAAACTTTTTACGAAACCTTCCTTATATGCCGGCTCCTATTAATTTGTACAAAAAAAGCCCCCCCCCCCCCCTCGACTCTGTGTCCCCGTAGTCCGTACTTTGAATTGACGTAAGAAAAATATCAGGGAGAATAAAACACGATTGGCTCAGATTATCGTACACCCCATAACAAGTGAATAATTTAGGAGGAAGGAGTTCCGTGGAAAGCTTGCAATAGCTATAACAGCAAATTTCGTTAATAAACGAACAACAGCAGAAGCTGTTGTAGAAGAAATTAGGTAATAATGCGACTCTAAATATTTAACTTTGAAAATACCAAAATAATAGTTTTTGTTGACAATTGGAAATAAATGGTTTTAAGTACATGTTTGTAAAAAGGGTACAGTCGAGATCAGAAAACGAGATTTTCAGTACACCAGAAACCTTTTGCTTGTACGTTACATTTTCAAAATACATTTTAATTTTTGCCTTGATTTCATAAAGATTTTATTTCTAATATGCATTTGGATGACGTTTACATCACAAGATTTTTTGACGAAACAGAAAGAAAATATCATTGCTTGTATGTATGTACTATGAATAATTATGCAGAATAGAATAGAATGAAAGTCTTCTTTGTTTTATCTTTTTCCTTGTGATTATTATAACGCTGAAAAGGATAACGAAAAACCATAAAAATTACAATTTTAAAAACGTTTATCGACCTTAATAGGTCAAATCTTTTAGCAAAGACGACTTTAATTCCACTTTAGTTCGATTATTTTCACTGTCTATTTTTAGCGGAGTTGCATTTGTTTACAAACAAGACTTCTTTAATAATTTATATGAAGAATTCGGAATTGCTTTGGAGAACATTGTTTACTACAAGGTTAGTTAAATGAAAGTAAAACAATTCAGAAAGCTAAGAATGTTGTATGGTAAATTTCAGAATTTTTTTAATCTTTTGCATTTTGATTACATTCGATAGATATTAAAATATCTGTTGAATATTTCAATAAAACTTTTAAGCTTGGATATAAAAAAATAATAAACGTCCTGGGGAGAAATTAGTAATTTTACGTGACTAAATAATATAATGCTTAAAAGAAAAATATAAATGATTCACATAGCAATTCAACTTGAATCAGATTCACATGGCAATTCAACTTGAATCAGATTCACATGGCAATTCAACTTGAATCAGATTCACATGGCAATTCAACTTGAATCAGATTCACATGGCAATTCAACTTGAATCAGCTTCACATGGCAATTCAACTTGAATCAGATTATGTAATGTATGTTTTACATTTATGTACACAAACGCGTTTTACACTGCAATTCTTCTGCAATATTGCAAATATTATTATAAAATGTTTTAAAGGCTGTACTTGTATATACCCTATATAGGAGACTTGAACGATACAATTCAACCGTAATGTTGCAAATTCAATCTTATATATTGAACATTAAATCTCATATGCTAAAATTTTAGGCTATTTTGCACACGCACTTCAGAGTTCAGTCGGTTTATGTATTAAGGAGAAAATCAAAATTTAAGCGCAATAAAAAAAAATTACGCAATCATTATAGAAATATATAAGATGAAACTGTTTACAAATTCTTGAAAAAATATCTGAAATATCTGGTTCACATTTAACCTTCTTTTGTTTAATAAGCCTGAAATTCAATTTCAAATTGATAAATACAAACTATTTAAATCAATTTATTTTTAATTTAGGATGAAACTCATTATTTTGTGATGACTGCTAAGAAACACAGTCTTTTGGACAGAAAAGTTTTAAAAAAGGTAAATTTTTTTTTCAATCGAATAAATATATTCATGCCATGAAAAATAACATATCGGCACAACTCTTTTCAGTTACTCTTCGGATTTTGAGAAAGATAGGTTCTAAGTAATACAAGACTAACTTTTTAATTTAATTAAACCTCGAAATAATGATTTCAATTTATTAGGATTTAAAGGATCCCATCGAGCTGCTGAGCGTAAAGAACGTAAATAAAGATGCACTCTATGATTATATTAGAGATGCGTGTGACTACTGCACGGATTATCAGGTAAACTAGGAAATTTGTTTTTGATTTCGTGAAATTAGATTTTAACACCAAGAAAGGTAAAAAAATGTGTAGAAAAAAACAATAATTATCTGTTTATTTGTTCAAGCTTGAAGAAAACTAAATTTTTACCAAAAATTGAAAGAAAACCTTATTTAAATTTTGTAGCTTCCCCAGCTTGAATTTGCTTTGAACCACTACGACCAGCCTGATGTTGCCTTGTTTGATTTCACAAGCATGTTTGCATCTGGGAATGCAAGCCATGTTAGAGAGAAAAATCAAAGGTAAATATATCTGTTTTCAATTCTTTATATCTTTTTTAATTAAAATTTTAGAAATATTGTAAATAAACTGAACACACAAATTTTAGTTGTCTAATCTTATCTATTTGCAACCTTTTGGTGTATCTATTCTATACCTTTCATATTTTAAAACTTACGACTATTCGACCTGAATTCTGATTGAAATATCAAAGGTCTAGTACAGCTTCTTGCAAAGATAAGGGGATTAGAAAATCAGCGTAAAAGTTAATTTAAGTAGGATGTAAGATTTTACTTTTAAGAAAAAATTGAATTATTTCTATTTAATATTTGTTTAGACAACTTTTGTTTGGATTGGTCGGTGACGGACTGTTAGAACCTTTTTGGCCAACAGGGACAGGGATAGCGAGGTAGGAGGGAGGGAAGGCACACCACACCTTTTTTTCGTCCGACCAAAAGTGACATCACAATTCACCATTTTTTCGTCCAACCACACCTTTTTTCGTCCGGCATTGTTTACATTCTTTTTTAAAGTACTTTGTATTATTTTATTCGAATTTTGAGCTACGTCATGGTTGTATATATAATGTTTTTAAATATTTTTTCCTTTTTTTTTAAGAAGAACATCTTATGAAGGTACATAGGCATAAATTAATTCATGGACATTTTTATTTCATAATACCTCAAGCCAATCAAAACCATTTGTTCCTGACCAAAAATATGTTAAGTTTTAATTGTTGATTCTAAAAATCCCAGCAACTATCACCTAAAAGTTGTAGTTTAGGAGTAAAATAAGAAAATAATAGAAATGTGTGATCCGGACGAAACATAGGTATTTTCCTTTTTGTGCTAAATTGGGCTTAGTGTTTTATTTTTCAAACAAAATGCAGTACAATATCAAACCATATTGAATAACATAACATTGCCTAATTTGCCTATGTTGACATAAAAAAAACACAACTGAAAACACAGAAGCAACATCCGGATGAAAAAATTTATTGATATGAACATATTGATCAATGAATATGGACTGCTCAGTCACACTTCTATAAACAAAAAGTACTTAGTTTTTATTTTTTAATTTATCTCAATATTTCTTATCGGGAATTTATGGTAAACCTTGTTTTAGAGGATTTCTCGGTGCCTTTGATTGCTGCTGGATGATAAAGCAATGGGCAGCCGGGGAAATGTCTCCAAGGTAAGTTTACCCTAAAAAGGCGGGAATGAGCTGAAACGGCCATTTTTAGAGCCCCTTTAGAATTTCTCTAATTGATAATAAAGAAGAAATCGAAATTTGTTCTTTCTTAGAGGGACTATAAAGGAAAAATGAAAGGGGATATAAAGTAAAAGTAAAAGTAAAAAATTATTTATTTATGAAATATAACAAAAACATACAAAAAAATGTGTTTCAGGAGAAAATATTTAAAAACCTCTAAAAGTAGAGGTTGTGGGAATATTTCCCCCCAATTCTAAAAAATATAAAAATAGAAATAATAGGAAAAGGAAAGGATAAGGAAAGTTACATATTTATTGTTTACACTATATTTTACATAAAAATTAGTGGTGGATTGTTAGTATTTTTCGACGATGAACTAACAACTTTTAGTTTAGTTTAGATTTATTTGGAATGTTTAAAAAAAAGTAAAAAAAGCTTTATGGAGTGTGAAAGAGATATAGGTTCTATGAAAAACGGGCATTTTAAAGCATCTTTTTAATTCGCGCTGATTTTTGACATCCTTTATGTTTGATTATATCTTTTACTCTTTTTAATCTTTTTATTCTTTTCTTTGTAAAGTCGTCTTTGGTTTCTTCGATTCTTTTGCAAACATAGCATGTGTTNTCTCAAGGCTTAAATTAAAAATGTAAGATAAAGCAGGGGCTATTTCTGTAGATATGTTTTTAAGCAATTTTCCTGAAACTCCATTTATATCCTCAGAGGTTTTGTTTTCAAGTCTTTCTAATTCTTCCATTATTTCTACTGGATCAGTTGGAAAATAAGCAAAAGAATGGATGGAGGAGGGTGGAAGGAATTCTGAAAAATCTTTATCTACTTTAGGAATAGCTTCTGCTTTAGATTGGCCAATAGATGAAAAATATTTATTGAAACATAAGCATTTTAGGAGTTGATCAAGACCTATGAGAATTCTTTCTGATCTGCATTTCTCGAGAAATTGATATAAAACTATGTCAAATTTGTATAAAAATAGTAGGTTTAAACGGATCATATTCAGCAAATTCACAACCAATCTGAAAACAACATGACTCCGTCTGTATCACGTGACCAGTATACTGCACTGGTGGGAGCTCTGGTCACTTGATACAGGCGCATAAATAATATTATCAATTATATCTTTTATAAATAAAAAAATTATTAAATTCAAATAACAATAGAAGCAAACCTAAGTTTCTTATGCTCATCTGGGATATCGTCGTTTTCAGATTGGTTGTGTATTTGCTGAATATGATCTGTTTATACAAAATTTTATATATAAATTTTCGTATAAATTGGACACAGTTTTATATCAATTTCTCAAGAAAGGCACATCAGATAGAACTCTCATAGGTTTCGATCAACTACTAAAATCCTTAGGTTTTCGCCTATACCCCCTTTCATTTTTCTTTAACAGTCCCTTTAAAAAGTGTAAAATTATGACAATTGCCTTCCTTCCTTCTCTTTGCATAAATCCGCAAATTAATTCTATAGATTGACCACAAACAAAAATCGTTAATTTTCAGAAAAATGTTATTTAAGAGAGTGGCACTTGAGGTCAAGTCAACAGTCCCTTTAAAATTATGAATTTTAATCTTATTCTTTATACAAACATCACTATAGAATAAGATATATTCTGTCATGTTTCAGTGAGGTTTTAGCAGAGCGTGAATCTATTTTGAAACTTCTTCCACAAACAACGCCAGAAAATATTACAAAGGATTTCAAAAAAATTTCTATTTACCCTAAAACAAGGTAACCAGAAAAAAAGTGGAAATTTTCTTTTTGTTTTAATTATAAAATATTTCTATAGAATAATTCTGGTTTTAATATTTTTTTATCTACCTTTTCTAACTTTATCATTGTAAATAGGTATCCAAACCTTCATAACTATATCTATACACCAAATCAAGTTGAACATCTCTATATAAGCGATGAATCAGAAAATAAGGTATTTTTATTTTTAACTAGATTAACTAGAATTTTGTTATAAATTGATCAACAGTATTTCTATCACAATTTAATGTTTCCCTAAAAATAATAGATAGAAACTTTTATCTGAAAGTTTCTTCAATGTGAATAAAGATGGGATTTCTAATATTATTCTTGATAAAAAAATTTTCAAATCTTCTTTTTGTTTTGATAAAAATGTTTCACTGAACATACCTTTTTCCAGGATCTTCCAAGGTATCTTCATCCTGGCTTTATTGAGAATCTCCCTTTGGTAATATTTTTAAATAATTAATATTTTATTGTTTTAACATTTTCACATAATATATTTATAAAATAATAATATATATATTAAATATACTGGTAACCTTTGTTGAAAATAATATTCAAGTTATCTACATCATTATTATTATATTTGATCATTAATTAAAATGAATTAAAATGAATTAAAATAGCGCATCTTATAACAATATTTTGACAATAGTAATAAAACCTTTTTGCTTTTAGGGTAAAAAAGTCCACCAGAAGGAAGAGAAGAAAAATTATAACTTTCATTTTCCAGTAAAGCAAAAACCTACAGGAAAACTGTTCAGCTTAATTTATAACTTTTTGGTTTTATAAAATTCTTTTAAATATAATCTTTTCTTTATGAGCTAATATGATTTAAAGATGATATATTAATTTGACTGATAATGTTACAGAGCCTGTATTTCAAGATGAAAGCAAGGCTTTCATGAAAAAAGATTGGGATTCTGTATCAAACAAATGTTCTCCAGCGTCCAAACAAGAAATGGCTCTTAAAATAGCAAAGGCGTTCGGAAATGGAAATCCGAAAAAATCTTCATCAGGGAAAATAGGTTGGAAAGCTTAAAGTTTACCAAAATATTTCCATATATATTATACGTAAAAGGAATTACATCTCTTTCCTTTCTATTGATGATTTTAGCTGATTTATCCTCAAGCCCTTATTATTACTATTTGAAATGACAAAATGTCAAACAAACAGACAGACATACAAGCCCAATGTATAACATTGTTAACACTTTAAAGACGATTGTATTGGGATTGAAAATAAAATTTAATAGTTCGATTTTTATTTTTCTGTCACATTTCTTTATTGCATTAACAAGAATCAAGATTTTATTTCACAGTGAGAAAGATATCGACATTTGTTTTGCTTGAAAAGATTAACATTCTGTCAATTTCCTTCATCGTCTTTGCAGCATTCATCCTCAAGTCACTTTTAAAGAGAAACCACACATAAAGATATTCAATGTTCGTCTAGAAAAAAGGTATATCTTGCATTTTTTCTTAATCAGACAGAAGTTCAAAGGGTACCGCTGTCAATGTAAATCTAAATAGACCAAGCATTCAACATTTCCTTTTCAGACCAGAAATCTCCACTTCCAGCTAAAAGTCCCAAAAACCATCCGATCAGAAAACCTGTTGAAACTAAAAAAGATCCGAAGCTTTCAATTCATAAACTCTGTGAACGAGAACCTGTTCAGCTGCATTCAAGCGTTGCACCGATAATACCTTCATCGGATATTGAAATAGATCCAGAGCTTGACAGTCTTCTAGCAGAACTTGAAAACGACCAAGATTTTCAAGAACTGCCTGAAAATGAACAAAAAACGTGGCTTGAATCCTTGTTCTTCCTTGACACACTTCATCTACCTGGACGAGGACCAAGCTACAAAGACATGCTAACTCCGACTAAACAAGCGACAAATAATACTCTCAGAGTCAACGGAAGTTCAGAAATAAAGGCTAATCCTGTAACGGCAAACAAGACAAATTTGGAGGATATCGATTCGTCAATTCATGTGAATGATAAAATGAGAGACCTTGCCAAGGATTTCTTTACAAATAAAAAACCCGAGTCCACTGTTGAAAGTGGAGCTAAATCCTCTACAAATAATTCCAAGACAAAACTACCAGAACTATCACGGTAAACTATTGCAAACTAAAAATGTATGAAACTTAATTTTTATACATGTTTAGAAAAAATTCAGCTGTCTCCTGTACTCCGAAGTTTACTCGAAAACTTTCAAGCACTCAATTAGAAACCGAGGTAAAAGGAATTGAGTCTTTGCCACAAACTTTGCTTTTCTAATCCCTATATCTTTGGATTCCAATGTCGTAGACCTTAGATATTTCAAACTATGCTTTCTGTTAGATCAAATAATATAAGTTTGAAATATCAAAGATTTACGACATTGGGTTCTAAAGATATAAGGATTATAAATTCAGAGTTTGTGGCAAAGACTCAATTCCTTTAAGGTTTTAGCATCACTCTCCGCCAAAACTCACTATTTCGTCGGTCAATGTAAGTTACACACCGAAAGCTTAGTTAAGGGTGGCATTCTTTACTGCAGAATTTTTTTTCTTATCGAGAGTTTTTAAAACATGTTAGTTCTGCAGAACATCAAAAGCGTGGAAAGGAAGTTTTCAGGCCAAATTAACACAGAGGAATACACCGAAAAATTATCATTTAATATCAGTTCCGTTGAACACGTTTTGTCCCTCTAATAATATGAATGTTAAGGTTGATCAAGATTTAAACAAAAACAATAATACGGTTGAATCCAGGGTGAACAATAATCTGTGCTCCTTAGCTCAGTCATATTTCAGGTATAAACTGCTTAGACGACAGTCATTTTTTCAAGTTTACGATTTAGTGTAAAGTAGTTTTATTTGAAAATAATGCGAGATGTCTACACTAAATAAACTTTAGTTTAACTTAATTTCCTAAGTATTGTATAAGAAAAGTTTTCACTGACGACTCCATATGAGATTGTTAAATTTTAATTAATTAAACAAAATATTGTGAATGCAACTTTAGGAATACGAAACAAAGGAACTAAGTTCTTGACACAATCTCTGATATTCTAACTCCTATATCTTTGCAATCCAATGTCGTAGACCTTAGATACTTCAAACTTTGAATTGTGTTATATCAATTAATCTAAGTTTGAAATATCAAAATTTTACAGAATCAATTTGCAAAGAAATAGGGATTCAAAACTTTGAGGTTGTGGCAAAAACTCAGATCCTTTATGAATGAAATCCTGGTGTGAATATCTACTTTTTTTAACTGTTTAAAATATGCAAAATGCAAATTAACACTTAAAATACATCATTCATGAATTTCCATCCAAGGTTTACACCATTAGGTTTCAAAGATATAGGAATTCTAAAATCAGTATGTTTAATAACTGATAAATATTTCCAGTGATTCTGGGCCCCAGCAGATCGTGGAAAGAAAGTTGTCTCTCAGCTCTAAACCTAGCGAACCAATAGTTCAGATGAATAGACAGGATAGACAGGGTTCAAGAGATAACAAAGAATCCTTGGTTGCGGCTTTCTTTGACAACAAACCCAATGCGCAGACACAGCTTAAGAAACCTGACAAGGTATTTTTATTAAACACCCTTTTTCTTTTTTGTGATTGTCACCTAAAATGTTGATGAACTTCGGGAAAAAGGGCAATATATAAAGATTAAAGGATACCCTTGTAAATTGTCAAAAGCACTAAATTTATTATCATTTACATTTCGTTCACAGTCTCTTTTCTCGTATTAATCCATCCTAGTGAAGGTTGTAACTGAGAGAGTTATGTACGAGCCAGGAGAATATGAAGAGGAGGAGGAGGAGGAGGGTCTCGGAGGAAATATAGAGGAATACTTTAAAGCGAAACATTCCAACCCCATTGAACCACCACCACCTCCACAGAGGTTAGAACCAATCTAAACTTAAGTTTTTATCGCTTTTGGACATACATTAGAGACCGATGATAATATCAATGTATCGATGACCAGGTTTTATAAGATTATTATCGATCGTTTCGCTTGATCTCGATATCCAATTCGGGCAATTTTAATTTTGATAAATGCTTGATCCCTTGATTAAATTTAACTCCACAGGTATAAACAGGATATCGACGCGGAATTAGATTAATCCTTCTTCAAAAGATGGAGATCAATGCTTGATCCCGTTCTCACTTCTACTCAGCGAAGTTATTTATTATAATTAAAATTTTTTCCGACCAAAAGACTTTGGATGTTTCGAAGACTAAATTGGTCGTAAGAACACTTATCAGGGTAAAATGTTCTAGAAATTATCAGCTATATTATCGTCGATTGGAATTTCAGACAAAATGACTTAAGAAAACCTAAAAATTTTAAAATATCAAAATGACCTTGTAGTACTTGGTTTAAAAAGAAAAAATATTAAATAAATCTAATTGTAGGAAAATGGACAAGCAAGCGTTTATGATGAAGGTCCTAGGTAACGCGACTGGAATTCTACAGGGAAAACGATGAATAAAAGAAGAACTTTGTAGGCTTTAATTTTTTCCTAAAATACATTTGCATATTTGCAACAAAAAAAGGAATCCATGGAGGATGATTAATCATTTTGGTCATGAATGTCAATTTTTACTATGTTTATTTTTTCATACATTAATAGTTTCTTTAATAACTAAATAAACGCACAATTTCATTGCATGAAACTGTCAATTATTTATCTCAAAAATATGGAGCATGTTAATAGAAAAAAGTAAAATAAACGAGTTTTCCAATGATAAAATGAATATAGCAAATATTATTATAATATCTGTTTATTAAATTACTTCATGTATTATCTATGTAATTTATGTTAATAACGATGTGATTATATCTTATATTTCAAATATCATAGGAAGCCAGAACAATTATCCTTTAAAATAAAATTTCTTTTATAGCACAATTTTAAGGGGAATGAATGTTCTCTGAAAAAAATAAGAGTAAATTATGATAGTTTTGTAATGGTCGTTATACAACAAATTAAAATACAACATTTTAGATTAAAATCTTACATATTTCAATCAAACTTCTTTTATCAAAGAGCGTTTGAAAAAAAAATAATTTTAGTATGAAACCAAATAAATTTTCTTCTTTTCAAACGAGCGTAAAATCAAAGTTAGAAGAGCTACATTGTATGTAAGTTGTACCAGTAATGTCGCATATAGTTAAATCCTGAAACCGCCCTTGGTTTATTGTTCATTACATGGTCGATTAAGTGAGCTGAGTGTAAAGTTGTAAACATGATATATATTTAAACACATACACACAACATACATTACATTAGAAATCATCAGATAGTTATAACTAAATTGTGTCACTCCATTTTGGAAAAGTAAATGGAAAACTTATATTTGTTTATACGGGGGTGAATGAATACTGTCATATTTTACAAAAAGAATGGGGGGGGGGTAAGGGGGTACGATGAGTCAACTGTAAGTAGCTAGGCGTCTATAGAAACTTGCTTTAGCTGGATAAATCTGAATTTTACTATAATCAAACTCAAACTAGTTTGGTTGTCTTGATTTTCCAGTTATCCAAGTATCAAATATATTTGTCTACAATAAATAATCTTTGTATTATTTTGACAGAATATTCCAAATAACTTAAAAATAACCTTTGTTAAGTTTTAACTCCAAAAAAGTTTAAACGATCCTATTCATTTTGTAAATGAATTCATCTTCATAAAGCAAATATTGCTTGTAATATTGTTGGCGAATAACATAATTTTAGACAAATGTCAACTTTTTTACAGTTGTCGGTGTTCTATCTAAGTTTTCATTTCTAACAAACTTTTTTTTTAATTACAAGTTTTAAGTTATAATATTTAAATCTTATATATTTTCAATCATATAACTCCTCATATAAGAGAAATACTGAGGAGGCCAGAAAAGTTTTAAATTTCTAGTTTATATAACCAAATAAATTGGCTAGCATTATAATTGTGCGTAAAATCAAAACTTAAGGAGCTAGGGGAATAATGTCTTTCACGTTTTGTCGTTTTCCTAGATTTTAAAATACTGATAATTCCAAATCGTTTTCCTGCAGTAGAAATACCCAAGTCCTTTGATCAGAGAGATCAGACAAACCTTTAAATGTAAATCGGGCATTGAGATCTTTGCATAAAGTGTCACTTGAAATTACGCTTACAGTCACTCCGATTGAAACGAATATATAGTATTTTTTAAAAGTTGGAATGCGTGAGGCACATTTCTTAAAAATGGCCAGTGGCCACATAAAGATATCTTTATTATTTATATATATTTACATGTATATATGTATATATATATATTTAATAATTTATATTTATTTTAAACGGTATCTGTGAATGTATAATGCATAATGTATACATATGCAAAAAATTTGCTCGTAGTTTAACAAATAAAAACTAGTTTAGTTTGTGTTAATATTCCTGAAACTAATAACATGACAAAAAAAAAATTTAAATTATCCAGAAAAAATGGGGTGGAGAGTGTAAAAGGAAATCATAGTCAAACTCTAAAAGAAACCAACCTTTTAGTTCTCTAATTTTCCAATCTTATTTTTTTTTTTTTTAAATGGACATCGTAGGTAGATCTTTGATATTTCAAACTTGGAATTCTGCTGGATCCCATCTCATAGAAAAAGTTTGAAATTTCAAAGTTGTACACCATTAGGTTGCAAAGATATATGGCAATGGAAAATCAAATTTTTAGGGTTTCAGATTCAGTAACGTACTTTATATATAAAAGCACATGTTTCAGTTTAATATATTATCTAGTTCCTCCCAGAACATTTGTGTGTTTAATCTAAGATCAAATATGCCAAGATTTTAAATGAGCTTGCTTGACGCCTATGTGAGAGTGGATTTAAAAACAAGTTTTATATTTTCAAAATAAGAAATTGGTGCAGGATTCGATGGTATTTGTTTAATCTATATTTAGGGATTGGACAGGGACGAAATAGAAAAAAGGTCACCAGGGGGTGAGGGGGGGGGGCATTTTCTTGAGTCACCCTGTTCTTATGTAAACCTATTAAACCCTGAAGTATGTGAGTTATGTGAGGGGGAACTTAGGAAGGGCAGGGAGGGTAGTATTACTAGGGGTTAGGGAAGGAAGGTACATGTGAGTAGGGGAGTAGTTGCACAATGCTGAATGCAGATTGCACACCACGACAGTAGATTTAACCTAGCGTCAACCCCCCCCCCCCTCTTCCAACTTCCCCCATTCACCTCCTTTCCTTTCTGCTTTCAAGTATTAGTTTTGTCAACAAAATTTTGAAAAGATGGGAAGGGAACTTGGAACAGGGAAAGCAGCATAAAATGTTATCGACTATTCACAGGGAGAAGGAAATATACAGGGTTGGCTCGACCTGTCCCGGCCTTTCTTTTCATCTTGATTGGCCTGAGAGGCCTGGGTTGCCCTGTGTGTTTGACTCTCCTTATTCCAGCCAGTACGGGGCTCTCCAGGCCTGTCTTTCCACTTATGACAGGGAGACCAACTAGAATAGAATACATTTGTACCAAAAGGAACCTAAGACAAATGTTATTACACAAAAATAAATATTAAAAGAACAAAAAATAAATCCAGAACAAGTTAATTTGCCAATATAGATCACAGCCTTTAGAGATTTAATACCAAAAGTATGTTATGAAAGAAATATACTCTTGCCAAAAAACATCATTTCAAGAGAACCTAAAGTATGTTTGTGTATTTTTATAAAAGAAAATTAAAATAGTCTTTAAAAAATATTCAAAAAATGTTTGACCTTCAAAATATTCTAAAAATGAGGTTTAGTAAAATCACGGCTGGCAACCCTGTAGTACTGACTACAGTCAACTTTCCTTCCAATCTAGCTTTCAGATATAGTTAAGATCCTATTCCTACAGAATACAGACTATAGGCATAAAACAAGCTTTGACTATATGATCTAGATATGACTTCATAGCTGATCTGTCGCTAGTCATGGCTACGTGGGTTTATTAGTCCATGGACTCAGCTAGATCAGACTTATATATTTAGTTTAGATCCTACAGCCTACAAAGTACAGACTGATTTTTAGTATAGATTCTACAGTATATAGAATATAAATCTAGTTAGATACTTCAGATTATAGACTATATATATCAAGTTTAGATTCTACAGTCTATAGACTATATATCTAGTTTAGATTCTACAGTCTATAGACTATATATCAAGTTTAGATTCTACAGTCTAAAGACTATATATCTAGTTTAGATTCTACAGTCTGTAGACTATATATCTAGTTTTGATTCTACATGATATAGGTAGAGTGATAGACTATGTATCTGGTTTAGATTCTACAGTCTTCAGACTATATATCTAGTTTAGATTCTACAGTCTACAGACTATATATCTTGTTTAGATTCTACAGTCTTCAGACTATAGTCTAGTTTAGATTCTACAACCTACAGGCTGCATATATAATTTAGATTCCACAGAATAAAGACTATAAATCTAGTTTAGACTCTACAGACTACAAACAATATATATCTAGCTTAGATTCTACGTTTACAGAGTACAGACTATATATATCTAGTTTAGATCCATAAAGTATATATATCTATAAGGTTCTACACACTGCAAGACTAATACAGATTTCACACAGATCTTTTTAGACTACACCTAGAGACATTATATTTTCACGTATATTGTCATTTTCACAGAAAAACTTATTCCTAGTAAAAATCTTGTTTCAGACTACAGACTCCTAGTACAAAATGGACTCAAATCTTATTCCTAGTAAAAATCTTGTTTCAGACTACAGACTCCTAGTACAAAATGGACTCAAATCTTATTCCTAGTAAAAATCTTGTTTCAGACTACAGACTCCTAGTACAAAATGGACTCAAAACTGCTTTTCTCTGCCTGTCTACTCGTCATTTTTGCAATGATTCCCTCAAGTAGGTTTTTACAAACTTGTCAATGAGAAAACTATGTTTTATTTGTTGAAGCATGGTCATATGATTGAGCAGATAAACCCTTCAAAGGGACTGTAATCTTGAGTGACTCTTCATGTACCCTTTAAAGCTTTGTCTGATCAAGTATTAGATATCGATCTTTTACAACTCTGAAACCTGATTATTTTTAATTGTGGTTTCCGAACAACAGGGACTTGCGCATTTCTGCTGCAGGTAGACATGTAGGAATTATCAGAATTGAACACTTTTAAAACTTGAAAAAAAGAAAACATCTTCCATATTGATCACCGTTTTCATTCGGGTATTGTCATCTTTGCATGAAAGGTCACTTGAAATTACACTTACAGTCCCTTACAGGTATAGAATTTTAGATATTACTAAGTCTAATCTGTGAGATTAAAAAAATCATTTTATCTATATGTTTGGTTATTTATCATAATTAAGCATTTTTATGATTAAAAGTAAACATTCTGTATTACAAGGATTATGATTTTCTCTCAGCTTTCATGTAAATGTCAGCTGTATGGAATCTTTAGATATCTCTTTTCTAGGTATGAAATTTATAGTGGAGGACTTTGAGATGTACAGGGTGTCCCACGAAACATGACAGTAGCAAGAGTAAAGACGACTTGAAAGTCGTCTTTGAACTTTATGTTTATTTTTGACATTCAGTCGTCAACCTACCTTGATGTATGACTCTTGAAACAATAACTACACAATTCTCATAGTGCTGGTGTTTCAAAAATGTGGTCTGCCTTTTTTGAGCTGTCAATATTACCGGAGACTTTAAGAATTTTGTTCAGATTTCGAAATCTGAAGAAAATGTTCTCCGGTAATATTGAAAGCACAAAAAAAAGGCAGACCACATTTTGGAAGTTCCAAGATTAGGAGTATTTTGTTTGTTAATTTTAGAATTATGCTTGTAAAGTTAGGTTTACGAATAAAAGCTGAAAATTATTTCAACGGTCAAAGACGACCTTCAATTCGTCTTTGTACTGTCATATTTTGTTGGACACCCTGTAGTTGGGAGATAGACAAAGACGATATTTTGATTGCTTTGACTTTAGAAAGCTAGAATAATGTTCTCCCCTGCGCCCAGACAACAGGAATTGAGTCTTTGCCATAAAATCTAAATTGCAATGTCTAAAATATTTTAAACTATTAATTAATTAGATCAAACCATCTAAGAAAGCATTAGTTTGTGGGAAAGACTCAATTTCTTTTTTTTGAGAAAAAACAAGCTGACCGAACTAGGAAAATGGACGCTCAGTTAAATGTTAAGTTTTTTGTCAAGGTTCTAGCATTCAATGCCACCAGTGCTCCAGCTATACAGATGTACACTGTGACGATCCTTTTTACTATGAGGTAAACAAATTAAAAAAAAACTCTTTTGAACGAATAATAATTTTTTTTTGCTTTTAAGGATAATAAAGGAGTTGCTAAAACAACTGAATACCTCAAGGACTGCCCTAACGACGGCAAGGATTATTTCTGCAGGAAAATCTTCCAGAACGGTAAGTCGTGGGAAAGCTTAAAAGCTTCCTCATGTTCTTCCCAAAAGTGTGTTACAGGCTACAACGTAGAAAAATGCTTCGATAATCTAAAAAATAGTATTTTGTGAAGCAATTTTGATGTATCATTATTTGTCTTTTTTGAGTTACACGTTTTTATGAATATTAAAAGAAAGAAAAAATGTTTTAGTTATGATGTTTTTTGGTGTAAAATCCTGCCCAGTCTTGGTAATACATTTTAAGCAATGAATAATAAACCAAATTATTAAGCACAAGTAAGAACGCACGTTTTTATTAAAGCACAATATACAACTACTCTCCTTCGCGTTTTAACTATTAGCAATTTGAAGATGGAGATGCAAGAAAACAAAACTAAAAAAAATTAGCTTTCTATTCACTTTTCAATTTTTTGAACATTTTTATTCCTTGATAAGTTTATTTATTTGCCTATAGTGAGAGGAGATTCCCGTGTGATCCGTAGCTGTGGATGGGAGAAGCATGAGAAGGGAGACTGCTACTCTACAGTTCTAGAGGAATATAATACTTATGTTTGTAGCTGCGACACTGACGGATGTAACTCCGGAACAATGTAAGAATCTTATTAAAAGGAAAAACAATTTTTCACCTATTTAAAAATGGAACTTGATCCCTCTATTTTTGGAATTAGGAACATAGTTTAACAAAGCTTACTGCTAAAAAGGTCTTTACAGTCCCTTTAAAAATGATCTTATGCTTTCTGTGAAAAAACCCTAGCGTGTTTGTAGAAGCGGCGTAAGGGGGACGTCCTCCTCACTGGAAAATTGGGGGTACATCCCCCCCTGGAAAAATGTAGGGCACAACTGTAGGGAGTTCTTCTAGTCCCATTTACATGATTTTTTGTCAATGTATTTTCAAAAAGAAATTATTCCAGGACAAATTTTAAAAATGGCCACCACATTCTCACACATGTCAGGATTTTGACATAAAAATTACCAAAATACCTTTATGTAATTCCAGGGGGGGGAATTTTTTAATTAACTTCCCCCTGAAAATATCGAAAGCTATCTCTGCGTGTTTTCCAGATATATGTTTTCAAGTAGTTTTAAATATCTATTTAATCGTTTGGATATATTTTTTTTTATATTGGACAGTCCAAAGCATGGCCAATATTTAAAAATTCCATGAGAAAATCGGTTAAACAAAAAGCAACAAAGATAAACACAAAGAAACAATGACAAACTAGAACTTCTATAACAAGAATTCCCACTTCCCCAACCTGTGTTAGATAGCGGAAATATTTTTTAGCTGAATATTTAGCTTGCTCCCTCTTTTCTGATTGGGATTTTGTAATGCAAAAAATAAAGCACATATCTGAATTTTTGACAAAATATCAATCAAATACTTACATTTAAAAAATTTAACATTTTTTACCTTTTCTAGGTTCAGCGTAAGCAGCCTGGCTGTATTCTCCACCTTGTTAGTTGCATACATGATGCAGTAAACAAACCCCTCCAAGAGCCAGCACAGCACAAACACCATACTCAAAACCTAAACAATGCTCAAAATTCATGGATGGGGAAAATGTAGTTGCTATAGTTGGATTGTATTTATAGTCCATAAAGTCAATTGACGGATTGCATTGGTGGTGTAAAGTAGATCTACAAAAAAGTAGTAAAACAAATAGGCTATACAGAACATATGAGACTTGCAAATGACTTAAGTAACATATTTGGAAAGTTCAAATTTTATAGTTATAGAGATTATTATTATAGAAGATTAACCACCAAAAAGTGTAAAGCTTCTAATTCTATTAAATTTTTTAACATACTTTGCTATACTTGTTGAACAACCCAAAATTTGGAACTTAAGTCTTATGTTTTGTTTTCTGTTGATTTTTGCGATAGTTTAAATGAAATAATTTATTTTAGATGTGTTTTTCTTTGGCCCTGGCTTGTTAAATTATTGATTATTATTGTCAATTAGAGAAGATGAAATAAATTCAAATTTTTATGTTGTTGATTTTTAATGCTAAAGAATTTCGGCATATTATTTTTGTTATTAAAGAATATACCAAGACACATAAATAATTTCTAATTTTTTTCAAATTTCATCTTCAATATTTGGAGAGTATATTTTGGTGCCGAAAAGAATGTTTAACGATTACGAACTTTTCTATTTTCAGTATTTTCTTATTCTTATTCTTTTAGGACCATATCTAACCTTTATCTATATTTTATGTATAATATGTATATTCTGAGAGTTTCAGGTCTTCATTAAAGGGAGTGTTCGCGAAAAATGAAAGGGGTATAGGCTTAATGCGATAAAAAAGCGCTTTTGATCGCTACTAATCTTACTTCTATCTGCTGCGTCTATAAGGAGACGTCTCATACCGAATAACATGGCATCCATACAAATTGAGAAAATTGCAACATACGACTTAAACCGTAAAAAAATCATTTTAATTTCAAACAAATCATTCAGATATTAGATTTCTTTATCGCATTAAGCTATACCCCCTTTCATTTTTCGCGAACACTCCCTTTAAAGTCTCAATTTGTGTTGGTAATCCTGCATTAATACTCAAGAGTTAGATGTGTGAGAAGTTTATCAACCAAAGTGAGGAAAGTTCACCTGTTTGAAATAACATTTTTTTCTTTTCTAATCTTAGATTTTGTGAATTTTTCCATACAACGTTCATTTAAACCTTAGTGTTTATTTTTTTATTTTCACTCCCACTACTATGCAGAATGCAATGTACAGGGGGGGGGGATATGCTAGAGTAGATTAAACTGTTATATTGAAAAGTTCTTCAGCTTATCGATTTTCTTCAGAATATTCAGAGAAATAAATTAAAGATGTCTGAGAGAAGGGCACAGGGAATTTCTGAAAAAGCAAAATGGGAAAACAATAAAATCGCAGAAGTTTTGTAAATTTGTTCTTTATCCTTTGTTTTTAACCGATAAGCGTTAATTTATCAGTAGACAACACTTGACACATTTTAAAATAAGGTTCTATTCCCATCGTTCCTATTTCATGCCCGTTAGTTAATACTTGAAGGATAGGCACATATGCAGAGCTTCTTTGAGAGGAGGAGAGGAAGGCCAACCACAACAATTTCTCGTCCGAGCCACATTCTCCTCATTTTCTCGTCCGAGCTACCTCGAAATCCTTGTCCTTTCATCATTATCACTTTTTTAAAGTGTCTAATCATTCCAGATAAAACTATTTTTAAAGAATCCAGCCACGTTAGATATCAAACTTTTGTAAATCGAAAAAAAATTTCAATTGAATTAAAGATTTCAAGTTCAATGTCTTTAAAAATGTTCACCTTTTTTTCGCGCACTTTCAGATATTCCTGGTGTAGAATGCCGCAAATAATTCCATGTTTATAAAACTTCAATCTTTTTTATTAAATAGTAAAAACCATAGGATTTTTCTGGGTGGTGCTATGGGGAAAATTATAAACAGAGGTATGCCGAATATTTTGCTATTTATTTTAAATAACGAAGGTTAGCAATTACGGAGGCAGAAGAGATTTAAGTTTTACCTAAATAAAGTTTGACATCATTTTCACGGGTTTGAAGATTCCAACATGATATAATCATTGCAATACTTTAGTTTTAGTCCATCCATATTTTATGCCCTAACGTTGCCAGATTTTTAAAAAATAGTTTTATCTTCCAGAATTGGAAACATTTTAACACAAAATAGTCGAAGGACGAGGATTCCGAGGTGGCTTGCCTTCCTCCCCTACTGAGAGGGAAGACCAATTCGCGTTTTTTTAATTATGGCAGTATTCATATCTTTATACATACTTTGATTGCCTGTAATTGTTTGTAACCGATACACGCCAAACAGCTTAACCGATCGAGCCCAAGTTTATTGTGGGACCTTTCGTGATCCCAGGGAAGGTTTGTGGATGCTCATAATGACAAAAAAAAATTGGTTAAATTTTTAATTTCGTTATTGTTTTAAACCGAACATAAAGAAGATGCTTTCAGATAGATCAACTATTAATAGTTGAAACAGGAGATAAGCACTTCGCGCTCTAAATGCCCGGTATCATTTAAAACTACTCTTAAATTTTCAGTGCAATTTATTGATTTGAAATTATTATCTTCACTAACACACTTGCTTTTACAATTAAAACTCGTGACTGCTATGCATTTTCTGATATTCTTATTTTGCATGATCAATTATCAACTACTATACATTCTTTGGAATGTATAATTTATCCAAAGAATTATCAACTACTTAGTATATAAAGTATATAATGCAATTAAGGACTTCAAGAGAATTTCAAGCTTCTGATTTCTTAAGCTTGAAATAAGAAGCGAATTCACAAAATCTGTTTCTATAACAGAAGAAAACTAAGAAACATGTGCGACATTTAGGAAATTTTTATAAATCAGGAAAAACGAGATTTTTTTTACAAGTTTCTGTAAATTTTTTACACATTTCTATGATCGAATCAATGAGAACTTATTCACACTTTTTCTTTTTATAATATCAGTCTTCCAAAGTTTTTTTTTTCAGATTTGAATGTAATGGATTCAGTGGCGTACATAGGGGGGGGGGCAGTAGTCCTCTTGCCCCCCCCTGGAAAATACAAAATTAAAAGGAAACAAATTTAAAAAGTAAAACCTGACAAAGACTAAGGATTTGTCTAAATTCACTGTTAACACAAACTTTTAAGATACTTTAAACTAAAACTTTTGCAAAAACAAGACCTCGACATTATAGATGCTTATAACATGATGGAAGATATGGAAGGTATTCTATTTTCTATTTTGGTATTTTTTCTTACAGTCAATTTATAAAGGAATTAAGCCTTTGGCACAAACTCAAATATGTAAACCTTTGGAATCTGATGTTGTAAACCTTTGATATTTCAAATTCAGAATATTTGATCTAACAGAATTCATAGTTTGAAATATCTAAGGTCTACAACCATAGATAAAGATAGATTGCTCATAAGACGACATTTTTTATCTTGAAAGATATAAATGTACAGAGATGTTTTAAAGATATTCCTATTATATAGATTAACTAGGTCGGTTGTGAACATTGGCTGTTGTTATGTCATTGAGTACTTGTGGTGTACATGAGTTCTGTAGAGAGAAATTTAAGTTAGTTTAGTCCTTCTCATGTTTTTCTTCAGTTCTCGTCAATATGATATATTGCTCAGTGAAATATTGTTGTTCAAATAGTTCCATTCCCGGAGTTATTTTACACTCTATTCGGGAGGAATGGTTAAACCTAGTAGATTGGAAAAGACCCAATCCGAATGTTATCTGCAACGAACATTTTCCTAGTTATATAAAAGTGAATGGGAAAAAGTTTTCAAAGTCTGCTGTTCCCTCAATTTTTAACATTATCGGAGCTGTTCAGAACTGCTACCTGGAAACTGTTCTGAACGAATATAATTATGCCGTCCCAGCTATTCAAAAGCTAAAGAAAATATATGACGGAAACACGAGCAAAAGGAAAAAATTCAAAGCTCAAAAAAGAAAAGTCGACGAAAAAATTCGCAGTCTAGAATCTGTGATTGTCGAAATAAAAGACAAGTTCTCTTTACCAGAGGAAATTAAAAACCTTCTTCACAGTTCAGCAAGTAAAATTCTGGAGGAGTTGTTTCAAAGAGTTATAAAAAAGTTAAAATATTCGGATTGTAGAGATAAATATCATCCAGCTCTCCGATCGTTTGCTTAGCAAGATTATTCTTTTTCAAAACCAGTGATTGTAGACTAAATTTTTTTATCAATAAAAGTTTGATGTCATTATGCAAGTTTTTAAATCTAGGTTTATAGAGTGTTTTTTATTATTTATGAAACTTTGCCACTTTGACTGATTTTTAAGCCGTATATCTTTACAACTTGATGGTCTTTGATATTTAAAACGACATGAATTTGATTATGTCTACAACATTTGGTTCCAAAGATATAGTGATTAGAAAATCAGAGTTTGTGGCAAAGACTCAATTCCTTTATTTTCATAAAGAGATAATAAGCTTTATTTCAAGTTCCCCTTTATGCAATGATGACAATAACATCGAATGAAGGAAAGAGAAGTTTTAGCCTTCTAAAGAGAATACTTCATTGCACAAGATGTACTATGACGGAGAGCAGACCTAACGATCTTGCACTTATGGCTCACTACTGAGAAAATCAGTGAAAATATGAATTTTTAATGATGCTGTGATTATTGATTTAGTTAGCTGTGATGGAGTTAAGTGATACATTTTTAAATTTATAAAGTTAAAAAGTTAAAGTTATTTTTTCGAGCAAAGGAATAAATTTTAGACTCTATAAGGTTAGTAACACCCAAAAATGTAGTCTTTTTGGTGTATTTTTATGGTGTTCATTGACTTTTTGAACAAAACAATTCCAGGGGCGGGCAAAAAAAAAATTTTCCGGCGAAATCTTGCCATCCCCCCTGGCTAAAATCCCGTTTACGCGCCTGAAAGATTTTAATATAATTTGAAAGGTCTTTTTTGCTCTAGTGAATGCTTAATCTTACTGCGCTGTAAGGTCGTCTTTCACCAAGATTTTCTCCGCTGGCCAAACATTTCCTAGCTTTGGCAGAATTATAAACAACCTTTTCGTGTAGTGATCACGTTTCAAAAATAGGAAAAGCTTAAAAATTTGTGATTTGCAGTGAACAACAAATCTTTGTAACCAAACTGTCATTTATTTAAGAAGTTAACAACGTCGTTTTAGTTCTACTTTTTAATAGCCCGCATATCCCCTTCTAACCCTTCACTAGTAAGAACATTTCATAATACAAATAATTATTATCGACATTGAATATTTAATTCATAGTAATAAAGTCTTAATTTTGAGTCCTATTCCAGAGTTTTCTGGTTATCATGTTGCACAAAATATTATTATTAATTAATTTTCATATTTAACATAACTTTGTTGTCTCGCTTGAGTTAAAATCTACAACCCTTCTAAATTGTGATAAGGTAAAACTGAAATGCAGAAACCCAAATAACCATTAAAACGATTTAAAGGTTAAAATATTTCTGTGAATCCCTATATGTGTTATATTGTATGTATCGAAAAATAAAACCAAGTATTCTTAATTTGCATAGACTAACTTATCCCTATATCTTCTATTATCTCCGTAGCGAGGTACAGCCCTGAGAATCCCATCAGGGAGATTAGTACTGCATGGTTCAGCCTTATGACCCTTGTCAACCAGGATCTTAATAAGATTGCTCATGAAAATCTTTAAATTGTTTACATGGCTTTGATAAAAACAATTGCCATCCTCAAAGCTTCGACTGGTTTGGTCCCGGGACCAAATTAAGTGAATTTGAGCTAGGTTGCTGAATCCGGTTTAAATATTGAATAACCGATTCATTTTTTGTAATTAACTTGAGTGAATGAGTATCTGTAAAAACTAAGTCTGTAATTGATTTGTAATTAATAAGAAAAATAATCTGTGATGCATTTGATATTAATGATAAATATAATCTTTCTGGGTGAAAATGGGTGGAAAAGTGTAAGGTCACTGACATTAAAACCAAGAGATCTAATCTGCACCATATGCAGAATTTTGTACATCAATATCTACAACTGCAATTTACAATAAAATTACGAAATAATTGTTTGATAAATAAGTGATGCATTATTTATTACTCTTGCACTTTTGTTCTAATTCCAGATTTGGGCAATGGTTAGTGTTGTCGTAGACTTCAGAAATGTGTGCACTAATCTGAAATGTTGCCTATATGGAACCTTGTCTACGCATGCGTTGCTTAAGGACCTTGATGCTCTATCCTTACTTCTATCTGTCTATTTCTCTACCTGATTCAAGCTTGGCGCCAGGCGCCAGTTTATTCTTTACCTTGGCAAAGTGAGGGTCACTAAACCTATTTGTTGCCTTTTTAGATTTTAATCTAAATTCAATACCCAGCTTAATAATCCTCGTCATCTTGCACAAATGGATATTTGTTAATTGAAAGATTATATTTTCTGTGTAAAATGTTGATATTATGTATTATATAATCAGGAAAAATGTGCCGCCAGTAAAAAATGAAAATTCTACAAAAAGATAAAAGACGGATTAAGAAGATATATCAGGTGATTAAATAAACGTTTAAATAGGACAATTTTACTAGTTCCACTTCCCCTATTTTTATTGTTTGTTTTTTGAAATCCGACTGCAAATTGGTATTTAAGATTTAAATAAAGCACAAAATCAGATGAAAATTTGCAGAAACGCGGAAGTGAATAATTCCAGTGCGAAGCAAAATACAATTAATATTTCAATAGATATTTAAAGATAATTATAACTTTAATTGACTGTAGACGTAATTTTTTTCTATGGATAAATGAGATATTCTCTTTTTTTAGCTGTACATTTAGTATTTTCGATTGCGGTTTCGTTACTTTATAGTATCTTGCGGATTTATGCAGCAGAGACATCTAAAGGATATTAGCAGACTTTAACACCATTCTAGATAGAATAACGACATTGATACATAGTTAAAGTGTTTATAAAACCACTTTGAATAGAACTTGACTTGAAAGTACGTCCACAGTCCCTGTAACAAGTTCATACTTACGTACACAAGTGTCCTTTAAACTTAACAATTAGACACATTACAAACATAAAAACATTATTACTTCATATATTGTATTATTCAACTTGCGCAACTCTGGCTAAACATGCAAAACCGCATTTTCATGTCGTTAAAATACCGCAATTTTGAAAATGTTAAATTGGGTTTTATTTAAACAAAAAAAATATAAATTTAAATGCAATAATCATGATGATTACTTGATCTTTTATTAAACTCCTAGCTGACGAACGGCTAATGATTAATTTAAAGTTAATCATTGTTATTTTTATCCATTTTATAAGCAGGAATTCATGTAATTTAACTTGCATTTAAAGGTCTTAATTTATATTAAAACAAATTTATCAAAGACAACAAAGCAATTATATATGTTCAATTTTCTATGTTATACATATTTATATATATATATATAACATGTGATTAACGTAAATGGATTTACATAATTGTATAACAAAGAATTACTATACTGGTATCTATATTTTGCTAAAAGATAAGTTTTATATTTATAAAAATATTTGTACATACAAATATGTATATATATAAATATATAATGGATAATATATATAAATATATCCGACAATCTGTGTTGCTATATGTAGCCTCCTAGGGCAAAACGGAAGTAGATACTGGTATTTTGGTTTGTGCCCGCGATCGAGTGTGTGTGTTTGTGCGTAACTTCTAAACTTGATCAGATCCATTTATATTTCAGTTTTTTGTTTATTAATTCTTCATTATAAGTTTAGCTTCGGGTGTAAAATATCAAGCAATTAAAAGGTTAAATAGAAAAACTATGTTTCAACAAAATAGCTGCACCTGCACTCTATTAGGATTGATTAGATAGTTAGCATCTTTATTTTAATTTAAGAAGTTGGTGATCATTCATTTTCCCTGTAGTTATAACAAGACAGTTGGCTGGTTTCATCTTATTATATATTAACTTAATTTACACATTTACACTGATATAGCAAACTCCTTAGCACGTTTTATCTATTTTTAACAAAATAGTTGGAACTTTTTTTCTGTGATAACACATTAGTTATAATTGTCCTTTCTGTTTAACATGATTGTTGTTAGCACGTTTCTTCTGTTAAACAAAGTAGTTAGCACGTTTCTTCTGTTAAACAAAGTAGTTAGCACGTTTCTTCTGTTATAAGAAGATAATGATTCTTTGCTCATAACAAAATAGTTAGTTTGTTTTTCTGTATAAAACAAGAATGGTAAGCACGTTTCTTATAATATAATTAGTCAGTTTACCTGTTTTCCCTGTTTTAAAAAGTTAGTAACGATATTATTGGCTCTTGTTCTCTGTCCTAACCTATTGCTGTTTTTTAAAAAGTCAGAAACGATATTAATAGCTCATGTTCTCTGTCCTAACCTATTGCTGTTGTTTTAAAAAGTCAGTAACGATATTAATAGCTCATGTTCTCTGTCCTAACCTATTGCTATTGTTTTAAAAAGTCAGTAAACGTGTTTCTAAGATCGGACAAGATGGTCAGCTCATTTTTCTAGTATAACAAAATAGCTAGCACGTTTCCTCTATTTTAACAAGATAATGTTTCTTCTATTATAAAAAGATAGTTGGCACGTTTTGTTTTGTTATAGCAAGATGCTTAAAACGTTTCATCTGTTCTACAAATTATTAGAACGTTTTCTTTTACAAAAAAAAATCAGTATAGCATGTTTTTTTATAATAAGAAAGTTAAGATAATTTGCACGCGTTTCATCTGTTATAACGATATAGCTTAAACAAGATATCAGTTAGCATGTATTCTTAGACATAACACTAGATTCGTAGCACATGTGGGGAGATATTTCCACAATCTCTATTTTTGGAGGTTTTTAAATATTTTTTCTATAAAACTCTTAAATTTCTATTTTTTTGTTAATGTTTCATAAATAAATAATTACTTACCAATTCCTAAATATTTTAATTATTGGCAAATCATTTATAAAACATGATGATATCCTCCACAAAACCTTGATCGATGTTTGTTACAAAATATTGTTTATTTTAATCTTGGTTTTGCACATATGCATTTTATTCATGTTCACACACTTGTCTGTTTATATATTAAAGTACATATTGCTGTATTACTCAACCAAAAATCACCATATGCCACTATTTGACAGTAAATTACGAATCTTAAATAGTAATAAAATCTACTCTTAAAGGGAGCCTTCACAATATTAAAGGTGATATCTTTTGAACCAAAAGCTGAGAATTGTGAATCAATAGAATACGACATACTTCTTAACTTGATAAATGCCTTCCTCTAAAGACCCAAAAAAACACGCGAAACCCTGGTTTTCCTGGGCGGCTTGCAGCCTTGCAGTTAATTGTGTGGAAACTTTTCACGATTTGATCAAGGTTCACCTTTTAGTTTTTCGCGAACAACCTCTGTAATAAAAATTTATACGCAAAAACTAAATTTAAATGAACAATCGAGTAAACAAAAGTTTGATTCGCTTGAGTTGCATCATTTAAACACATTACGTAAATTTATGATACCGTTACATAATATACTTGGCTTCCGCAATGTAAGTATATACGAAGCCAAATTCTATTGATGATATACTTGATCATTCAATTAATAATATTAATATTAAATTTGCAAAGGGACCGAGTTTTTTGCCACAAACTCAAATTATCTAATCCTATATATTTGCAACCTGATAATGTAAACATTTGATATTTCATACTTTAAAATCTAGCATAATTCATAGTATAAAATATCAAAGGTCAAATTTAGTTAAAATATAACACAATTTTAATGTTAAAATTATTTAAAATTTAATAAATAAATTTAATAAAATTTTAAAGCGTATACGTGTATGTTAATATGTAATAACAATTTTAGATTATTCTATCTTCCTATAAACGAATCTTGATTAAAAAATAAAAGCAGTGTATCACGTGAAGGAAGTATCAAAATTTTTTATTAAAGGTCATGTTTTAAATGCTTTTTAATTCTATTTTTGACGCTGCTTAAAAATGGAAATATGCAGGCTGCTTCAAGTTAATTATGGGTTTCTGTTCCTCAATTTAAAATTTTTTATAAGAATCCGTTCATTGATCTACAATTCTACATTGTTACATGTACACATTACTTGTAGCAAATAATACCGAGAGCCAATATTGTAAACGATGTTTTTATTCTTAAATCACAAATAACACAGATTGGACAAAAGATACCATTTTTAGTAGTTTTCCTAACTTTCAGTGCAATTGTAGTCTTTAATCCAAAATAAGATTATTTGGGGTTTTAATAAAACATATATAAAAACCTTTTACATTAAATTCTTACATCCCGGAAGAGAATACTATTGGAGTTATGGGGGGGGGGGCGTGCAAGGGGGAGAAAGGATATTGCAGAAAACATTTCAAGCATGTCAAAATACCAATTGAGAAAGGACGGATTAGAAAGATTCATTGTCACTGGATTATGATTATCTTTGGACATATATAAGATATATGAAAGCATGAATTTGTACTACTACTAAAGTGTTGTATCTGGCCTAGAAGGTTGTTGCAAAAGGAAAATACTAAAACAATTGGACGTGAGTTTTCTCAAAAAGATTTCGATGAAAAAAGTCAGGATAATTACTTTCTCAATAATTTTACTCATATTTTCAAGCCCGGCCCACAAACCAAATTTCTATGGCATTCCAAAAGTTTCTTCAGGCGCACTGTGCCTTGTGTTCTTTCGCGAATTTGAAATGACGACATTTTTCGTTCAAAGTATTTTTTCCAGAAGGAAGTATTAATTCAAATGAAAGGTCTTGATCTTGATATTCACTGTGAAAACTTTGAAACTTGAGGGATAAGTGATTGGTTCCTAAATTTTGGTTATCCCTTCCGGTTACGGTGACCAGGGGATTTCCATGTGGAATTTATTGCGTCCGGAAAAATGTACAATATAGAGATATAACTGCTTGAACCCGGGATTCATAGTACACATCTTTTATCCACAATATTTTTAAAAATATTTTGAGTTTGAAGTTTAATTTTGACAACTGTAGGAGACTTCTTGGAATTTCTTAAAAAGGGGGGTTTAATCGTGAATATATTAAATATATTACCGGTAAATTTTAATTCGGATTTATCTTTTCATTTTTGCTAAACTCTCCCATAAAATCAATAAACCAATTTCATTTGTCCTAGGATTTAATTTTTGAGTTTACTGGTAAAGACTTAAAAAAATGAAAAAAGTGATAAAAAGCTAACTTTTACAAAAAGTCCAAAAGGAAAAAGGGATCAGAAAAAAACATCAATTATTGATCTTTCACCATTTTTTTTCTTGATTGTTTCACGAGTCACGACGACATTAAAACAATTATGAAGTGCATTTGATGTTGTTTTAAAACGTCTATAGTAAGTTATTTAATCACTTTAAAGTGAAATGGGTCTGTTTACACTGCACATTTGTGGTGTCAAATGTTCATTGGACTATTTAAAGTCATAACTTTAGTTAAAAGTCGACTTCCTATTTCAAAGTTTTCTTGTTACTACGAAATGAATATGATTTATCTGTGTAAATTCATGTTAATACACCTTTAATCTAAACATAATGAAAAGGCTCACTTTATGCAGAAATACTAGTGCAGCTGTGCGATATCCTAAATCGTTTAGCTTTCCTTCGAAATACTAAGTTAGGAAAGCAAACTTAATTGGTTGCAAATAGGTATTTTAACAAAATTCAATATAATAGCTTTTCGGAAAAAGGAGATGAATGTTGAAACATGAAGAGACTTCAATATATATTGAAACCAATTTTGTACTGCTGATTCATTAATTACTTCTACGACCAATTTCCGATTAAGTTAATTCTCCAAATTAACGCAATTAGATCAGATTTTGTAACTATTCTCAGATCGTGTATTGGTTATTGTCAGGTTAGAAACAAAGGTTCGAAATACGAGAATTTGTTTTATTTACATTTTATTTGCATTAAGCATTGTGATGCCGACTGGAACAGAATTATGAAATCCAAGCAGTATTATAGAACTACGGAGAGTAAGTTGCTTACATTATACTCTGGAATACATGCAGTATTAGAACAACGGAGAGGGAGTTGTTTACATTATACTCTGGAATCCAAGCAGTATTAGAACTACGGAGAGGGAGTTGTTAACATTATACTCTGGAACCCAAGCAGTATTATAGAACTACGGAGTGTGAGTTGTTTACATTATACTCTGGAACCCAAGCAGTATTATAGAACTACGGAGAGGGAGTTGTTTACATTATACTCTGGAAACCAAGCAGTATTATAGAACTACGGAGTGTGAGTTGTTTACATTATACTCTGGAATACTGAAATCCTACAAATTACAAATTGGGTCACTTCTAGACGTACGGGTACGGGTAAATGTTTATGCAGTACGATTACTCTAGAGCGGTAAATCCGGGTTTGGTTCTGATCAAGTAACTTATGTGTACATCATAGGCCCTCCTGTCTATGAATTCTAAACCTTATTTTCAATAATGCTGAATTCAATATAATTAGTGATAAACACAACACAGACAGTATATGTATGTATATTGTATATGTATAATGTAAATGTACAAGTATTTGTATATATGCATATGTAATGAACATACCGACGTTATATTATTAAAAAGTAATATAACATATTATTTCGTATGGGTTCTTTTGGTTTATTGGCTGTTTTATTAGCATTAAATAAAAGAATAAGTCTATATAGCGCCCAAGACAATTATGTAAAGACGACTTTACAAAAAAATCTTTTACATTCCGAATTTAGGTTTTAGGGAATGCAGGGATGGGGGAGGGGGAGGGGCCATTATCTATATTCATCCCACTCTTTATTTTGATAATATGTGGTTATAATTATTTACATCTACTTTACAGGGAAGTTAAGGGAATTTTACTTTACCGAGGGTTCCCAAGTCCAATCGGTCAAGGGAACTCGTGGTAAAATAAAAATTCTAATTTCCTGAAAAAGTAGTTTTACACAATTTTATCGTCTTTTGAGATAAAAATGCGCGAACTTTTTACTTTTTACATAACTGTACCAAGGGACGTTAAGTAACTTAACCTTCCTCTATTGAGGGAATCATATGTCGGTAATGTTCGTCAAAAGGTGGTAAAATTACTTACCGGGCAGAAATTAATGCGTTGTGGATATTTTTTTTAAATGTAGTTTGAAAATATTTTTTGGAAGTCTTCCATGCATACCTTATTTTGAAGAAGTTGGCATCCCTTAGTGTATTTTTAAAAAGAAATTACCCTGTTAGTAACACTACGCTGCCCATGTTTCCTTTAGTATTTACATTTTTAATATATATATATTAAATATACCCATTATTTATATCAAAATTAAATTCAAACTTTTATTGTAGAAAACAAAGCATTTCGTATTTGGCATTTTTTGTTACAAAATTAAGTTAATTAACCGATTTAAATAAAATAATTGTTTATTATTGTGATTAGCTAAATTTTTTTACATATCATACAATAATTTTCCAGGAATTTCACGTTTTTTTCTATTTTAGATCTGACATGAAGACCTTCTCCAGAAGTACAAACCGAAGATCTGAGCTAACCTGCTCCAGAACACAAAAGACTTTTCCCCAATTTTAAATCTGGCTAAACACACAGAAATCAGTAAAAATGTTAAAGAATATTCCTCCTGTTGTTGTCCAAGGATTAATATCCCTTCTCTGTGTATCCTCTTCAGATCCTAATCCTTCCATCTTCCTTTTAACAGATCCTTCTAGTTCAAACCAAAGTGAGAAGAATATCCATAGACACAATCTTTATATACAACAATATATTATCTTATACATGAATTGAAATTTTTTTATTATTAAGGGAACTGTTACCGTAATTTTAAGTGAATTCCCTAAAAAAAATACTATAATATTCGATTGCAGTTTTTTAGGAAAGTGCACTTTATGCAGTACAGAAAATTTGTAAAAAATGAAAATTTTGAATTGTTGCTTCTCTTTCTTTTGAAATGTTTTTTTTGCTTAAAATTGCGTTGGCACTCCCCCTTAAAATAAATTAACGATATTGTAAAAGCTTTTTTTTGTTCTGATTCATAAAAATTACACCATCTGAATTTTGTGCATAGAACTTACCTACTCTGTCCCTGGTGTTTCCAGTAACCGGAGAAGAAGAGATGGTTTCGGTTTCCTCCAACATTCAGGAATAATTTAGAAATTTATCACATATAAACCTCTTTTAATTGTTCAAAATGTATATCTTCACTAAATTATGTAAATGATAAGTTATTGCCTGGTCTATAGTATCTGAAGATATCGATGATTTTGATGACTTTTTCCGCAGCAAGGAAAACACTTTTGGAGATGAATATATACCGCTAGCGTCGGCTTTAGGAAAGACATTTATAAAAACCAAATATTAAAAAAATATCAAAAATGTTAATCTTTTTTCAGTTTTAGTCCTCGAGCATCTATGTTTATAAATTTTTCTGTAGTGAGTGAAGATGACTTCCGACACGGTCCTAGTCCGAGCACCTGGAGCAATAATGAACGCTTCTTCTTTACACGTCCTCAACAAAAGAGAGGACGACCTTCAAGACCTAGAGAGAAATTCTTTGTAGGTGACCCGAGCCAGTGCACAACAGGCTCATGTGAATTTTTTCTATTTTGTTGGTTGTCTGGAGGGGTCGTAGAAGGTGGTTGTGGTGGCTTCTTAATGTCTTGCTGCAACAGACCGAACCAGTTTGGACATAAGGTCATAGTTGAACAGGTAGGTCCAAAGTTTGAAGCTCAATCTACCGACACATTTTTAAAATGCAAAAGAAAATTCCTGATTTTTTTTTTGTTAGGAATATCTTTTTATTAAACATCAATTAGTATTTACTAAAGAAATTTATGAAAGCGTTTCAGCAATGAAATATTTCTTTTGAAAATATACGTTCTGAAATATGAATTAAAAACAATATAGTAAAAATAACCATAATCTCGGGATTGGCTTCTTAATCTATGATTTGCATGATTTTTGCTTTAGGCTGTTTCAGCAACAAGCTGTAGCAGCACCCGTGTTGTGTTTTGTTTTTAGAGAGCTGGCTTTGGACCAATCTGTATCCGTCACAGTAAATCTATTCTAGTTCTGTCTTTACGACATAATCAAAATAAGACACACGGTAGCACACAATCCGCCACTTTTTTATCTTTTGATTCCACGTAAATCAAGGTAGGTTTTTAAACTTTTTGCCTCTTTGAATATCATGGATTTAAACATAATGTTTTTTCAATCAGTACATTAATATGATTATCTTTTGTTCAAGCACATGTCACACAGACAGTTAGAGATGGTCATAGTTTTGAGATTTGTTTTAAAACATTCAAGGTTTTTTGCCCTTATAAATTTTAAGTGCTCCAAAAGAATGTGAATTATATATTACAGAACTGCATTCTCTAATCAAAGATATTAACCAACGATCTTTCAACACGATTTTACAAATTGTTATAAAAGCTTCTTCGGACAAAGTAAAGATTTTGCATGACGTAATAAAAGCAAAAGCAAAAAAAAATATACATTATACTTCCCAAATTTTTGTGAAACCTCTTTAAAGTCTATAACGAACATCAAAATTATGACTATCAGCAGTCACACCACACTCCTGCAAAACATTTGAATATCTCTACCAAATAAAATGTTTTTAATTTGCAATCAAGCATCTAAATTTACGATACACTTTTTTCCAGTTAAGGCTAATTGACACAAATTTCAACCCCAGCCAACCAAAGAAAACATTAACTTAGTCACATCGACCATACTATAGATATCTACATTATACAGTGTAAACTTTAAAAACAATATTATTGATAGACTATTCAAAGAAAGATATGGCCTGTCTGACGACTTAAGTTAAACCGCCACTGCACGGGGAGGGTAACCAGCTGAGTACAAAATTGTTGAGCTCAGTAATTAGATTATGCACATTCCACAGCAGTAGCACTAACTAGTTCTAAAATATTTTTTGTTACAAAGCAAGGTACTATTGCAAGGAAAGTTAATTGCGGTTGTGTATACTCTGCGTACATATTGAAACCGGGTGGAATTTGATGCATTAGTGTTCGTCTAGTATTCGAGGAGGATTAAATCATTTTATTTAGATAATTTTGATAATTCACATAATAGTTTCCTATGACCAGAATATTCCTAGATTATTTTTGTGAAAATGAATTACATGTCAGGAATCCGTCTTGTGTTTACTTTTCCGCCAAAAAGACAGTACACTGCAATACAAAAAATGCGTACATCTATGAAATAACTTTCCTTGCTTTAGTACCTTGCAAAGAATCAACTAAGCACGTTTTGAAAAAGATTAAACTTATTTAGAAACTCCTCAATTTTGATATACTGATTCATTTGAATTCAAAAATTTGTGACATGTCTAGTTGTCTTTACTGAACAAACAATCTAACTTTTCGGTGCACAAACTAAATTATTTTAACTTGTCCTAGTTCTTTGATTGTTGGTTATAAGCAGGAAGTTTGTGTCATATTAATAATGTCACATGGTTACCAGTTTACATCATGTTTAGTGCACGAACTAGCTACTTCTCATAAATAAAACAATTTTGTTCCATAAAATTTTTATTTTCTAATAAAATAAATGCACAAAATTAGATTGAAGATATAAAGATAATCTTAAAATCATGCAAATTTATAGAACTGGTCCCGGTCACGCATGATTTTGTAAAATTTTTAAAAATACCTTAAAAAATTTTGAATTTTCTGCATGCGAATGTTTTTATGATAGTTTTTATAAAACTAACCTTTTTTAACTAATGGGTTTCTAAAATGTTTCTAGAATGTAGATAGTAACCGTTGCTTTAGGGGCGTGAGGATTTTTTTCTTATATTCTTGACAAAGTAATAATAAATTTAAATGTTCTGAATTATTTTTTTTCTCCAATTTGCCATGGCCTTGTACACCACATAAAATATCTAAGTTAGTTGGCTCCTCTTATCGCTCAGGTCGCTCAGGTTGTACTTTTAAATGTTTTTCATCAATTGGCATTTGATGAATTTCAGTCCGAATTCTGGACGTAAGCGATAATTGTGAGTCCGGAAGAAGGAAGTAGAGATGACAAAGCTAAATTCAAGTTTCCAGCTAAAATCTGTCACAATGAATAAACAGAATTTAAACCGGTTCAAATTAAACAAAATTCACGTGAGAAATATTATTTAAAAGTGTTTAATTATTCACGTGTTTAGGACAACTTTGCCCACCCAGAGGTCAATTGGGGAGAAGTTCGGAATGATCCTCGATGCGGAATATCTGCCGTCCGACATTCGGTTGCACAGCGGCGAATTGTGGGCGGAGATGAGGCAGGATTTGGTACTTTTCCTTGGCAGGCGTACATTAGGATAGGAACATCTAGATGTGGAGGATCTTTGGGTATATATCTATATATTTTATAATGTGAGGAGTAGAATTAACAGAAGAATTAATGTTACTGTTTTATCTCTAATCTTCTTTAAAAACAAATACAGTAAAAAATTAAACTGATGAATTTTGGTTAAAAAATATCTGTTAAATATTCATCCTTACTAATTCATTATATCGTTTGAGATTTGAAGCTTTCACATAATTTTGTCGTTATTTATCTAAGAGATACATTCTCTGGCTAGTTTAACTCATTTAAACTTTTTAAAATTGGTTAACAGGGGAAGTTAACGTTTGTTATATAATTATCCCGTGTGTTTAGTTAATGAATGGTATGTGGTAACTGCAGGACATTGTGTAGCTAGAGCTCGACCTTCACAGGTTTTAATCTTACATTTTACATTTTACATTTTACATTTTACATTTTACATTTTACATTTTACATTTTAAATTTTACATTTTATATTTACATTTCATCTAAATTATTTTATTAGCTGTTCATTCTTAAGTCCGAGTTTTACTATTTGCAACATTATTTAATTATTGAAATATTTCTTAAATATTTTAATTAAAGTTTTAAAACACTTTTAAAAATAAATCATTGTTATTGTTATATCCATTTGTGGGTTCGAGTAACATTGGGAGAATATGTTTAATATTCGTATGTTCGAGTATAACATTATGAAATATGTTTAATACTTCTAGGTTCGAGTAACAGTGGTAAAATATGTTTAATATATGTAGGTTCGAGTAAAATTGGGACAATATGTTTAATATTTGTAGGTTCGAGTAACATTAGGAGAATATGTTTAATATTCGTATGTTCGAGTAACATTAGGAGAATATGTTTAATATTTGTAGGTTTGAGTAACATTCGGAGAAAATGTTTCATATTTGTAGGTTCGAGTAACATTGGGAGAATATGTTTAATATTTGTAGGTTCGAGTAACATTAGGAGAATATGTTTAATATTTGTAGGTTCGAGTAACATTAGGAGAATATGTTTAATATTTGTAGGTTCGAGTAACATTAGGAGAATATGTTCTTAAATCAGACGCGGAACCTCTTCCAGGCCGCACATACGGAGCTTCTGCTATTAAAGTAAATTAGATAATACAAAAAGTTAAAAAAATTATTAACAAAAGTTTATTGAAATCTTCCAAATGTATATTTAAACTTAAACGTGTCAATTTCAAGAGAACGCTTAAATTAAAAATAACTATAAATGGTTGCAGACAAACACAGTATTTGGTAATTGACAAGCTCGGGACATTATTCTCGTTAAAAGTCTGTATCCTTTTCGAATCTCGATAAAGAAAAAAATAACAGAATTAAAGCAGTGCGAACCAAAACAACAGAGTTATAAATATATCTCACAGACATAAAAAACATTTTTACTTTCAGGTACACCCCTACTTCAAGTTTACCCCCCAGGCAGATAGGTTTGATGTAGCAGTAATTCGGTTGAATAGAAGGGTTGATTATGCACCTCATATATCACCTATTTGTCTTCCTCCAAAGGTATCAAATTATGTATTCTTTCAGTTTGCATTAAATGTTTACACAACTCCTCCAAATGATATAACATTTTTTGCCGAAGTCGAGGTTAAAATATCTTCCTGGATATTGGATATTTTTATTATTGTAATTGGTTATCTAGACGCAAATCTAAAATTACAAACTAATATGTGTCTTTTTAATCCAGAAAATGTTTAACTTGTAAAAAAATTAATGAATATTTTGAAACCATGTTATTGTCTATTTATATTTTAGAATATGCCGTTACTAGGACACTATGGTTGGGCGTCTGGATGGGGAGCTCTTGAACCAGGATCAAGATTAAGACCAAAAACATTGCAGGTTCCATTTTATAAAAATAGGTTTGAGAAAGCTTTACGCCCTCTTTCCTATTAACAATTTTAGCGATGAGCTCTGAAAGCCACCATCTTTAATCGTTTTCAAATGTTCGCGGACTTTCGTGGTTGGGAGCAGTGTATTGTAGAGGTTGGAAACAGTGTAGAGGTTGGAAACAGTGTAGAGGTTGGACGGTGTAGAGGTTGGAAACATAGTAGAGGTTGGAAACATAGTAGAGGTTGAAACAGTGTAGAGGTTGGAAACAGTGTAGAGGTTGGGAACAATGTAGAGGTTGGAAACAGCGTAGAGGTTGGAAACAGTGTAGAGGTTGGAAACGGTGTAGAGGTTGGAAACAGTGTAGATGTTGAAAACAGTTTAGAGATTGGAAACAATGTAGAGGTTGGAAACAGCGTAGAGGTTGGAAACAGTGTAGAGGTTGGAAACGGTGTAGAGGTTGGAAACAGTGTAGATGTTGGAAATAGTGTAGAGGTTGGAAACAGCGTGGAGGTTGGAAACAGTGTAGAGGTTGGAAACAGCGTAGAGGTTGGAAACAGTGTTGAGGTTGGAAACAGCGTAGAGTTTGGAAACAGTGTAGAGGTTGGAAACGGTGTAGAGGTTGGAAACATAGTAGAGGTTGGAAACATAGTAGAGGTTGTTAACAGTGTAGAGGTTGGAAACAGCGTAGAGGTTGGAAACAGCATAGAGGTTGGAAACAGTGTACAGGTTGGAAACAGTGTAGAGGTTGGAAATAGTGTAGAGGTTGGGAACTGTGTAGAGGTTGGAAACAGTGTAGATGTTGGAGATAGCGTAGAGGTTGGGAACAATGTCTAGGTTGGAAACAGCGTGGAGGTTGGAAACAGTGTAGAGGTTGGAAACAGCGTAGAGGTTGGAAACAGTGTAGAGGTTGGAAACAGCGTAGAGTTTGGAAACAGTGTAAAGGTTGGAAACGGTGTAGAGGTTGGAAACGGTGTAGAGGTTGGAAACATAGTAGAGGTTGGAAACATAGTAGAGGTTGTTAACAGTGTAGAGGTTGGAAACAGCGTACAGCGTAGAGGTTGGAAACAGCATAGAGGTTGGAAACAGTGTACAGGTTGGAAACAGTGTAGAGGTTGGAAATAGTGTAGAGGTTGGAAATAGTGTAGAGGTTGGGAACTGTGTAGAGGTTGGAAACAGTGAAGATGTTGGAAAAAGCGTAGAGGTTGGGAACAATGTAGAGGTTGGGAACAGCATAGAGGTTGGGAACAGTGTAGTGGTTAGGAACAGTATATATTTTGGGAACAGGAAAGAGGTTGGGAACAATATAGTGGTTGGGAATAGTGTATATATTGTGAACAGTGTAGAGGGTGGAAACAATCATAGAAGTTGGGAATGTTGTAGAGATTGGGAATGTTGTAGAGGTTGGGAATGTTGTAGAGGTTGGGAAAATTCTCGAGGAATGAAAAATGACAGAGGGTTGGAAAACAGTGAAAAAGTTAGAATCATTAAAAAAGGTTAGGAACTAATAGAATTTTGGTACAGTGTAGATCTTGGTAAAATTACAAAGATTGGGAATATTATTAATGTTGGGAACATTGTAGGTTTAGACCCTTATATAGTCATCTAATATAAACTGTCAGAAACATAAATTGTTTCAATCTAAAGATATTAAATGTATGGACGTTGAATAAAAGTACTTTTTCCAGGTTGTTGATGTGCCGATGATCGATAATCGGGAGTGCGAACAGTGGCATCGGTAAAATATTAGTTTTTTCGCAGCAGGTTACAAGAAAAAAGTTTATAAAAAAAAAATATTAGAAAAACTAGAAAAGCTCGAAAATAGAAAATTCTGAACGACGTAGTTCTTAAAGTTTCCTACAGCGTTATCTACTTCGCTGCACTACAATAAAAGAGAAGTGAGAAAGCGGCCGGTGTCCTGCATAAGTTCAACTCTGTGCGACAGTTCACAACCCTCTTATGTGTTTTAAAACTATTAGTTTTAATAAATGAATGCGCATTTAATTCTAAAATGTATTATTGAAGGGGAAAAGCGCAAATAAAATGTTTTTTCCTTTCAAAATATCAAACAATCAATATTTCTTCGAGACATAGATAATTTCTAATGATGTTTGCCCAATCAAAATACATAAATAAATATTGGCCAGGGTCAAAACATGGCTTTTGGTGTCTAAAATTGTGCTAAAATGGTGTAAACACTGGGGGATGGTGAACCCTTGCGTGCAGGGTATAGTGTCTCTGGGCTTTGTTTCATTCCAACTTTGTTCTCCGACAGCAGTACAAAAATATAGTTTAAGCATAGGTGGATTTGTGAACCGTTATGGAAACCTTAAGAAGTACGTCGTAAATATCTCTAAAAATAATTTCTGACCTCAACTTATTGTTAGAGAGAAGGGCATTAATGTTATCATCTACGACGAGATGGTGTGTGCTGGATATTACCAGGGAGGAAAGGTGAGACTTTGCTTAAAACAATTGAAAATTGGATTAAAACAATTTTGCGGATTTTCTCCAATTTATCGATTCTTTTAGAAACATTTCATAGCTCTATTTCTTAAGTATAATAATAATCAATGGTCTTGCCAGAGCAGTTTTCCAATTCTGATAATCCGATTTTTTTCAAAGGTCTCATGATTAGAGAGAAATAATATGTTTTCAGTTTTCCTATTCCAAACATTGGATTTTAATGAAAATTAAAGTATTTCCCCCCCCCTCAAAAAAATATATATATTAAATATACCATAAAAGCTAATTCACCTGAAAAAAGTATAGTTTTGCACACCTGTTTTAATTCATCCCGTATACACAAGTACATAATTAACCCTTAATCCACGGATTCTTAATTTTTCCTATCAGGATTCCTGCCAAGGAGACAGTGGTGGCCCTCTTATGATGGAGCATGAAGGAAGATGGACACTTATCGGTAAAAATTTGTTGACAACTAAAATTTTAAAAATTTAATAATTAGAGGAAAGCTTTTGTTTTTATCTAGCCCAGATATAGGCCACTCCGAGTCCATTGTCCATTGTTTTTTTGACAAGTTGTTATTAAGATTAGTAAAAAGGCTAGGACTAAATTTTTTTAAAATAAAATTAAAATTTTAGAAATGTTGGAAATTAGCAGAAATTTGTTTTCTTTTTGTGGCTGGATTGTAAATTCATTATTGAGATTCAAGGCCCTGGTTTCGTTATAGTAGAACCAAATGTACCAACAAACATTTCAACCATGATAAACATAATACTCCGTGCAGGGACTAATATTTACAAAATCAGGAAAATATTTGTATATTTGTTTGTATAGGTCTGGTTTCAGCTGGATATTCCTGTGCTAAGAGAGGGCAGCCTGGTATTTACCACAGGTTAGCTTTTGTTATTTCAAACCCAAGTGTTGAAACCCGGAATCCTTTTGAAAACGTCTTTTAAAAGGAATTTAACAAACTGCTTTTTTCAAATGGACTTTTATTTTAACTTAAAGTGATTCTCCATTTAAAGAAAGCAATATCCGATTCACAACCGTACCTTTTAACCCATTTTGATCAATAATGTGGAAGATGTCGTCGTTACATTGTTAATGTTTGTGTTGTTAATATCGTGATCCAGAATGCTTCATATTATGCAAACCTACTGATTTATTTATTTTCTTTTCGATATCCCATGGTGATCATACCCTGGTGGGATAACTATAATTCAGGGATCATGCATTTATCCTTGAATCTAAAAGTGATCGCATTGGATATCGAGATCAAGTGTTTCAAGATGAACGATACTTCACACAAAAGTTCCGAACTCTGATGTCGTAGATCTTTGCTATTTTAAACTATGAATTTTGCTAGATAAAATAGCCAATGCTTGAAATATCAAATATTTTCTTAAGCTGCTAAGATATGGGAATTTTTAAACTAGAATCTAAAACGTTCAGTCAGTTCCATTAATTGTGTTGCAAACCCGGAACAAGAGATAACATTAAAGTAAATTTGTAAATAAGAATTATAATAAACTGAAACTCCATTGATTAGATAGAACTTGAATGTGTCAATGCCATACATGAAACATATTAATTCTGTTTGGATTCTAGCTTAAGTCATTATAAATTATAATAAATAATTACGACGCAGAAAAAATTATTTCTTTTAATTTCTTAAATAAAATGTTTTCTAATTAACAATATTTTTCAGGGTGGCCCAAACCTCAGACTGGATCTCACACTCAATTAACTCATAAACTGAAACACCAAATTCTTCCCCCCCCCCTCTTCAATAAAAATATCTGACTTGTTTTTGCAGGGATTTAATATTTTCCAGATGGAAATATCTTGTTGGTCAAACGATATCATTGATTCTATATTACTTCTTAGTCCTTATATTCTTAAAAGAGAAAAAAGAAAAAAATATATTTTGGGCGGAAATCGATTATTTTGAATGTCAAGTCTGGGTAATTTTCCCTCAATTGCACCTTTTTATTCTAATTTTGTTAATTTCCCCTTTGTGGCGTTTTGTTGTGTTTTTTTATTTATATTTTGTCAGTACTAGTTAACCGCAAAACAAACAGAATATTTTTGTTTCTTCAGAGTTAAAAGTAAGATATTTAGTTGTGATTTTAACAATTAAATGGATTAATTCAAATCCTTACAATCCATTATTCTTAAAGTCAAATCAGTAAAAAAAGAAACAAGAAAGTATTTAAAGAAGTATTCTTGTTTTATTTTATTTTATGTGCAATAAATATTGTAATCAAAGGGGCATTTTACGATACAAGTCAAGTTTATTAGACTTTTTAACAATGCACTTGTGATTTTATCTAGATAATAATTGTCTTTGTATATTTTTAGTCATAGAAATGTCATTATTTTATGTCTTAATTGTTTATGTTTATTTATGAATAAAAAGTTCTTGTAATCTACTACTGTCGTCTTTTATATTTCTAGAAGCATGCTTAAAAAAATCGATTAACAGACTTTAAAAAATTCAAATCGAGTGCACATGGTTTGGTTGCAAGAAGAGTTGATTATGTTTTCCAGAGGGGAGAAAATAATCAAATTATTGCCAAAAAGTTTTACCCCCCCCCCTGGAATTTTTTACAGGGAATTTTATCAATGTTATGTCAAACCATGAGCAGCTGAGAGGTGGAAGGTGGAAAATTTGGATTTTTATAAAAAATATTCATTTTAAATAAGGAAGTGGCGCCCCAGGCAAAATGTTTTTGAATCTATTCATAAAAATATAAAAATAAAGGGCTAGTAGGTGCGTGCTTACTCCTCTTGCGCTCCTAATTTTTCCGGGATGGCGTCCCACCAATTTTCCAGGAGAGGGGTGACGTACCCCCTATCTCCCCCAGCCGCCTCTGATTATGCACTTCAAATGTCACCTATTTGTCTTCCTCCAAAATTGAAATTAGATCATCGCGTCGGTTAATGATGTATATTTGATGCAAAAAACACACAGATATATGGAGTACCTATATAAGCCTAAAAATGTATTCTCCCTAAACCCTAACTTGTCATTTTTGGGGAATTTTCACGGTATTAGTAAATTAATTTAAACTTGGATATTCAAACCGTCCAAGGATATCCATGCATCTTATTATGCTTTTTTAAAATTACGTATGCTCCTTTACTAGCGATTTGTTTTACTTTTCTCATCGAGTTAAAATTTAGATTCATATCAAAAATATCCATAATATAAATTCCTGGTAGAGTTAAATTCACCTTTTAGGATAATTTTCCCATAAACATTTTTATCCTTACAGGGTTAAATTAAATGGCTTAAAATGGCTGCTAAGTATACTATCTACGAGAAATTTGACGAAAAATATAATAAACTTGTATATTTTCCCCCCTCAAATTTGAATTCAGCTTATTAGCGCGCTTAAACCATCTGAGTAAAGTTGTATGAAATTGTCACTTTAAATTGGTATACCCAGAGCTGATCCAACATATAAACAAAAAGTACAAATTTAAATACCCAAAAAATACAAATGCTTAGTCCTAGTTTTCTCATCATGGGGATCTTGTTGAATTATCTTGTATATATTTTAAGGTCGTTGAGGTCAAAAAAGTTGAAATGCTGCCACATTAAACGTTAAACCGGCTTTGTTTGTTGAACAGTAGGTCCGTTGTTTCTCTGTTCCTTAATAAACATCATACGCGCCCTGCCTACTGCCCTTTACACCCTTCTATAAACCTCCTACCTGGCAGTCCTAGTTGTTGCCAGATAGCAGTGTTCACCTCCATACTAGACACATTCTTGTTCGTTTAAAAACCAGTGAATTTAAATGTATATGTTACATGAGCAGGTTGAGTTTAAATTAGATTAGCAGTAGGGGGGGGGGGGGGTGGGGGATGTTAGAAAGTGAACCCCCCCCCCCTTCTTTCTCCAGCATGTCAATTCTGATCATATTGTGTGCAGCCACCTCTCATTAAATCTTGTCAATAAGAAAAAAATATAAAAATTACAAAACAAAAAATTAGAAATATTTTCTAGTTTAGAAATAGAACGATTTAAATATTGCTGAAATGGTTTTAATTTTATAGTTTGAATATGCATCAAGACGTGTAAAACGTAGAACCGAACTACTAAGATATATTTTATTTAATTTTTACTTCTGAAGTTTTGATCAAGTTCAGAATATTAGAAGTAAATTGTTTTAAAATAAAAGTAAACATGTTGTTGCATCATATTATGGTTCATTAGAAGATAACTTGATAGACTTGATAAAATGAGAAGTAACAATAGTAACAAAATTGAAATATGTCAATTGAAACATAAAAAATATACTTTTTGAACTTTGAAGGGAAATCCTTAAAGGGTTTAATTAGAAAAAGCAGGTTAAAAACTTTTTCTGAAAACTAGTATAAAACTTATATAATTGTTTCTCAAATTTTCCAAAGAATATGTTTTTCAAGAAATTACAAAAGCACTGCACCAAATTCGCACCATGTACCATTCGCACCATGCACACGGCACCGTAAACTATATGTCTATTTACGATTTTTGATATGTTAGATACAAAGGCATCACATTTTCTTTGACATTTTGATAACCATGCTTACAAGAACTAGGGGAAACGTTTGAGACCTAATTAAATGTTGTAAATTAGATCCTAAAATTAGTTTTTATAGACCAAGTTCTGTCGCAAATGTGGAGTATTTGAGACTCACTCTCGGGAGAGCATAGAAAGACGTTTTAAACCCAAAAAATCGCAACAATAATGAGATAATTTGTACTGAAACTACACGAAAATTATTAGTTCAGACACCCTATACATAATAATATTCTATATATAGAAAGATATGTCCGTACCATTAAAATATCTAGCGTGGCTAAATAGTGGCAGTAGTCTTGTAAAAAATATGGTGGCCCAACAGGGGGATTTAAACCTGGCATTTTGAAGCTAAACCATTAAGCACCTGTGCCCTACGAGCCCTACAGGCTACACAGTACACAACCTGAATGCCTGAGAAAACTTGTAGTAATATACTTCGCTTCAAACAGTTTCAAGCGTAGTGATAAGATTTTATGAAGAATGACTGTAATACATGTTATAAGTGCTATGGGAAAAAATTGTCAGAGTCAATAATGTATTTCATAAAGATAAAACATATTTCATGAAATGTATTCGTAACCTATGTTTCTATGTCAGAATTCCGGTGTAAATATCGGAAATTTGTTTTTATTTTCATATATTCATTTTCTGCTTCTTGGCGGCAATGTTGCAACTATTTTATCCATGATTAATTAATTAATTATTTATCAACCTTTACGGGAATTGTGATTATAATTTTGATTAATAATACCTCAAACTTAATAGAAACATTGAATGGAAACTGAGTTATGAATAACCAGGTACCACAAACCTGGGTCTCTCAACACGGGTTAATTTATTCATGTTATTGACACCGGGTACAAGAAAATGGATGGAAACCGGCAGAGGTGTAACACCTGGGGGGGGGGGGCTATATGGGGTCTCATCCCCCCTCGGATCAATGAAATCTATGGTTTCCAAAGGGTTTTCAGGCCCAAACGGTTGTTGAGCCCCTCCTGGAAAGAAAAAAAAATCTTAAAACCCCCCTATCTGGTCCAATTCCTGTGTACACCCCTAGAAACCTTATACTGGAAGCTGCAAGGGGAATTGAAAATTGCTGATATTTTAGTATGGACGATAGTGGTTGATCTGAAACATGGTCTGGAAGATTGGTTTCAGTATCCGGTGTCGGAATTTGTTACCGGAAATCGAATACTTTAAAATGTTATCGGAACCGATATCAGTAACCAGTGTTGGAAACCGGTAACCGTAAAATTATTTTTTGTATACCGGCATGGGCGGATACAGGGGGGGGGGCGGCAGGACATTTGCACCCCCTGACGGATTCAGGAGAGGGGTGTGTAGCCCCACCCTGAGATTTCAGAATAGTTTCTCAAAAGCACTTAAGGGAAAGAAAACCTGGTGCAAAACAGAAAAAAATATCTATCTAAAAAAATTTTCCCCTGCGGCCGTCTTTTGGTTCCTAAATCTGGATTTTTTTGGTTCAAAATAAATCTAGCACCCTCTCACTTCAATCCTGTATCCGCCCATGTAATACCGGTCACTAAAGTTTTGTAAAACTTAACGTAGGAGAGTAGAACTTGAAAGGATAACAAAAGGTGTGGCGCTAGGAAAGAGGTACACGGAAGGGGAAATGTTACAGGGGAGGGGGCCGGGAGCTAGGGGTGGGGGAGAGGCGGAAGTGGTTAAGAGAGGGTGCTTAGGGGACAATAGTAGAGGAAAGTGGGTAGGGTCAGCTTATAAAAGAGGGTATAAAATAAAGAGCATGAAAGCACAGCCTTATTATTATATTGTACTATAGAGGACGTGAGTCAGACTCTAATAAAACGCATAGATAACTTCCAGTATATATATTTCTTATAACTTATTACTAGAGGGTTCAGAACTAGAGTCAATATCGATATCGCACGTGTAGACTGTAGAGATGATATCAGTACTAATGCCCCGTATCCGTTCTATCTCATTCTGTTGAATCTTGTGGAACTAGTTTAACGCGGCCAGGCATCGTCTTCCACAGTACTATACTAATAATATTTACACGAACTAAAAGATTAGGCTTGTCTGTATTCTTTAAAAGTAGTTATTGTAAGTGTTTATGTACATTTGTAATTGTTATCTATTTCTAGTATCAGAAGGTATTTTTTTATGTACATTTCTTTTGTCAGAATATGGATGATTTTTAATTTTTATCAATTTTTACGTCACTGCTTTTAATTCCCAGTTTAAAAGAAACAGGGGTTGTTAGACGACTAGTCAGTCCACTATAGAACAAAATCATTGAACAGGAACTAGTAATGGCGTTGCTTCCCAAGACATGGAATTTGAGGATTTAAACCAAATTTTCACATCCAATGATAAACATAATTGAGAACCGGCCTGACTAGTCTCGTCATGATGCTTAAATACAAGAAAAACTAAATCAAAATGTGACATTTCTCATTACATGAGTTCATGTTTTCATACTTAAAACACGTCAATGTCATATATTAAAATGAACATAATTTTAATTGAATCTTTATTTAAAAATATGCCATTTAGCCATTTATACTTTTTTCTAGAAACAACGATGTCTAATTCATTGTAGGTTTTTTACACTCACTGTACTTGGTTCTCAGGCAAAAAATAAAGAAATTACATTAACAGGGAGGCATTGCCCACCTAGACCTGTAAAGGAGGGGGCGTAGCCCCCACCCCCCAGAACTCAGAGCTATACACTTTTTAAATCTGAAACTAAAGAGTGAAGAGAATTGAAAAAATTAATTTACTGTTTTTTTTCTGATAGTTTTGTTTGAAGTATAGATACTTGTAATACTTGTAAGGTAATTGGACCTTATGTGTACCTTTAAAGTATCCAAGAAGCCAAAAGTTTTGAATTTACTGTTTAAATTTTGCCCCCCCCCCNCAGCGCTCGGCCCAGAAAGTGTCTCAACCTAACCTAACCCTAAATAATAAAAAATAAATAATAATAAATTTGCTGGTTATTCTGATCATTGTAATACTTTGCTGCTAGAAGCATATTCAAATTACTAAAGATTGAGAATTTTTTCTAGAATATTTGCGGATTTTTCTTCTAAAGTTAATGAATTTTATCAAATTTCATTCAGAGAAAAATTTCATAATTTCAGGAGTTTGTCTTTCAGGAGTTTGTCTCGTCAGGAGTTTGTCTCGTCAGGAGTTTGTCTTTCAGGAGTTTGTCTTTCCGGAGTTTGTCTTTCAGGAGTTTGTCTTTCAGGAGTTTGTCACGGCACCAAAGATATAAAGGTCAGAAAATAAGAGCTTGTGGCGAGTGTTCAGTTCCTTTGTATTTCAGATGCAACAGACAGGGTATGGACTTTCTGATGAGAGGGAGGGGCGGGGCAGTTTAGTTATACCTCCCCCTTATCGTGCCCCACCTCTTGGGCCACTTGTACCGACTGCATCCCCCCAACAACCGTCGGCACAACAAAACTACTTTTCAAGGTAAAAGATATGTTTTGTTTTCAGACCCATACGGTTAAAAAATTTAATTGTTTTGGTTAAAAATGTTAAAAAAATAATAGTTTAATCAATTTGAAATGAAACCATAAAACGGCACAGTCATTCAGATTTCTGGGTTAGTTTATCCGACCAACCTTTTTAATGTTTCAAATGTGTATTTTTTAGCTCTTAGAAACGTTTTGCTGGGCAATTGTTTTAAATGATAAGTGATTTCAGAATAATAAATTTTCAAATAATATACTTTTTGGTTTTTGCCATCTATTATGGTTTACTTAAAATTCTCCTTAATTAATCTAATAATATGTAGTGTAGAAATTATGATAAAGTACTTTTTTGGATGTGTCACTGACAGCAACTCTAATTTTTAGTAGAAAAAAAAAGATATCAATACCAAAACAGAAAAAGGAGGAAAAGTACATGATTTAGTTGATTTTAATATTGCATTATTATATTCTAGGCTTAATATGGGAGATCCAAATATAAACACAGGATCCCCAGTTGGGTATAGGCATACTATAAACCATGAACATGGTTCTCAGGTATTATTACTATTGTTATTGTTATTATTATCATTATTATCTGTATACTAAAGCTCCTCGCTTTCACCAAAACTTTAAATATATAAAGAAGTTTGTTAAAAACTAGAAAAATTTAGTAGCAATAAATGGTAAAATGTTAAGATGCTTTTTTTTAAAGTTACATTTGTTCACTAAAGCTGGCAAAATGGCAGACTTTATTTTTGAGGGAACCCATGGTACCCCGGGGGGTGATAGGCTAACAAATTTGAAAAACTTCGCCATTTTCATATCCCAGAACCTCACGCCCGGTACTCCGGCTAGTTATTAGTATTGATATTACTTTAATTATGATTATCATCACTAGTATCAGTATTATTTTTAATTATCAAAAACATTTGAAAGAGATGATAAAACTTTATTTTAGGTGCAGAATAACTTAAAGCAAATGTTAAGTATACCAAAGCATCAGACTATGGATAATCAAGCCCAGAACTCAGCTATCCACATGCTAAGGATGCAGGTGAAATAGTTATAAATTTGCAATTTTAATATTTTAAAAAAAACATTAACCAAAGATCTGTTTTACATTATTTCAAACATTTTACGCCTCGTTTCCAGTTCATGCAGAACTCATAAAGAAAGAAACTCATTTAACCAGACGATAAAACTTGATTAATTCTTTTATTTAGCATTTAAATGATTAACTCAATTAGTGGTTTGAAAGAAAGAAACAAGTTTCCAGTTCATGCGATCCAACCGAGATTGTAAGAAAATTTTTACTATAATTTGTATGCAACCTTGCAAGACGTACTTTAAATATAGATCTGTGGTCCTGAGAAACCGTTCTAGGATGGATCCAGATTTTATGTTCGAGGGTGTAAAAAGTTTGAAAAACCCAGTTATACTTGGAAGAAATATTACGTAGGCAGAAAATAGTAAAAACATATGGAAATGCTTTTCATTCAATTTATATTTGTTCGTTATATAGCTATTCAATTTATTTGGGATATGTAGAATGATCTATTATTGTTTAGGGTCTACAGGGTGCCCAGCAGACAGGAGGAGGAGGAGATGTATTTGGGATATGTAGAATGATCTATTATTGTTTAGGGTCTACAGGGTGCCCAGCAGACAGGAGGAGGAGGAGATGTATTTGGGATATGTAGAATGATCTATTATTGTTTAGGGTCTACAGGGTGCCCAGCAGACAGGAGGAGGAGGAGATGTATTTGCGATATGTAGAATGATCTATTATTGTTTAGGGTCTACAGGGTGCCCAGCAGACAGGAGGAGGAGGAGATGTATTTGGGATATGTAGAATGATCTATTATTGTTTAGGGTCTACAGGGTGCCCAGCAGACAGGAGGAGGAGGAGATGTATTTGCGATATGTAGAATGATCTATTATTGTTTAGGGTCTACAGGGTGCCCAGCAGACAGGAGGAGGAGGAGATGTATTTGGGATATGTAGAATGATCTATTATTGTTTAGGGTCTACAGGGTGCCCAGCAGACAGGAGGAGGAGGAGATGTATTTGCAGGACCTGATAACATACGGTAAATATCCCGTCGATTAATCAAAAAAAATATTTGCAACCCTTAAATCAATGAGTTAAGTAGACTCTGTGGATGTTAAGTCCACATTTTATTGAAAATATATTTCGGTCTGGGTTGACCCTCGTCAGTTTTTGTATACTTCCTTGATTGCAGGAAGTGTAGAAATTCAAAGTTAGCTTAATAGTATTTTTCAATTCTTACAATTTAAAACCTTTTATAAATCTCTTCAACAATTTATAGTTTCAATAAAGTATTTCATTTAATATTATACTTTAAGAAACACTGCCAGTAAAATGTTCATAAGAAATAACAGTGAACGATCAACTCCGGGATACAATGGAAATTCTGGATATCATAATCAATACCACCAGGTAAACAATCCATACCACCAGGTAAACAATCAATACCACCTGGTAATCAATCCATACCACCAGTTAAACAATCATACGACAAGGTAAACAATCCATACTACCTGCGAAACAATCTATATCACCTGGTAAATAATCTATACCACCAGGGAAACAATCCTTAACACCAGATACACAATCCATACCACCAGGTAAACAATCAATACCACCAGGTAAACAATCTATACCACCAGGTAAGCAATCCATACCACCTGGTAAATAATTTATACCACCAGGTAAACAATCCATACCACCTTGTAAATAATCTATACCACCAGGTAAACAATCCATACCACCAGGTAAACAATCTATACCACCAGGTAAACAATCTATACCCCCAGGTAAACAATCATACGATCAGGTAAACTATCAATACCACCAGGTAAACAATCACACCACCCAGGTAAACAATCAATACCACCTGGTAAATAATCTATACCACCAGGTAAACAATCCATACCACCAGGGAAACAATCCATACCACCAGGTAAACAATCCATACCACCAGGTGTACAATCTTTACAACTAGGTAAACAATTTAATCTGTAATATAAATATTTCAGAATCTGAATGTATCCCAGCACAGTTTGAATAAATCCCATGTTCCCCAGCAGCTGAACCGATCATTAAATATGTCCTTGAACCAATCAATGGAAATGGATCAAAGACAAATGCTTGGCCCAAGGTAACCGTTTAGATATTATGATTCTAAAGTCATGAACCGTTTACGTTTTTCACTTGATTCTGCATGATGAATAAATATCTTCGTTTTTCCATCTCAGGAAGTAATAAATTTTGCCAATTTAGTTCTTTCTCTTTTCTAAAATGATCCGCAAGTCGGTTTTCAAGAGAAACCAGAATTGAAGTTTATCAGATGTCTCCGTATTTTTTACTTTTTATAAATTACGTTGACAGCCCCCTTGAAGTCGGTTTTCAAGAGAAACCAGAATTGAAGTTTATCAGATGTCTCAGTATTTTTTACTTTTTATAAATTACGTTGACAGCCCCCTTGAAGTCAGTTTTCAAGGGAAACCAGAATTGAAGTTTATCAGATGTCTCCGTATTTTTTACTTTTTATAAATTACGTTGACAGCCCCCTTGAAGTATTTACGATCTCCCATTCCGAATGGTATCCGGCCTTTAAACCCTTTTCTGAGAAAAAAGGACTTTTTTGTCTGAATTTTTTCATTTTCAATAGTCGATTCTCTATAAAGATGACTTTCGGATTATTGCGTCGACCGTGCAAGAGAAAAATAAAACAATATCAAGATTAAACACACTATAAGATAGAAAAACGATGATAACTTCCTCATTGCTGTTAGATAAAGATATATAGGCACCCGTTGAGACTCTTTAATTAGGGGGTCACCTAAGATTACGTTAACAGTCCCTTTACGTTACAGAAAACAAATGAAATTCTGTGAAATATCTCTTACATATTTCTTAAGACAAAAACAATCTTGTAATTGTTTAGAGTCCTGACTGCAAGTCCTGACGATCAATTGAAAAGAAACTCTTATGAAAACCAAAGCTTTAAAACCGCTATGACGGGTCCGAATATGTCCAACCAACAAACCAAACAAGCCTCTCAAAACTGGATTCCGCCGCCTGGTAAACATCCGCCACAAGTTCCTCCCAAACCAAATTCAAGGTGAATATAATTAGAGAAGATTTCAGCTTTAACATGCATTTTAATCTACGCCCGTGTCCTGTCCAAATAATGTTTACTAATATTTGTAAGAAGTACGAAAAAAACTAGAAAAAAGCTAGAATATGGATATATTGCATTTATACATTGCCGTTGGTGCATTTGCATTGTACATCTGGTCATATCGCGCATAAACATATATGTAATAAAATAGTAGTATTCCCAGAGGATAAAATGTAAAATATTTAAATGATAAGTCCATTGTTCATATCAATATTAATACATCCATGGATCAAACTAATTAGATTTTTGGAGTTTAGGTCAGCCAGTAGGGAGAGAGCTAAAAATATCGAGTTAGAAAATGAAAACCTTGAAACAGAACTTAATAGCATACTTGGAAACCAAGGGACCCAGGGAAACCAAGGGAACCCGGGGAATCAGGGACACCTTGCAGATAGAGAACATGAGAAGAAAAACGGACAAGGTAAAATTAATTTCTCCATTTAGAAATTTATAAAAGATTTATTTCTATGTAATTGTAATATCTTTACTATAGAGGACGTGAGGACGGACTCTTGTAAAACACAGGGATAACTATTCTAGAATATATTTACTCATAACTTAACAGGTTTATGTTCGGGCCTAGCTTAACAGGCTTAGAGATATATGAGGTAGAGGTAGATGCCTCTTACCATTCCTAGTTGACTCTGTGTTTACTGTTGTGGAACTCTTCTAAAGAGGCCGACTATCGTCTTGTAATGATTATCAATGTAGTTTTTTTTATATCTATGATTAGATTTTATAAGATTGCAAATTTTTTTACAGTGGTAACCAAAAATAGTGACATGATTGCAGTCTTATTTTTTCTTTTTATCATGAAAAAATTTGTAATTGGTAACTGTTATAATTGACATATTTCTAAGAAAATTCAGGTTTCATTTTTATAAATTTTGCCACATACTGATGATGTAAACCTTGGAAACTAATAACAGAGTTCATAGTTTTAATTTCAAGGGTCTACGACATCGGGTTGCAAAAATATATGGATTACAAAATAAAATGTTGTGTCAAATTTCAGTTCCTTTTTTTCGAAACTATTCGAATGTAGAAATAGTTTTTAAAGGGTGCAGTAATTTGAATTGTTGAATGACGTGCATGGCTATTGAGGATATAACATTCTTTGGAGATCTGAGTTTTTGACATTTCATAGAATAGAAAATAGACGACAATCATTTCAGTTTTTTTCTGGCTACCATTGTTAACCATGTCATAAAAAGTATTTAAGTATATTCTCTAGGAACCCCACCACTACCTCCTTTATCCCCTTCGCATTCACGCAGTCATACTCCGGAATCATCACCTGCCTTTAGGTATAGACAGTACACAGTACACAGTACACAGTACACAGTACACAGTACACAGTACACAGTACACAGTACACACCGTTCGGGTATCCTGAAAACCCATAGAGAATAGAATATATATTAGATGGGAATTTAAGGAAGCTCTCGGTATGAATTTTGTCAGGCCCTTTCAGCCTGAAAGGGAGTACAAAGTGTACTTAAATCATGTTAATGTTCAGTAGAGTACATAAATACAGTATGTTCCCTGACTATTCATTTCAATTTCGAATTTTTTAAACTGTTAAATAAACTTTATAAAATGAATTAGGTGAATAAAAAACATCATTTGATTTATTGTTATAACGGAAAATCATTGTTTGTAAAGTGGAAGGCATAGAGTCCATGTGAAATGATCATTGGTCAATTATGAAACCAGCCTATTTCATAATTTGGTTTTCTTTTAACAATAATTTTAGATTTTCTATAAACAACAAAATGGCCGTTTTACACTTTTTTCTAGTAAATTCCCCTCTAATATATATTCTATTCTCTATGTTAAAACCTTAATCTGATCAATATAATATTGTAGTTTTTCTAGGTTTGAATAGTGTTTCATTTTCATAATTTCTAATTGTTTTCCTTCAGCAGAAATGCAGAAGTCATTTTTGTAGAGAAACCACTTTAAAAATAAACATTTTTTAAAATTATGAATATTAAAATTATGAATATTAAAATCTAATTCATACTTGATCAGACAAAGCAATTAAGGACACTTTGTGAACCAAGCATGTACATTTTAGTACAAATTAGTTTTTCACACTTTCATTTTACACAATATTATAGGAATATTGGGAATTACATTATGTTAAATGTGAAAAGTGGTCTAAACTCTAAATGTTTATCCAAGAAGTTAAATATCATACTTTTTAACATACACCATGCACCATTGTGTACTTTGTAGTCAAATGAATTAAAACGTCACCACAAATCAGAATTTTCCAATCCTGATATCTGTGCTACTTAATGTCATATATGTCACATAGCATAGACATATGGAATTTCAAATTATGATTTTTGTTATATAAAAAAAATACCAAAGTTTGCTTAGATTTAGTGTTGGGAGGTTGTGAGAGATTGTGGTAACGGTTCGGTTAATTTTTCAATGTTTAATGTTTAGGGCAAAAAATAAAAGTTCATCACCGGGAAAACTTGCAAGACCAGATCTTTTACTTACTGATAATCGGGATATGGTGAGTTGTGTTGTACATCTTTGCCATTTCTTAGTTATCGTTGGTTGGTATCCATGAAATTTCCTATCGATAAAATGTCCTATCTATAAAATGTCCTATCTATGAAATGTCCTATCTATAAAATGTCCTATCTATAAAATGACACCTATCCATGAAATGTCCTATCTATGAAATGTCCTATCTATGAAATGTCCTATCTATGAAATGTCCTATCTATGAAATGTCCTATCTATAAAATGTCCTATCTATGAAATGTCCTATCTATGAAATGACCCAACACTCTTACATTCCTCAAAGTTCCACTGTTCCTCTATGATTCTCCTCATACCCCCTTTGGTTTTTTATATTTCCCTTTGGTTTACATCGCACTTCCCTTTGTTTCTCACATACCCTTTGATTTCTTTCATATTCCCCTTTGATTTTCTTCATACCCCTCATTTGATTTTCTTCATTCTCTCCTTTGATTTTCCTTACACTTCCCTTTGATTCTCATGCTACCATTTGGTTCTCTTCCTTTTCCCATTTGATTTCCTCGCAGTCCCCTATGATTCGTCTCATATTTCTTGTTGCTTCTTATCAAACTTCCCTTTAATTCGCTACATACTCCACTTTGCTTCTTATCATACTCCCCTTTCATGTTATTATATTCTCCTTTGATTTTTATCTTACTTCACTTTGCTTCTTAGCATACTTCCCTTTGATTCGTATCATACTCCCCTTTGATTCGTATCATACTCCCCTTTGATTATTATCATACTCCCCTTTGATTTGTATCATACTCCCTTTTGATTCGTATCATACTCCTTCCACTTTGATTCGTATCATACTCCTCTTTGATTCTTATCATACACCCCTTTGATGTTTATCATAATCCCCTTTGATTCGTGTCATACTCCTCTTTGATTCTTATCATACTCTCATTTGTTTCGTATCATAAACCCCTTTGATTCGTATCATACTCCCCTTTGATTTATATCATTCTTCCCTTTAAGTCTTATCATACTCCCCTTTGATTCGTATCATACTTCCCTTTGATTCTTATCATACTCCCCTTTGATTTGTAACGTACTCTTATCATACTCCACTTTGGTGTTCTCAATCATACCTTCTTTGATTTTCCTCCAGTTTAAACTTCAATTTCCCCTTGTCCTTATATATCCTTCACACTTCCATTCTTTTAAACATCAGACAATTTTGTTTAGATGAGAGTTGACACGACTAGAAGAATCGTTACAAATAATAATTTACGGTAAATAGATAAACGCCATGTTAACCTTCTTATAAACTGATAATTTTTGCAATATATTTTTCTACTGTGAATTATCTCGGAATTAACTTTGAACAATATGAATTGAGAAAAAGGTTAGCATTTACTTAATCATGGTGTATAAATGATGCTATCACCTTTTTTGTTGTTGTTTATTTCCTCTTGAATGCATAAACCGGTTATCTTTTTTAAGTTTAAAAACGTATTTGTAACTTTAAAAATTTTGTTACACGGCTTTGTTATTCAGTGTTACAGTTTGATTGAGTATTTTCAAAATAAATTCGATAAAAACTTAATTTAATTTTTTAAGCTTGGAAAACACCAAAGGTAGACTAGATCCCTCTGAAGATTTGGCTTCAACTATTACAGGATTAGGTAAGAAAACACCAAAGGTAGACTAGATCCCTCTGAAGATTTGGCTTCAACTATTACAGGATTAGGTAAGAAAACACCAAAGGTAGACTAGATCCCTCTGAAGATTTGGCTTCAACTATAACAGGATTAGGTAAGAAAATAAACTTTTAAATCTTAGAATATTAAGTCATAGATTTATTAATTTTTATTTATTAAGTTTTCAACATCAAAATGTGTACTCCGGTTTTAAATACATTTTTTTAAAAATAATAATTCACATAACATTTAACATTTTCTATGAATAAGCTTAAATTTTGAACGAACTTTTTTGTTACAATTTTGATAGCTTGTAATTTGTAAAAATGTATAAAACTGAATTTTTTTTTCGAATACTGCTCAAGATCAAAGTATTTTTAAAACTATAATATTTGTTTTCAAGGCCATTTATGCAAATTCTTTATCATTAAAGCATGTTAAAATAAGCTATCTACTCAAAGTAATTACTTAAATAAGATTTGAATTTATGATATTTGGAAGATCAAAGTACTGAAATATGGAAAAAATTATTTCCGTAAATTGCTAAAAAAAAACCAATCGATTGTTCAGTTATTATTTAAAATGCACTCAAATTTCTAGAATAAGAAATAAAATTAAATAAATTTAAACAAGAAATGAATGCGCAGAATCCTTTTTGGATTTATCGAGATGATTAGAAGCAAATGCAGCCAATATTAGAAGAGACCAAGGTGCAATAGTGTCTGAACATTTTATTGTTGACAAGTTGGGGTCTAGGGACGTTTTTAGTGGTGATAAGAGTAAATGTGATCATTATTTAAAATTTGTGTTATATGTATTTAGGAAAGTAATCCCTTTAATGTTTGTATTTAGACATAGAAAGTGTGATAGCACTGCAGACTGATCTAACCTCAGACGAGGAGTTATCTACAACTTTAGATCTTGGAGATGCACAGGTTTGATATACTTTAAATCAAGGAGATTTACAGGTTTGATACTCTAGATCTAGGAGATTTCTAGGTTTCATACTTTGGATCCAGGAGATATTAAGGTTTAATATTTTAAATCTAGGATATATACAGGTTTAATACTCTAGATCTTGAAGATTTCAAGGTTTCATACTTTATATCTAGGAGATATATACAGGTTTACGTTTAATACTCTAGACCTAGAAGATGTCAAGGTTTCATACTTTAGATCTAGGATATATACAGGTTTAATACTCTAGATCTTGGAGATGTCAAGGTGTCAAAGTTTGAATCTAGTATATATATGCACAGTAAGGTGTGCCATAGAGTTCATATCAAAATCGAATAATAAGTCGTATTTTCAAGATATCTAAATTTCTCAAACGCGAAACTTTGTAACTTTACATAAACACGACGTTCATCTAATTATACCTTTGAAAAGTCAAAATCGCTTGAAAACTGACAATTATAGAATATTGTAGAAACAAATATTTTTGAAAAATGTAATTTTTTGAAAAATTGTTGGGAAATTTTTTTTTATATTGTTTTTCAATTTTTAGAAAAAGGAGTTGAGTTTTTGTCACAAACTCTGATTTTCTTATCCCTATATCTTTTTATTTTAATGTCAGTGACCTTAGATATTTCAAACTATGAATTATTTAAGTTCAAATAATAATAGTTTGAAACATCAAAGGCTAACACCGTCAGGTTGCAAAGATAAAGCGATTTGAAAATCAGAATTTGTGGCTAAAACTCAATTCCTTTATTTATGACTTCATTAACGTAAATAATTGCCTTACATTTTTTGTTATATCTCATTAAATTTTGAATGAATTTTTATAAAATGTTGGAAAACAATAAAATAAATATTTTCCCGAATTTTTTTTTTTAATTTTTAAAATTTTTTTTAATTTAACGAGTTAAAATCTGGATTCAGAAGCTAGTTTTAATTTGAAATACGCGAGAGCTTAATCTCGATCAAAAGTTCACGTCACAGCTTCTACATAATTTGTGGATATTGCTTGAAGTTAAACATTGAAAATCTCGCATTTAATTCTTTTAAATTCCTACCTCTGACATATCTGACTTATCATTTAATTTCAGGCTATTCGGCGACAGCTTGATGGATTAGAGACTATGTATACAGAGGTCTTAAAGTTATTAGGTAACAATTAAAATTAAAAAAGACAACTGAAATTAATATGAATCAATTAAAAATAACATGCAGTCCTCCCTAGCCATAATTTACTCCAAAGTAATGATCAGGGGTCAAGAAATAGCATTTTGGAATCCTCAAGACTAGTGCTTTACAAAGACTAAGTGTGCAAATCCAAAATACTCGTCCCTGCTAAATATGTGCAGAAATGTTCACAAGTTACCTACGTGTATAGGTTATATTAATCTTTTTTTATGACAAAACACAAAACAAAATTTAATAGGTTTAAATATGTGTTTAATGAGATGATGTGAGATGAGAAACAAATGTATAAAGTAATATAAAAAAGAGGTAGTTTGTTTTATATTTTAGCAGGTAAATAAGTCATTTGTTCGTATTGCGGGAGCATAGACAAATTGTTCGGGGTAGTCTGAGGAATCAGAAAATATAATAAAAATCATAATATTTACTCTTATTACTTACGCGTTACAGATTTCATCAAAAAAAAAGTTGTTTTAGCAATTTTCTCCTTACACACATTTACACACAAGGGTGCCCTTCAAAACTAAAGCGGATTTTATTTTGCGTCAATTTTGATATTCATTTTGCTCTCAAAAAAATAATCCAATTTTTATGAAAATTAAATTTAGATTTGTAAAAAAAAATTTTATTGCGTGACGCGGCTGGAATTTTCAAAATCGGGATTTCAAAACACTAAATTAACCATAGAAAAAAAAACAAAGAATTGTCGGAAGACTCAATTGATGTGGCATGGAAGACTGTACGGTTGTGGCTTATGGCTGCCGGAAGACAAAAAGGTAAAATGTGACATGGAAGGGGAAACTTTTGTGGCTTGTTACCGCCTGCCTTCCCCCGCCAATCCGGCCTCTTCATCCGTTCTTGACTAATTTCTCCTCTCAATCTATCCTTACTCAGTTTCTCTCCTCAATCCGTCCTTGTTTCTCAGTTTCAGTTTCTCAGCAATTGGATGAATTGAGAAGAGAAGGGATTGAGAGGAGAAACTAAGCAGTAAGCAAGGATGAATGAGAAGAGAATCTAAGTAACGACGGATTGAAAGGAGAAAATAAACAAGGATCGATTAAGAGGAGAAACTAAGCAAGGACAGATTGAGAGGAAAAACTGAGTAGAGATGGATTGAGAGAATAAACTAAACAAGGAAGAGTTAGGAGAATTTAAATTTATATGCTCGGACACAAAGAGACGGTTTTAAAACGAGGTATTGTCATGAAAAGATCCAAATATCCTATTCATGTAGTCATTTTGCAAATATTTTGCAGGAACGAGTTATTTTGTATTTTTGCACACCTAGTCTATGTTAAAGCACTAGTCTTGAGGATTCCAACATGCTATGTCTGCTGATAATTTCTATGAAGTAAACTATGATTAGGGAGGATTGTGGGCCCGGATGTGAAGTTAAGGATTATTCACAAAAGATGAGACTGTAAAGATGACCCAAAACTCTAAAAGAATGACGATTTGAAGCTTGATTTTTGGTTTCTGCATTCAATTGAGTATTTTGATGGTTTACTAAATGTTTATGCACAGAAATAACCAAGTTTTGGTCTACACGGAACCCTGAATGCAAGAAAACGGATAAACAAATTCCGTACAATCGTCTCTGAAGTCTCATCCTTTGTGGGTGACCCTATACTAAAATATATAAAGTAATATATTTGTCAGGATTAAGAAAGTTTGGTCGAACCCCTGCTGCCGGAGACATGAACGGAGGACAACCTGGTCGTAGAAAGGAAAGCTTCTTTGAAATCATTTTTAAACTATAACTGAGCTACTATCGAACAAATTTTTGTTCATAAATTTATAATGAGAGCATCACTTTTTAATGCCAAAAAAGTCTCTTTTTAATAATTTAAAGGAATTTCAAAGATGTAATTTTAGATGTACGGTTCCATGTCGTCGTTACCAAGTGTTAGTAGCATAGGTATGTCTGATTGCGATTTATTTACAAAAAATGAATGTTTAGAAATAAATGGGATGAGTTTTAAAATCCGTATTTTCTATCAAAAATATCTATTCAACATTCCAAACTTTGAATCAAATGACGCATCAAAAACCTTTCATTATCAATTATCACAAATAATCAAACCGTTGAAAATAAAAATCAAGTTTTAAGAAAGAACAAAATTTGAAAAAAATTATTTTTGAAAACATATTTTAGGGAGTCGACACCTGTACAGTAAAGACAGGAGAAAGGATGACCGGAAGAGTCGAACTGTTGGAAAAGATAAAAATTACAATAAAAGATTTCAACGCCTGGAGTCTCATGTTGTAACTCTAGCTCGCTCTGTGGCACATCTCTCATCAGAAATGCGAACCCAGCATACTATTTGTAAAGAATTGGACGAAATAAGGTAGATATAAATATAGATATATAAAGTGTACTCCTGTAATAATGATACTCTATTTATATGTAAAAGTTTAATTCGGTATATATGTAATAAATGCAGAGGCCCATAGTAAATTCTAGATAAAATACCGTCATACCCATATTGGGATTGCATAACTACGTTATATATAACCTTTATACTGTCAAAAAGAAGGGGTTCACACCCTTTGCTAATGGTAGATGTCTAAGTCTACTACAGTCAACACGTATGGGTTCACGTCCTTTGATAATGGTGGATGTCAAAGTATACTACAGTTAAAAAGAATGGGTTTAACCTCTTTGCTAATGGTGGATGTGAAAGTCTACTACAGTCAATGAGTATAGGTTCACACCCTTTGCTAATGGTAGATGTCAAAGTACACTACAGTCAACGATAATTGGTTCCCACCCTTTGCTAATGGTAGATGTAAAAGTCTACTATACTATAAAATACCGTCATACCCATATTGGGATTGCATAACTACGTTATATATAACCTTTATACAGTCAACAAGAATGGGTTCACACCCTGTGCTAATGGTGGATGTGAAAGTCTACTACAGTCAACAAGAATGGGTTCACACCCTTTGCTAATGGTACTGGATGGCAAAGTCTGCCACAGTCCACAAGAATGGGTTTACGGCCTTTGCTAATGGTGGATGTCAAAGTCTACTACAGACAAGAAGAATACATTGCTTCTTTTGCTTAATCAATATGTATTTATAAGTTCAATTAATGCATTCCTGAAAATGTTTTGATTATTTGAGTGGTGACTAAGTATTTACTTGTAAATCCACAATGAATGTATATTCAGTTGAGATTTCAATATGAATAGTCCGTTTCAACAAATACCGATCAGAACAAAACTATTTAATATCATATTTTCAATTGGCTCATAATAAACTTTCTTACGTATTTTATTTTCACCTGAACCATCATACATTTGTTGACATAAAAGTCAGCTAAAAAAAAGAAATAACGGCTATTCGATAACTTTATTGAATTGTTTGAAATATAAAAGATTTAAAATAGTTTCGTATAAGGAACATCTTAAGTGGTTGGAAAATAAAAGAAGGTACTATTGATGTATAATGGTGATCAAGATCATAGGAGTTGGAGCTTCATGTTGGTGGTAAGCAGGTCAGCAATATCTTGACAGCAGGTTCGCTCACATTTATAGGCTTCAGTATCGGGGGAGATGGCAGTTTTATCACTGGTGCTTGGGTTAGGGAATATGTTGTCCCTGGGCCGCACAATAAGCTTGGAACTCTAGAACATTGTTGGCCTAAATGTTAGCATTCAATGCAAGGCTAGATATCTGTAGCTCCATGAAGGAGTCAGGCGGGCCGAAGATGTTATCGTTCCGACTGATATACCCTATAACTAACTGCCTATACCCCTCTCAGTAGGCAGAGAGGGGGGGAGTAGTAACGCTAATTCCACATTGATGAACCGGAAAAGGATTTCTCTAAGCTGTATGCTGAGCAATAATCTCAACCCTGCTGATCAACCTGTAGTTGCCAGCCGGTGAATCCTGTTCACCGGCCCTGGGTCAAGTTACCTGGAGGACCTAAACTGAAGAGAGGGTAGTTTCCCCTCTTCCGAAAGATATCCATGGAAAGGGGAAGAGGATGGGAACTGAAAATTTGCCCAGAGTAAATCTGTCCTCTTTTTGCCAGCAACTAGCAGATGAAAATGGCTGCCAAAGCCGATACTAGCGCCTTCCGATCCCCTAGCGGCTGCTTGAACTTGAAAATGTTACCTTATTATATTTTTTGGCAAAGATTTTGCAAGAACCAAATTTTTTAAATCCCAAGGGGCCAAGATTATAGGATTTTTGTCATTCGTTGTTTAACTCAAATTAAAATTGTGTCAAAAAAAACGTTCGCGTAAATAAAGAACTATTTCAAAACCGTTATATTTATATTTTTATTTTGATATTTAGGGCCGAACTTCAGCAGTTAAAGATGTCCCGAGGTCAGCCATCAACTTCTTTACCACAGGGTGGACTTCTGGAACCTCAAGAATTTTTTAATAATCACCCCAGGGTGTCACAACAAACGGAGAACAGGGTAAAGAAACTGACCAAATTTTTCGGCGATGAGCCGCCGTTGCTTCGATTGTATTTGAAGAGTCTTGGTTACGAGAAGTATGCTGGTTTATTCGAGGAGGCTAAAATAGGAATGCTGGAACTACCTTATTTGTCAGAAGACCGGTAAGTTTTACTTACATAATCAAAATGTTTGATGAAATTTCTTATAAAAGTTTAAAAATAAATTTTTGAGAGGGGATCTAGATCTCAATTTATTTTGGTTTAAAAAAATGAAAATGCTTGGAAACTTTTTCTTTGTTAATTTTTCGAATTGTAAATACGTGACTTAACAAAAAGATCAGAAAACAAAGATTATTGCCTTTTAAATTATTGATTGCTAAGCGCCCTGTAAATTTATTATGATAAAATATTTTTATTTTAGACTTGAAAAACTGGGTCTACCCCTAGGACCAAGAATAAGGATTCTACAGGAAGCCAAGATTCCATACAGTCTTGACGGACAGAACTATAATGTCTATATTCTATAATAAATTATTTACTTCACTCACATAGTAATGCAATAGCCGCCGATGTATTCCAAAGTATCTATTTCGAAGAATATCATGAAATAGATAACAGACCTAAAACTTTCTGTAATTCCTGTTATATGCATTAGATCTATTGAATACCTGTAATTATTTGTAATCAACATTAAACAGATTACAAGTCTTATTTACCAGTAATTTACTTCAAATAAATTACAGACCTGTAATCACTGTAATCCACATTAAACAAATTACAGACCTTTAATCGTTTGTAATCTACATTAGATAGATTACAGACCTGTAATCACTGTAATCCACATTAAACAAATGACAGACCTTTAATCGTTTGTAATTTACATTAGATGGATTACAGACCTGTAATCACTGTAATCCACATTTAACAAATTACAGACCTGTAATCACTGTAACCTTCATTTTATAGATTACAGACCTGTAATCACTGTAATCTACAATAAATACTACCCAGTCAAACATGTTATTAGTAAAATACACTGTATCAATATAAAACTAGTGCTGTTATAGTGTGTAAGCTGTAGTGTATAGTGTATAGATATATAGATACATAAATAATAAAAAAGTTTCAAAATAACTTGAAGCAATAATATGGTACTACTTAAAGGAACTGCAAGCGTTATTTCAAGTGACCCTCCATGCAAATTTTCAACGGTACCCGTAAAAGCTTTGTCTGATTAAGTAAGAATTAGATATCCATGCTTTTTGTTTGTAATTGTTTTTTAACTGGTTATTTTTAAAAGTGAATGCGCATTTCTTTCGTGTATGAAACAGTGGAAAATGATCAGAGTTAAACATTTTTCAAGTCAGAAAAACAACCTTATCTTCCACATTTTTGATCAGATAAAGCTGCTAACAGACAAAGAGCCGCATTATTAGGGGATAGATTCCTAAAGGTTGGTCAGATTTGTGCGATATATTAAAGAAAATCCACAACTTTCCTAAAATAAACAAAGTTTAATTTATTTAAATGAACAATATTTTGGATCGAGCAGGAAGCAATTCTTTAAATTGTCTTACTAATCTTTAGATTCTCGCAAAATTTTTATTGATTCTTCTTACACCTTATTGGTGTGATACTTGACTAGAACAGTATGCTGCTCAAGACAAATGAAAGGGGGTGTAGGTTCATCAGCAATATTTACTAAGTCATACTCAAATTTTTATTGATTATTCTTACACCTTATTGATGCGCAAGACAAATGAAAGGGGGTGTAGATTTATCAGCAATATTTACTAAATACTCTAATTCTATTAGAATTTAAATATTTTTATGTAGTAATTTCATAAAAAGGCCATAATATTTTCTCGGTTTTGAACAAGGACGGAAAATGTTGTCAAAAACATTGTTCAGGGAGTATATCAATTAATAGGAAGGCTTGATTCAGTGGCGTAAATAAGGGGGGTTATTGGGGTTATTTACCCCCCCCCCCCCTAGAATTTTAAAACTTGATTTTAAAATTGAATATCTTTTAAAGGAATTGAGTTTTCGCCACAAACTAAAATTTTCTAATCCCTATATCGTTGCAACCTGATAGCGTATAACTTTGATATTTCAAACTTAGATAATTTGATCTAACAGAATTCATACTTTGAAATATAAAAGGTCTGCGATATTGGATTGAAAAGATAAAGGGACTAGAAAATGTACATTTTTACTTCTAAATAATGTCATATCCATATTAGATTTTTTTAAGATCTTAACATAATACATTGAAGACAGGAAAATTTTAGAAATTAGAAATAAGAATATAAACAAAGACAATATTTCTTCAAAGTTTTGCAGAGTAGCTTTTCTAAAGATTTAAAAATGTAACATCTTTTTCCTCTTAGAGTAAACTATTATTTTTTATCTTACTTAAAATAAATTCAGTTTTTGAAGGATGTAATGAAGGATATAAAACAAGGTGAAAGCTGAAAGGTATGAAATGAAGCCTTTATTTGATGGAGTGTGTAAATGCCAGAAATGAGTGGAAAATGCAAATCAAACCCAATTAAAACCAATAATTTGATATTCATCATGATATTTTTCTAGGGGGGGGGGGGGTAAAAACAATCCTTATTTACGCCCCTAGCATGATTTTTTTCTCCGAACTTAAATTCCAACTCGTTGTGTATCAGTCATACTGAATGAGTGAAATCAATCCTCTTCATTAATTGGAATATCTTTTGAACAATCGTAAATGTGTTTATATTAGTTTTACGTTAAAATATCGGATAGAGTCAATATAATGTTATCCAACCTTTATAAAACCTGATTAACTATGAACTTATATCCCATATCAATTGACGTTAGTTTTACGTGAACACTTGAATTTTGGAGGTGGATGGTCGTTGTAGTTTCTAGTGACCTTTCCTTAAAAAGAGGTATGCCCCCCATTCACAACGGTACATTAAAAGCCCTGTTCCGGTGAACAGTGTAATTTTTATGGCTCGAAAGTGTTTATGGCTCGAAAGTGTTTATGGAAAAACTTCATTTGAAAATAATCAACTTTCAAAGAGAAGGTGATTGATATCTCATGGATTCTTGATCAGAGAAAACTTTTAAGGGTACCGTTGTTAATCGGACAGACCACTCTTTTTTAACAGGGCACAAAATCATGTTAAAATGTTAAAATCATGTTGAAAAATGTTAAAATATTACATTTATTTCCAAGGTACATGTACAAAATAAAATAATTGTGACACATTATGATTTAAAAGGGATTGTTAAGCAACATGAATCTGGATATTTTTGGGGTTCGTTCGAACGTTGAACAGTCAGTATATGTTGATAATATCACATAGATACATATATTATATATAAACATTGATTTATTGTATTCACGATGTGTATTAACGATGTATTAATGAGTTTTGATTACTTTAACCGTTGATTAAATGAAAAATATTTTTTGTAAAGGTGGAAATTTTGTTATGATCATACATATTTTTAGTTCTCATGATTTTAAAAGCACGTTCAACGAAATAATTCCATGTTTCAAGTAAAAAATAGAAATTTTGAAGTTTTTTGTGAAACTTGTTAAAGTTTAAAGAACGAAACAGCAATGTCAACGCAGCAAAATTTAATGCAAAACAGAACAGAGTGCTCTTAACTTAAACTTTCGTGTGCTTTGCCACGATTCGAATTTAAAATTCTTCATAAGTCCTTCTCCAGTTTTTATTGTTAGGGGGAGAACTTAGTGGAAACAATTTATTAATTCGAAAAGGTTGGAAAGAGGGAGGTCCAATTCACTCATTTCAACCTGTTTGGATAAAAAATATATGTAATGATTTCCTTAATGAAAAATGGATAACTTGTGGAAGACGAGTCCCAGCGGCCTCCTTACAACAGAGCCAGGAACAAAGGAAAGAGCTGGAAGAATTCTACGCTGCATTCACTCTAGTTGATTCATGTGATTTGATACCGATACGAATAGACTTGTTATTTCTTAGAATCAAATATATTCTGAAGTTAGACTCCTTGTGTTATTTGGAGACCGACGCTACGTCCTCCATAAACTAACTTTATAGTTAAAAAGCTTTAGAAACGTGATGATCTAAACTAACGCTTTAATAGATATTATTAACATCATAATTGTGTTATTATGGCGTGAGGCTTTAAACTCATACTTGATCTGATCCTACTTATATCCAATTCTTCTGATTCTTAATCAACTTTGTGAAACAAGAAATAAAAAAAAATTACTTATTCTTACAAAGTTCTGAATAGAAAATTATTGCATTTGTATAAACTAACAAATGCATTTATTGGGATTGCAGATAGCATTTAAATACCTTCGATTATATCTTTAGAAATTAAGTTTAAATCTAATTCTGAAAGTTATCACAATTGGATTGAAAGAATTGAACTTTACCATTTCCATTTTGACATGGTTTAGAACAAAGAGCTCATACAAGTATGTTTATATTATTTATAAACATTCTACCATCGTGGTTTGTAATATTGTTCATTAAATATCATTCTTTCTCTTTATTTACTTTCTTTCTTTTATTAAAAAATCTTTTAGATTGTTCTATTATTCTTGTCAATCTACCATAGATATCAGTTTTAGATCTTTCTGAAATAGATGACGCTTTTTCTTTATTCTAATATTATCCATGAAATAAAAACAGGGTAGGATTGAAAACATTTCATTATTTTAAAAATCAGCCTTTCCCTGGTTCAACTTAATTAATATCTCACGTTTATGGTCCAAATAAACGTTACAATGAGATATAAAAATATCTACATTAAAAACTTAATTTTCCCATCAAAAATTTGTTTTTTAAGTTTTCCTTCAGAATTTTATAAGAAATTGAGTATTATCTAGTTATGAGTAACACAATTGAATATTTTACCAAATAAAATTCTATAATACCAAGTTTATTGTTATCAAGCTTACCCAGGAATTTGTAAAGCTTCCAGTTGTACAATTTAACTAAGCCTAATTTAAGTTTGATAATTTTCTCATTTAGATTAAAAACTTTATCCCGCCACTGATAAGTGTAGTTTGCAGTTTCTACGACAAATAATCTAAACTTTCCATAATGCGAATATAACTTATATAATATATATATATTATGCGCCACGTTGCTTTGAATTTAAGAAAAATTGGGGCGTGAAGAAATGCAAAAATAATGCTATCCATATCTTTGCACGGCATGAAGTGTTAATTGGCTATACATAAACTTAAAAGTTTGCTAGAAATACTTGCAAAGAAGTTGAGTCTTTGCCACAAACTCTGGTTTTCTAAACCCAGTATCTTTGCAACCCAATGTTGTAGACCATAGATATTTCAAACTATGAATTCTGGTAGATCAAATAATTTAAGTTTGAAATATTAAAGGTTTAAACCATCAGGTTGCTAAGATATTTGGATTCAAAAATTTGTCTTTGTGACAAAGACTCAATTCCTTTATGCGCATTTTTCGCGCCCCTGTTCGTGTAGACTATAAATCAATGGATATATATATACACAATACTCATACATCAATTTTCCATTAAATGATTGTTTAATATTAGACGAGGATGCAAACTAGTTTACATTTGGAGTCAAATAAAGTAATAGATCAGAAAATGTAAAAATTATTTCGCAAAAAATATTAATATTTTTACCGTATTCAGTCTGGTCTTCTGTAGTGTTTCCTATGTTAAATATGTCCTACAATGCAACGAAGAATTGATAACATAGCTGATATGTCAATCTTTACTCAATAGAGTTTTCGTAGAGAGGAAGGGAAGAGGGAGGTGGGGGGAGGGGGGTATCATGAATCATGGTTATTAGAAATGAAAAAGGTATTAAGATATAGAAGAGAAATTGAAGAAAATATTAAATAAAAAGTCGAGAATAGAAAATGAAAAAGATTAAAAAGTAAGGGTTAGAAAAAGAGGAAAAGTGTTGCAAGAGAAGATTTGGAAGACGACGGAAGCGTGTATTTTGGACGTTTTTAAAAATATTTCAAACAATTAATTTATTCCGAACCTTTGTGCTGTTTTCGCATATTATGCCCCAAAATTATTATGGCAGGAACTAAGTCTGATTATTTGGCCAAAAACATAAATGAAGGAATTAAAACGTTGATGGTTTAATAGACACATTTTACATAGGAAACCTGGTTTTGGTACTTGCAATAATAAGCTTAGTTTTTAAACGTAATTCAAGAGTTTAAGAAGTTAATTATGACTTTGATGTCATTAGTGGAATATTATGGTGTTTAATAATATCTTGATAGTGTTAGATGAGAGGATAATTATTCCTATTCAATGAGATCGGAATTGATTATTGAATTTTTATCGAATCTTCTTTTCTTTTCTCCTTCTTCTCCCCGCCCTCCTTCTTCTTATCTTTCTTCTTGTCATCATCATCGTCATCTCCTGGTTCAGGATCCTGGACAAATAAAATAAATATTTTAAATTAACTAAAGAGAGTAATTTCAAGTGAGCCTTCATTTTCATCTAATGGCATGGCCAATTAAACACGGGGACCTTAACATTTTTGTCAGCTCAAGGTTTACTGCAAGATATTCTTATTTTTCTTGCTGAAAATTGATTTTTTTCTGTTCCTCTGTGAAAAAGTTCCCAGCTGAGGTCATACTTATTTAGTGTATAAAAATTGAAGGTATTGAGCCAAAAAGCTTAAAAGAAAATGCCTTTAAAGCATAAATTCGTGAATTTCGTATTTTTTGTATTAGAGGATGAAATGCTAAACAGAGTGTTTAGAATTAATCTGATAATCTAATTTCACTTTTTGTGCAATCCATAAAAAGCCCAAACATTCACTGTTTATCCTCTTAAGCCAAATATGCAATATTTTAAACGCACGAAATAACAATTTAGAAAAATAGTAGAAATATTTTAATCCTATTAGTTGAATATGATGTTTTGTGCAAATACTCATGTATCTAGTTTGCAGTGAGCTTCTCCATTATTTCTGAGCTCACATTTAACAGTTTTCAACAACTTTATCTAACCCATTCTTGATCAGACAAAGCCGTTGAGGGTACCGTTGTAAAGCGTACATGCCCCTCTGTCGATAGGGTCACTAGAAATTACGTTGTTAGTCTCTTTAAAGAAATAGAATAGACTTTAAAATGTAACATTAAAAAACGACGTTTGTCTGAAATATATACCCCCCTCTCCGTATACCTTAAGTACATGCCAATGTACAATCGGACGTCGTGGATTCTCAACCATCTCTTTCCAATGCTTCAGTTCCAATCCTGAAATACTTACAATATAATATAATAATATAAAAAATAATATTTTACAATATGTGTACATGAACTAATTCTAAACTTTTGAATGTATAATAGCGCTTAGACTTTTACATTCGGACTCTCATACTGTACACTCAAGGCAGTTTACATATAAATTTTTACCTATATGCTTTTATTGATTTAAATCCTTAAAGGGATAGTGGACAAAATTCAAGATCTATTTAAAGTGTCACAACCTTCCTTTTGAAACCTTTTTCGTCAGTTGATAAATTCATTTTTATTCACAGAGTTGTGTAATATAGAATTGCGTTTATTGCAAGCTACTGCCAAAGTTCAAATAGAATTTTTTGAAAATTTAAATACAAACTCAAGGTTTTAATTGAATATTCTTAAAAGATTGAAACAAAAAAGAACTGAAATATGCGTAGTTTCGTGCAATTCCGTTGCGCAAGTAAAATACACTTTCATTGGAAACCCTACTTCCAGGGCGCTTCGTGCCCATCTTAGAATTTGACTTTAAATTGTTGCTCTTTCTGTGGCATTTTATCTTCTTAATTTATCCAAAAATAATAAAACTAAATTTCGCGGATTTATCGATTTTTTGTGAATTTTAAAATGCCTATATTCTTTAAGTTCTGAGTCTGACCATCCATAAACCTTCCCTTGGATCTTCCGAAGTTCCACAAAACAATTGGGCTGGATCGGCTTAGCTGTTTATTGGGTACAAACTGACAGACAATTAAAGTATGTATATTGTATAGATTTATGCAGAGTTGCGAATCAGGGGGGGGGGCAACATATGTACATATAAAAAGGCTGAAAAATATTTAGAACAAAATCCCGGATTTTGTCATCATCATTTTATCTCCACCATTTGGGTCTGATCTTATGACCTAAAATTGCACCTCTGCATTAAAAAATTACCTTTTCTGTTATAACCAAGTTCAACCCTTCCAATAGGATCCGAGCTCCCAATCCTATCATAGTCAGCGATAACCATCTCCAGGCTTACTCTCTAAATAACAATATGATGGATAACCATCTTTGGGCTTACTGTCTAAAACACAATATAAAGGATAGTAATCTCCAGACTTACTCTCTAATTAACATTATGAACGATTACAATCTCCAGACTTACTCTCTAAATAACAATATTAAGGATAGCAATCTTCAGGCTTACTCTCTAATTAACATTATGAACGATTACAATCTCCAGGCTTACTCTCTAAATAACAATATTAAGGATAGCAATCTCCAGGCTTACACTCTAAATAACAATATAAAGAATAGTAATCTCAAGTCTTACTCTCTAAATAACAATATGAAGGATATCAATCTCCAGGCTTACTCTCTAAATAATAATATGAAGGATATCAATCTCCAGGATTACTCTCTAAATAATAATATGAAGGATAAAGATTAAAAATAAGTTCACTTACCCTCAGCTGCTCTTGTTCAACGATAAAGACGAAACTCTCATTGTAATATGGGTTAAGATTTCCCATTTTCACTGCAGAGCGCACATTTAAATATTGCAAACTTTGAAAATATTTTCATCTGATAAAATGTATCTTTTTTACCATTACAGTAATTTTAACTGTTTAAAAATATACAAATGTACAATCCTGAAGTTTTCTTCTTCTTTCCAATTCGTTTCCCCTTTCTGTCCAATAGCTTGATTTTAACATAGGGATCTGAATAGAATATATTCTTATAATGTAATTTAAATTAAACAGGGCTCCTTGAATATTAAAGGACGGAAAGATAGGATTATTCAAGGGTACTGAATATACAGCAGGGTACACTAATAAAGATTTAGATCACATTTTGGGTTAATTCAAGTGTATGATTTTACCATTTCAAAAAGCTTAATATCATGTTTAAATAAAAATAATTTTACTAAACTGAGCCAAACACATAAGGCATAAAGGATGTAAAGAGCAAGTATATTATATTTTTTATTATTTTAAGAATTCGTTATTTGTCAGAAGAGTTTTATGACACTATTGTGTACTTTGTTACTCATGGTCACTTCTTGTTAAGTTTCATTAGACTATAAACTAATAATCGTGCTATAATGTAAAATTAGCTGTATATCGTAGCACGGTGCTATAAAGTTTCAATGGTTCCTGAATTTTCTCAAATTTTTATTTAATATTTCTTGAATTAAATTAAAAAATAACTGTGTACCAAAATAGTACTGTTAAAAATAGTTAAAATGTAACTAGGAATCATAGATATAATTAGACCAGTAGAGCTATTACCAGCCCACTTTCTATAGAAACAACTAATGGCAAATTTTCGAACAATTCACTTCTTAAAATAAAAGATTCGTGGAAAAAAGTTTATTAAAAAGACATCAATACCATTTTTATTGATAAACTATCAATGTTATTAAAAAATCTTCTTTAGAAAGGAGAAATAATGAGGAAAAATTAGATCTGCCACTTTTAACAACAACAACAACCAATAGACGACAGCTTTAAGATGTTATAATTTTTTATTTCACATGATCTTCTTGGATTCGGTGTAAATGTACTTCTCTTTAATAAAGACAATAAAAACTTTCTTCAATTAGTTTTATATTTCATTTTTTAAATCTTTGCACAAAGATTCCGTTTCAATTTTGTCCTTGCAGCAGGACTTTTCCTGCCCCATGGTTACAAAAGACCAAATTTTAAACATAATTCTCCATTAGTTAGATTAAAGGCTATTCTTGCTACAACGGGTTTAAACAAGTTAAACTAGTTTCTCTTATTGTTCAAACCTCCGAGAACCTGGATAAATGAGAGAGAACACAGCGTTTAAAAAGTTAAGACTGATCTGACAAGTAGTTTTTGTTTGACGTTTTACTTGTTTTCAGACCTGGATATGGAAATGTTAAAGCTATAAAATGTTTTTTTTTTAGTTTTTGTTTTGACGCAGTATCAATATACGTTAATGTTTTTATTTACATTTAGGATGTGGTTTACTGGTTTGATATGAATGACTATTTATACCTGAAGCTCCCGTAATATCCATTTTCTTTAAGTTTTTACACTCGAGAATTCCTACAGTCAACTTTCCCGAGGTTGGCACATATCGCAGAGAGAAGCAAATATCTCCCAGATACTAAAACATGTTTTTATGATTGGAGAAATATAACTTTACTTTCTCACTTTTCTATATTTGTTATCTATTCAAATATTCTGTATGGGGTGGCTTTTATGTTTGTAATATATATAGCATTTGTAGTTAAATTGGCCTTTCAAGTTATTAGAGCTATGGGGGAGGTGTAAAAGACTCTCTGATTTTCGACTCTTTTCATAAACTTGGTTTTCTCCCGGGGGGGTGGGGTGGGGTGGGGTGTGATTTAAACTCAAATTATTGCCTCACCTGATCATCTACCTTCACCGACTGGATATCCTTCCATTCTTCAATAGTTTGCGCCAGATCTACCATACACAGAGGGATCTTTACCTCACCGATCTAGAAATTAGAAAGAAAAAAAAATTCAGAAATCAGAAATGCTTACATTCACCTTGCACCAGTTCTAAATTTTCTTTGATACCGGACCTTTTAAAAAACATTTTAGAATTTGTTAAATCAATGTAAATCAATATGGCCGGGTGTCAACATATCCGTCTAGAAACCCTGAATTCATAAATGTCAAATTCGTAAAACGTAAAAATCCCTTTTTTACTTTTTTTTAGCGTAGAATAAAACAATTTTTGAAATATAGAAAAACGGAAAAGGAAAAGTGCGCATCTTTTGATACTTATGTCATCACGTTTTGATAAAATCAAAAAAAATAGACCTTATTTTCTTTGTTTTTAAAATCGTCAATTAATGTAAAATGTAAATGCGGGTAAACGGCGGGAGTAAAATAGTAACCTGGACAGCACTGGGTGCCCAAGCTAGTCTATAATATACTAGCTTGGAAACCCAGCGCTGCCAAGATTACTAAATGTTACTACCGCCGTTTTCCAGTCTTTCGACGATTTTACCGGGAAACTAAATTTTTGCTATTAAAGTCGACCCTCCCAAAATTAGAATTTCAAAATTAAGCTAAAACATTCCCATGGGTCTCCCAAGTTCCACGATAAAAATTTGAGACAAATCGGTAAAGGGGTTCCTGAGTTATGATCGAACACAGAAACAAACTAACAGACAAACAGAAATTACAACTTTATATATTTGTACCTGGTCGTGTTTAGAGAACCGGTCGTAATCGAACACTGCAAAAACCAGGGTCTTGTCGAAGGTTTCACTGTACGGAACCTAAGAATACATGATCTTTAATGGACTGAATCACTTTTAAATAAATATATATCTTTAAAGAATTGAAGAAGACAATGCCATATCTTTAAAGAATTGAAAATAACAATGCCATATTTTTAAAGAATTGAAAATGACAATGCCATATCTTTAAAGAATTGAAAAAGACAATGCAATAATTTTAAAGAATTGAAAAAGACAAAGCAATATCTTTAAAGAATTGAAAAAAAACAATGCAATATCTTTAAAGAATTGAAAAAGACAATGCCATATCTTAAAAGAATTGAAAAAGACAATGCCATATTTTTAAAGAATTGAAAAAGACAATGCCATATCTTTAAAGAATTGAAATGGCAATGCCATATCTTCAAAGAATTGAAAATGACAATGCCATATCTTTAAAGAATTGAAAAAGACAATGCCATATCTTTAAAGAATTGAAATGACCATGCCATATCTTTAAAGAATTGAAAAAGACAATGTCATATCTTTACAGAATTGAAAAAGACAATGCAATATCTTTAAAGAATTGAACATGACAATGCCATATCTTTAAAGAATTGAAAATGACAATGCAATATCTTTAAAGAATTGAAAAAGACAATGCAATAGCTTTAAAGAATTGAAAATGACAATGCCATATCTTTAAAGAATTGAAAAAGACAATGAAATATCTTTAAAGAATTGAAAATGACAATGCCATATTTTTAAAGAATTACAAGAAAAACAATACCGTATCTTAAATAACCCTTTATTTAGACCCTTTAGCAGGAAAATATTTATCAAACAATTGTCTTTTTTATACAGGGATATCCAGTAAGGATGAGACTTTAGAGAAGTCAGTGCGGAATTTACAAGGTCTTTTATTTTTACGTTCTTAGTTAATGCAACTAAAACATGTCTTATTTTGCAAACCATTTAAAATCCAGCCTGATCAAACGTCAGAACTCTCGTCACCTCGTGTTGTGAATGAATCTTGGGATCATGCATTGATCTCCAATCTTTATCTTATACAGATTTAAAGATTAATTTAATTACTCTTTGATTTCCTGTGAGTTTAACAAGATAAACAATACCGCACAAAAGTTTCCGTTTTAGGTCGTCTCATCATCTGCGTGAAACCCTTTTTATAAAGTCGAATTCTAAAGAGATGTTCTTAAGAGGAGGATAAAATCACTCCTTCCCCCTTTTATGCTGTACACCTTCAATATAATTTAAACTACCGAGGCTGACTTTAACATATGTAGGAAAAGGAGATATAGAAATAGACATTACGTAATCTGAATTTGTTTGAAAAAGGAAAAAGGAATTTAATTTTCTCCAAGGCTCTTCACGTCAATCAAATTACCCAGTTACTATTTTTATTTTCAATTTTTAATTAGATTTCAAGTCTTAAATTTTTTAATCTTATTTTAAGAATTTAATAAGTAAAAAATAAGAAATAAAAGAATCGTCAACGCTGTAGAAGCAAAGATCAAAATAATCATTAATTTTCCTCAAAAGCCATTCACGCCAATCAAGATATTCAAATTGTTCAAACTATTTCAATTTTCGTCTAGTTTTAAAAGTTAAAAATGGAATAAAGTTTTTGCCACTGCAGACTCTGAATTATAATCCCAATATCTTTGCAACCCGATGTCGTAGAATTTTGATATTTAAAACTATGAAATCTGTGAAATCAAGTGGTTTGAAATAAAAAGGGTCTAATCATCAGGTTGCAAAGATACAGGGACTATAACATTAGATTTTGTGGTAAGAACTCAGTTCCTTTAATTAAACAAATTCAGAATAGATATGGATAGACTAATATAAAATAAAATGTTGGCATTGTATTCTGAAAAATTAAAGAACAAAGGAGGAAGCATTTTGAAAAATTCAATTTTCCTCAAAAGCCATTGACGTTAGTCAAAGTATTAAAAATACTCTTTAAAAAATTTCAAATATTTATATTTTCGTCTTATTTAAAGAGTTTACAAACAAATTAATTGGACGAATTTAGAGAATTATTAATGAAAAAAATAATTGATTATTATATAAAAGTAGATTGTGGACATGCATTCTATTCTTTAAACTGTTGTTGGAACAAAGCTGAATATTCATGAGAAAAAAATCAATTTTCCTTAAAAGACAGTCATGCTAATCAAAATATTTAAATCAGCCAATCCTTTAAATCTTTCAATCATTTTTATCAAAAGTTTTTAAAAATCTAATTTGATGAATTAATGATAGAATAACTTTAAATGAATTATTTACCTGTTTGAAAGAAAAAGATTCATTGAAGAAAGGATTGAGAGTTTTTCTGTGAACTTTTGTCTCAAACTTACGTTTCTTGTCCGGCATCAGATATACCTAATATCAACGTTTATATACATTCATAATCAGAAAGACCCGGAATTAATTGACAGTTAATCAGGCGACTTTACATATATATCTCTGGCAATTGTAATGGCTCCAAAAAGGCAGTCCACAATTTGGAAATGTCAGGACTAGGGCTATCATATTTGTAAAGTTAGATTGTAAAGTCGTCTGATTAATTGTAAACTAATTCCGGGTCTTTCTTATTAATATATATATATACTAATATCATTAAACCATAGATTACTTGGAAGAATGTTTTGATTTAAAAGGATGCTCTCAATTTTAAAGTAATGCAGTTTTCGAATTGATATATTTCACTGTGTTAAACACAACATTTTGGTGAAAAAAATATAAACTTTCTTAAAAATATTGATCTTATTTATTCACTCGAAAATTTTGTTCAGCCAGCGCGGCGAGTATTCAATTCAAAATGTAAACCTTCTTATATACTGAATATGGAAACAATATCGTGTCTCAAAACATTTTTTTAAATTCAAAAAACAATTTTTGTTGAAAAAGATAATGAATTCTTAATTGACTAAAAAATTACAATTCTTGAAATTGACGTCTAATATCTCCTTAATTAATTGACAAACAGGTTCAAGGTTATCTGTATACCTTGACATACAGGTTTAAGGTTAGGTGTATACCTTGGAAACCAGGTTTAAGGTTATGTGTATACCTTGATATACAGGTTCAAGGTTAGGTGTATACCTTGACATACAGGTTTAAGGTTAGGTGTTCACCTTGACATACAGGTTCAAGGTTATGTGTATACCTTGACATACAGGTTTAAGGTTAGGTGTATACCTTGACATACAGGTTTAAGGTTAGGTGTTTACTTTGACATACAGGTTCAAGGTTAGGTGTATACCTTGACATGCAAGTTTAAGGATAGGTGAAAACCTTGACATACAGGTTCAAGGTTAGGTGCATACCTTGACATGCAGGTTCAAGGTTAGGTGTACACCTTGACATACAGGTTCAAGGTTAGGTGTACACCTTGACATACAGGTTCAAGGTTAGGTGTATACCTTGACATACAGGTTCAAGGTTAGGTGTATACCTTGACATACAGGTTTAAGGTTAGGTGTATACTATGATATAAAGGGGTTTAAGGTTAGGTGTATACCTTGACATAAAGGTTTAAGGTTAGGTGTATACCTTGACATACAGGTTTAAGGTTAGGTGTATACCTTGATATAAAGGGGTTTAAGGTTAGGTGTATACCTTGCCATAAAGGTTTAAGGTTAGGTGTATACCTTGACATAAAGGTTTAAGGTTAGGTGTATACCTTGACATACAGGTTCAAGGTTAGGTGTATACCTTGACATACAGGTTCAATGTTAGGTGTGTACCTTGACATAAAGGTTTAAGGTTAGGTGTATACCTTGACATACGGATCGGAGGTTCCGCCCATATCCAGCGCTGGAAGCTCGCAGCATTGAATTGCCGTTACGTTTAGAGATTGGGCGTTGAAATCATAATCCAGCTGAAAATAATAATTATTCAAATATCTTAATTAATATATTATGACAATAATTTAATAGTTGTAATAACTATTTTCATATTTTTTAACTTTCAAAAACGGGTTTATATTAGAATATAAAAAGACGTCTCAAAATGATCTGTGTCTATCCCTAGAAAATACTCATGTCTAATAATTACTAGAGAATGGATCAATTATCATTTGTATGAGATTATTTCGTTTTATTACCGGGAACTTCTGATTAAGAATTAGAAGGTTAATGAAAAACTTTAATAGTAAATTAAATCATTGAATAGCTTAACTATAAAAAAATATACAAGATGTATTAACAAGAAATGATAGAAAATAGTAATTAATTATAAACTCGTTATGGAAGCAATGAAAACAATCAAAGTGGTGTATTAACCTTGAATGGAAAATGTTCTACTAATCGACATTCTAAATATTATCCAGTTTTCTATTATCCTTATATGACTAATAAATAATGCATGAATATACCTTTAGATATAGCTAAATAATATATGATACATAAATCTTTAAAATAATGATATAATAAGAAAGGAATTGAGTCTTTGCCACAAACTCTGATTTTCCAATCCCTATATCTTTTCAATCCAATGTCTTAGACCTTATATATTTCAAAGTATACTGTTAGATCAAATAATCTAAGTTTGAAATATCAAAGGTTTACTTCTTCAGGTTTCAAAGATATATATATAGGGATATTGTGGCAAAAACTCAATTCCTTTTCAAACTGCAAATTTTTCTTCGCAATGATTTAAACTTAAAGTTTAGCGAATTTTTGTGAATACATTTCTGGATTTCCAAAAATCCCATTTTCTAAACAACATTTGTCATTTTCGAATAGTAAGTTACCACCAAAAAAATTTGGGTTAAACATGATAATTAATAAAGCTCTGTGAATATCAAGGAGAGAGGGTTGAATTTATCCTTCTATTGATCCAGCTCCGCCCTCAAGTACTTGCTAACATTAATCCAGTCATGTAATTAATTATTTTACCACCCACTGTATACATAATACATATATTACCATTCACATACATTTAGATTAAAACCTGCACTAGACAGATTAGATGGACAAGATGGAATAGACAGACTAAACAGACTAGACAAACTGGATGGACTAGACAGAAGACAGACTAGATAGACTAGACAGACTAGACAGACTAGACAGACTAGATGGACTAGACAGAAGACAGACTAGATAGACTAGATGGACTAGACAGACTAGATGGACTAGACAGACTAGATGGACTAGATAGACTAGATGGAATAAACTGACTAGATGGACTAGACAGACTAGATGGACTAGACGGACTAGATGGACTAGACAGACTAGATGGACTATATAGACCTAGAGAGGCAAGATGGACTAGAAAGACTAGATAGAATAGACAGACTAGACAGACCCCACAAACTAGACAGACCCCACTGACTAGACAGACCCCACAGACTAATCAGACAACACAGAATACACAGACCAGATGGACTAGACAGACTCGACAGACTAGACCACACAGAATAGACAGACTAGACAGACTAAATTGACTAGAAAGACTACAAAGACTACACAGACTAGATGGACTAGACTACACAGACTAGACAGAATAGACAGATTAGACAGACTAGACCACACAGACTGGACAGACTAGACCACACAGACTAGACAGACTAGACAGACTAGATTGACAAGACAGACTACACAGACTACTCAGACTATACAGNCTAAAATACCAGACATTAATACCTAAAATACCAGACATTAATACCTAAAATACCAGACATTAATACCTAAAATGACCATCCTAGTGTTTCTTGGGATAAATTAAACAATTACTTTATTCTTATTGCCTGCTTCTATTACTTATACACAATGTCAAGTTTTTTATCTTGTAATATTATATCAACTCACTAGACCTTTTACCTTTACCATTAAAGAAAAAAAATGAATATATTCTGCAATAATTTTTCAAGAATGTTTAATCATGATTTTTGCGGATAAAATATTTGGCGTGTCTAATATAAATTATTCAGAACGTGCAAATTCTTTTATAACATTGAAATGCAAATAAATTAAAAACCAACTAAAATCTTAAAATAAAACTCATTCATATAGTTTATTATTTTAATGAGATGTTTTGAAATTGATTTTATTTATTTATTCTTCCATAACTTTTATGTTATTACAAGTGACATTCCATTTAGAAAGGGACATGCCCGATTTACAATTAACGGTAACACTTCAATCTATAATCTTATTAATAATGTGGAAAATATTCTGTAAACAGGGTTTAGTTCTCACAATATCCTGTACTGTTACTGAAATTACACTTACAGTCCTTTTAAGAAAATCTTTAATAAATTCAACATTGAACATTGAAAAAATGTACATAAATATTAACAATGCGTACATTAATGTTTCCTTTCCTTACCTTGTATTGAAGTTTTCCTAGATATTCTGCGGTTGAATCATGCTTGATTTCAAGTTCGTCCTGTGCAGGAAAATAGATTTCAAAACATCTTTGTAAATTGAAAAAGTAAAGGAGAAATATCTGAAAGATGCATAAATGCATACTTTTATAAAATACAGTTTTTAAATGTTCGAACCTTCACCTTCCATTACTAATTGCATTGTGTTGACATAAAATAAGAAAAAAATCTAAAGTTTCTTAAAAAAAGATATTTTGAAAATTAAGTTTCCCTTAATGTCCAAATCTTCTTCGTTATCAACCAGAAAATCTTCATCATCCTTAAACAGTTTAAATGTTTTAGCAATACTAGAATATATCAGCCAATTTGGTCCAGAAGGCCAGCTATAGCTAACATATATGAGCGAAAAGCTTTATTATATAAGATGAGCGAAGAGCTTTATTATATACTTTTTTAGAAGAAATACTAGAAACATTATACATGTTAAGCAGAAACATTAAAAATAGATTGCGGAATTTAATTTCCAAAGGCTCAAAAGGTGCTCAAAAATGCGATATTCTTTTATAAATTGCGATTTACTTTACCGCGTCCTTGCCTTTCTTCTTTCCATCCTTTGGTTCTAACCTCATCTTCACCGTCACTGCCTTTCCTCTTGGCATTCCTTGCTTCTTACCTGATCTTCACCATCCTTGCATTTCCTCTTGCTATTCCTTGCTTCTTACCTGATCTTCACCATCCTTGCATTCCTCTTGCCATTCCCTGCTTCTTACCTGATCTTCACCATCCTTGCATTTCCTCTTGCCATTCCCTCCTTCTTACCTGATCTTCACCATCCTTGCATTTCCTCTTGCCATTCTTTCGTTCATATCTGATCTTCACCACCCTTGCATTTCCTCTTCCTATTCCCTGCTTCTTACCTGATCTTCACCATCCTTGCATTTTCTCTTGCCATTCCCTGCTTCTTACCTGATCTTCACCATCCTTGCATTTCCTCTTGCCATTCCTTGCTTCTTACCTGATCTTCACCATCCTTGCATTTCCTCTTGCTATTCCCTGTTTCTTACCTGATCTTCACCATCCTTGCATTTCCTCTTGTCATTATTTGGTTCATATCTGATCTTCACCATCCTTGCATTTCCTCTTGCTATTCCCTGCTTCTTACCTGATCTTCACCATTCTTGCATTTCCTCTTGCTATTCCCTGCTTCTTACCTGATCTTTACCATCCTTGCATTTCCTCTCGCCATTAACCCTGCGTCTTACCTGATCTTCCCCATCCTTGCATTTCCTCTTGCCATTCCTTGCTTCTTACCTGATCTTCGCCATCCTTTCATTTCCTCTTGCCATTCTTTGGTTCATATCTGATCTTCACCATCCTTGCATTTCCTCTTGCTATTCCCTGCTTCTTACCTGATCTTCACCGCCCTTTCATTTTCTCTTGTCGTCCTTTGGTTCTTACCTGATATTTACTCTAGTTATTGCCATTCCATGATTCTAACCTGATTTTTATTGTCCTTGCCATTCTTCTTGCAATACTTTTCGGCTTACCTTTCTTCTTTCCATCCTTAGTTTCTTAGTTTCTCACCTGATCTTTACCGTCCTTGCCTTTCTTCTTGCTATCCTTTGGTCTCTTTTTCTTAAAAAATCTCCAAATGCACCAAAACAGAAGCCCAACAGCAACACCAATCAGAACTATTTAGAAAAAAATTCGTTGAAATATCTTTTTTGATTAAATTTTCAGCAAACGACATTCAGAAAATGTAATTTTTATGTTTTTAAAGAAAACTTCCCATTTATGATTATTTTTCTATCAAAAAATCATTATTAGATTAAAAATGATAGTTTTCTCAAATTGCTCAAGTTTTCTCAAATTTTCTAATATTTTTTTTTCTTTTCTAATCGATTTCTTAAGTTTTCTCAAATTTTCTCAAGTTTTCTTAAGCACAAATAAAACGTTGATTTATCACATTTATTTAAAATATAATATTGTTTGATTAACATTAAAGAATTATTACCTATTATGGCGCAGACGACTTGCCATTTTTTTAGCCCAGTTTTATTGGCGAGAAAAGTAATTTCCTCTTTCACCACATTTTCCGCTAGAAATATATTTTAAAAAATAAGAAATAAAGAATTTATTTAGATACATTGCAATCTTACAACGTGGTTCGCTTTTTACATTATTGGACATTTTAAATATCTTCGTAATATTTCCAATCTGATGGCAAAACTTTTGGAAAACAATGCATATGGGGGGTCATTTCGAAAAAATTATGATTAAAGTAACAATAACTAAGAAGAACCAGTCAAATTTTTTTTTTCTTCAAATTTGTAATCAGTAACTTCTATCAATAAACATAAAATGCAAAAATTAGTTGTTCTTTATGCCAAAATTGCAAACTTCAAACTGTCATAACTTCCTAATAAAAGGGGGGTGTAGGTTTCTAATCCAACTTTTATATGTTGCGTATATAAAGAGAAAAGGGTTAAAAACGACTCATACCGAAGAACGTAGGACACATACTAATTCACGGAGTTGCAATATTTTACTCAGATAGCAAATAATTCAATTAAATTTTAAATTAATCATTCAGATATTACAACCTATAAATATCGAATTCAATTTGATGCATTCATAGTTTATATTTCATAATATTTTTCATTTTTTATTTTAAAAAACTATTTTTTTTCAACGCTATGCGTCTCTCTCAAGCAAAACTCCTGAAATATGGAGAGCAGATGACACCTGGCGGCCAAATAATCGTCGTTTAAAGTACTCGTGTATACAAAAAAAATAAAAAATATTATATAATATTAACTATATACAAATGCATCGACTTGAATTCGATATTTATAGGTTGTAACATCTGAATAATTAATTTTGAATTAAATTGAACTTTTTACGATCGGAGTAGGGAGGGAAGCCTCCGCCATGGAGCATAGAGCCTCCCAGATTTGCTAGGCTGTATGAACCTCCGCTATGCTGTAATGGGCATGTCCAATTCATCTGAATGATTTGTTTATAATTTTTTTGACATTAGTGACATGAGAGGTTTCTCAAAGATCAAGTATTTATTAATTATTATAAATATTACCTAAAATATCTAGAGAAAAAAAAATAATTTCATTTAATTTAATCTTTTATTCTTTGAGAGAATTATAATACCGTGTATTTTCAAATTACATATCTAAGGTTTTGACTGAAAAAAGGCATTTTATAATTTATTTCTAAATACAAACAAAATATCAATTTTTAAAGTCTAACAGGTGAAGTTTTTAATAGTACAGTTAAATAGTAAAGTGATAGATAACACACTTTTCCTCCAGACTTAATCTTCATGGGATTCTTCTCTCTGATGTTCCTGGTGCTGGAAACTCTAGATTTTTGGTGAGTGACAACCTCAGTCTAGTTCACCACAACATCACCAGGCCACTCAATCTCGAGCTCCTCACTCCTAGAGTTGTTATCTCTTCCTCCTTATCCACAACAGCAATCTCTTCAACAGTAGTAGAAACTGGGGAGGTAGCTATGGTCTTTTCAATGCTGCTAGCTTGTTGGCAACAGCTGCCTTAGAAATTAAAATGTACTCAGCTGTCATCTTTGTGCTAACTCATTCAAAAAAGTCCCTCATCTGTTTTGTGGTGGCACCTGCATCAGCTACTGCAGTTGCTGCTGACCGCTTTTAAAAATGAAAAGTATATCCACCTGGAGCGTACAGCGGTAGTCTCTCTGCCATATCATAGGAACCTTAAAAACCACATTGCGACCCATTGGTTGGTTGGAAAGATTTTGCATTTCTGGTCCAAAGTAGATGACCAGTAAATTTTCCGAGCTTCTCTTTAATGGTTTACAATGTATTGGTCAACAATATCAGCACTGCGACTATCGTCACTCCTAGGGACCAGAAACTTACTGGAAATAGTTTATCCCTTCTTTGTTTTACCCTTGAATGTGTTACATAGATTCCTTCAGACATGCTGTCAAACAATTCAATCTGAATATCCATCATTTATGTATGCCTTAGTCCACCATAATAAGCCAATAAGGAGTAGAAGAATCAGCATCCAAAGAAACTGTTGGATGTTATTGGTGCTGAACACATTAGCCTTTTTGATTGATATCAACATCAAAGCTTTTCAGCAGAATTGTTCCTCTGCCGTACTGTTTAAGATTAAATGAATATTTTCCCTTTGAAACAGAATTGAGCATACTGTAGATTGTCCAAAGATTGGATGAAGCCATTCCTTTCTCCTTTCTAAGATGTTGAACATTAAAATTCAAGCCGCCTTTAAATCCCTCATTACATTGGCGATTTAAAGGCTTGTGGAGGACCAGTTTATTCATATATATTTATCATATTTATCCCTGTTTATGTTTACGTGGAAGTTGACCAGTTCCTGTCAACTTCCTCTTTGTACTTTACTATACACATTGTACGCAAATATATATTCAGACATCCAGTGTTCTCTCTCTTGAGTAGATCTAGTTTCCAACCTTTACAGGCTTAAATTTCAACCTTAAACAAACTAAATTAAGTAAAAATCCCGGCAAAAATATAATGTCCCGCATTATAACACAAGGCAGTTGTATAAATAGATATTATAATCTTTGATTTAAGTGATAAAGGAATTGAGTCTTTGCCACGAACTCTGATTTTCTAATCCCTATATCTTTTGATTCCAACGTCGTAGACCTTTGGCATTTCAAACTATGACTTCTTTTAGATCAAATCATTTAATTTTGAAATATCAAAGGTTTACGACATTGGGTTCGAAAAATATAGGGATTAGAAAATCAGAGTTTGTGGCAAAGACTCAATTCCTTTCTTGTAATTGTTTTTAAATCTAGAAAGCTATGATCATTTATAATGGTATTGCCAAAATCCACGATAACACCATCACAAGCTAAGTTTACTCCAAAATTATTTCCCCAAATATCATTCTTTCTGCGTAAGAAATGTTTTAAGTTTTAGTGTAAATCTTCTAAACCACTTTATGAGTCCATATAAGTTTCCTATAATGACGATCAATAAATAACTCTTATCTTTAGTACAATTCTTATTTATGTAAAAAAAAATCGTGATTAAACAAAAAACCAAGATTTATTTAAAGTTAGTGTGCATGCTATATGGCGGAGGCTATATACTGTATGCACTGTAAGCCAAGATTGCACGCTCTCACGCAAATATCTAGCAATATTTTGCTAATTACTCCTTTCAAATCTAAGCTAGGAACAAGTGTGTTGCATTTTTAAAATGTATATGCCTAGGGCCACACAAAAAATAGTGGAGGCTTATGGCGGCCAGGGGTTCCCTCCATCATCGGAGTGGAATAATTCAACACCGTAAATTTGTATGTATCCTACGTTCTTCGGTATAAGACGTTTTTAACCCTTTTCTACTTACAAACGCAACAGATAAAAGTAAAATTAGTAGCGACCACAGATGTTACTCTTGTATCTCTGGTAGACCAAACCCCCATTTTATTTTTCGCGAACACTTCCTTTAATGATCTCTTTATTTGGGAACACCCTGTAAACATATTTATTTACATCCATTAAAATACAATTTCGTCTTAGTAAATCAAGTCCTAGTAAATTTTCATTGTAGCTGCATATAACGTCATCGTTTTCTAATTTTTTATAAAACTATAATATTAAAGATTCCGTTTTTCTTCTGAATGAAAAAAAAATATATAAAAATAGAAGAAAAGCAATCTTAATAGACGGGTATAAACAATATTTTTTGTTGCATCGATTAATAGAAAAAAATACATGTCAAAATAAATGAATATTACTATCAATTTTACCTAATTTTACTGATTCACCAGCCGATCGTCGAACAATGATATGATCTAAAATATGTTGAATTATATAATCATATTAAAAAGTGTTGAACAAATTCTATGAGACTATTGAAGCAAGTTCTAAGCTTTGCATTAGATTTCTTTCTAATCTATCTATATATAAATTTGGCTTGTCTGTCTGTTTGTTTGTATCCAATAAACGTCAAAACGGCTGAACCGATCGGGCCTAAATTTTTTGTGGGACATCACGTGACCACAGGGAAGGTTTATGAATGATAAAAAAAAAAATGTTTTAAAGGTTTTTAATTTTGTAAAAAAAATTAAATTCTTGAAAATCCGCGATTTAAAAAAAAAAATCCGCAAAATTTTTTTCTTCTTTGTTTTAAAATGTAAACAAAATAACATGTTCACAATTTAAATAGAAGATGGGCGCGAAGCGCCCTAAAAGCCTAGTTTATGTAAAAATGACCTTAGCACAGTTTTTCTATTGCAAATGATTGTTCTGTAAATTCTTCGGATCTTAGTAAAATGTTTGTTAAGAAACAAATGAAATATTTTGATGTCTGATTGGACCATGCATGGAAAGTTCCGGTTTTACAAGAACTTTTAAATACAAGAACGAATAATTTATATGTTGAAGGATTCGATGATTACGTAATAATTGAAATGATAAATATGTTATGTAATGAGTAATGATCAATGTCGTCTATTTCTGCATAATTTTGCATATTTTTCACTTTTTTGGAAACCTGTATTTTCAAAAATGTATTTAAACAAATTTAAACTACACCATTTATATATGTATTAATATCCTTGTGTGTGAATAAATCTTTATATAATAAAATAAATTGTTTTGAATCATATTGAATCAATTTGAAAAAGATTAAAAAACATTATATGGAATTATATTAAAATGGATTGAAATATAATTGAATTATATCTAATTTTATTGAATTATATTGAATCAATCAAATCAATATGAATTTATAAAAACAGAAGACCACGGTTGTAATCTTTTGGTAGTGATATTGAAATATTCCAACAACATCATTAATGGGTCATTCTTAGTGGGGAACTCTGCTCAAGAAGTACACTGAATTTTTTTTGTCGTTTGCTGGGGAATGGGTTCCATGTATACTTTGTAATTTTATTAAAGAAATCATATATATATTATTTATTTTTGCAACAAAAATACAAAATTACAATTATACATTTTAAGTTTTATATAACATTTGGTCTAGTAACATTTGGTCTAAGTAACATTTGGTCTAAGTAACATTTGGTCTAAATAACATTTTGTCTAAGTAACATTAGGTCTAAGTAACTTTTAGTAAGTAAATTGGTCTAAAACTACAGAATTGGTTTAAGTAACTTTAAGAAAGGAGTAAGTAACATTTTGTCCAAGTAACTTTTGGTATAAGTAATTTTTAGTAAGGAATTTGGTCTAAAACTAAACTGCCTAAAAGAGATGGTTCCGTGAAGTAGTGCGTCTACAAAAAGATGTAACAATCTTCTGTAGAATGTGAACCTTGCCCCATAAAAAATGGTTGTCAAAAGTACTTTCACTCCCATATTCATTCATACGCTACTATTGGTCTATGGTAAACAACAACAACATCAAAGAATCATGTAAATTTTCTTATTATCTAATTTATCCCGCCATTGAGTTCCTCTCAGTTCAACGTGTTCACTTAACATTTTTTTCAGACCAAATTATTTACTAAAAGTTACTTAGACCAAAAGTTATTTAGACCAAAAGTTACTTAGACCAAATGTTACTTAGACCAAATGTTACTTAGACCAAAGGTTACTAGACAAAAATGAACTAGACGAAAATGAACTAGACAAAAGTGAACTTAGACGAAAGTGTACTAGACGAAATGTTACTGAGCCCATATAATGTATCAGGACTAATCTCAGATGATTGGCCCTAGACTTCAGGGGGTCGAGAGATGGTCATCCAGAAGGTTTGGAGTTTGAAGGAGGTTTGGAAAGAGAAAGAAATAATCACAACTAGCATCACACTAAGTTAACACATTAGATCCTTTTCTTGTTTTGTTTTTTCTCGAAAAACAAACAATATCAGTTTTCTTTTATTAAAGTAATTAATGGCCCAATTATTTTCTCAAACATATAATCCAAGAAAGAAAGAAAAAATAGATTAAGATATATTTTCTAAACAAGAGACAGTAAAATCTAAATAATAAATCCCAGAGGATATCATTTCATTTATAGAGAGCAAATAATTCAGGAAGATTCATGCCCCTAAATTCTAACTCGCTATTATAATGGACAACGACAATGAATTCGATATGGTACAATTTTATCTGTCAATATGGCACAGTAAAATTACAAATGAACTTGAATTAATATTTTCACCATTCTTTTCATCAACAAATTTTTTTGGGGCAAGTATCATGAATCACTGAAATTCTCAGGCCGGCTATATATTAAATTTATCCCGCGGGTCTGAACATAAATCGCTTCAAATCTATTTATCCATTTAAAATCTATGTAAACAAGCTAAAATTTAGACAAAAACTAAACTGTAAATAAGGGTGGGACTGAATGGAACTTTTTTGATATAAAATTAAATCAGCGCGTCACTTTTTTGTAAGAAATAATTCACTATATGCAAGCAAAACCATTCTTCTTTTAAATATCCATCTTAAAACACTGAATTCAAAGTAGTTAAAATTTAAAAAATCTGTCAATAATTTAACAAATTAGTGGCAAAAAACGAAGTTTTTCGAGGAAATTTGTCAGAGTTCCCAAAATTTTTTTAAACATTTTTTAATCATACATCAAACAATACTTAAAATTTTAAAAAGCCAACAAATGGACCATATTCAGTGGTTTGAGGCACAACTTTAAATATCCATATCGACATGATTCGAAAAAATTGAAAAATCGACCTCCCTTATGGTGATCTATGATTTTTAAAAACATTCGCGCTAACCCACTTTAAAAATTAAGGAAAAAATTTCAGAGTGATTTTACTGCAGCGTGTTGGTATTTTTTGGAAAAAAATTCATATTGTCCCAAAGTTACTGTAAATGATAAAACGAAGGATGTATTTCTCTTGAATATTTGATGCATGTATATCAGATCATAATCCTAAGCTTAAGGATTAGGATTTACTACTGATCCAACATGAGATTCTAACCTACCCTCTTCAGAGAAGGAAAGGAATATGCAGACACGCAACCATAGATAAAGATAGATTGCGCATAAGACGACATTTTTCATCTTGAAAGATATAAATGTACAGAGATGTTTTAAAGATATTCCTATTATATAGATTAACTAGGTCGGTTGTGAACATTGGCTGTACTAATGTCATTGAGTACTTGTGGTGTACATGAGTTCCGTAGAGAGAAATTTAAGTTAGTTTAGTCCTTCTCATGTCCTTCTTCAGTTCTCGTCAATATGATATATTGCTCAGTGAAATATTGTTGTTCAAATAGTTCCATTCCCGGAATTATTTTACACTCTATTATGAAATCCATTAAAACACCAAACCACCCCGCTTATCATTGAAGTACACTTTGACCCCCAGAAGTATGAGTTCGCGGACTGTACAATTCTTGGCGATTTTGAGTACATAAGCTATCTATGTTTATTTATTTATCTATGCACGCAACCGACAAGGAAGAGAAACAAAACCTCGCATTATGCATAATGCACTTAACCAAAGATTCTTCTAAATAGTCTAGATTCATCACAAACTCACATTTTCTAATTTCTTTACCTTTGCAACTTGATATTGTAAACCTCAACGACAACAGGTTGCAAAAATAAAGTGATTCGAAAATTTGAGTTTTAGTATAGCAATCATGGTTCCTCCTCCCAGATGTTGTATAAGATGCTTTTTGGTCAGGTTGCTGGTACATTATAAGAACATTAAAATTTTAAACATCTAACATGATTGGGAATTTTATGTCCTCAGAATGAACGGAATATATCAAATGAGTTTTTATTTTAAAACGTGGTTATTGTTTATTGTATACTAGCTGAAGGGACCGGCGTTGCCAGTGGAAAATTTTTTTGAAAATTTATTTTTTGAAGTAAAATAATTTGTTTAGCCCCAGGCTACATGATGTAAAACAAGAATTGTGACAGAGTATCTGCAGACGTGTGAGCACCCTGTTTAATTGCTTCGACCAATATTTATTTTATTTTATTATTTTAAAAAATTTAAATTTGGAAAAATAATGAATGCTAAAAAAAGACATGTAATAATCGTTTAGATTGTATCCATTTCTAAACAAAAAAATTCTCAATAAAAAGAAATTTTTGGTATGGGGTATGCACGAAAGATTCAATATTAGAAAAAATTAACGAGATTTGTGTTAAACATATTTTTGAACTTTTTTTCTTAAAATGCGTAAATAACCTGACAAATTATCCCAGAGGAAAAACGCGTAAAGACAAATAAAAAATTTACCAAATAAAAAGGTTGAAAAAGAAACCAAGAAGAATTAATTTGCCAACAGGAAACAAATTGAATGAATAACATGTCTCTCTATGTTTTTATCTCTGGGTGTAATCTTATTTTATAATCTTATTGTTTTTCAGATTAGCATTTGTTTGGTTCCTAATTACATAAACCAATTGTAGATATTTGTTTCCCAAGTTTGATGAGATTAGGATTGCTGTTAGAATATAGAATACGAATAGATTGGACAACATGAGGGACGTGTCAATCATCATTGTTATTTTTAGATCTTTAAACAATTCATAGATCAAAGGTGTATTATTAATTCTAATTATCTTTGAAAACTTTAATTTTTGTTTATGAGAATCTTTGGACAAATTGTTTGCTGAGATATTTCAGATTTTAAATAAGATTATTAGGTGATAAATATTTTAAAATTTTACGATAACATATTTGGGTTTAAGAAGTCACATTAACACTAATCCATGAAAAATAATGAATGCATGAATTTTGTAAACGTATATTGAATTAGTTAATTATATATATATTTCACAAACAATTAAAAAATTCATTTAAAATAAAGGAATTGAGTCTTTGCCACAAACTCCGATTTTATAATCACTATAACTTTGGAACCAAATGTTGTAGACCTTAGATATTTCAAACTATGAATTCTGTTAGAACAAATAATCTAAGTTTGAAATATCAAAGGTTTACAACATCGGGTTCTAAAGATATTGGGGTTTAAATATTTGATTTTGTTCCAAAGACTCAATTCCTTTGTTGAGATTAAACGACCATTGTTTTCATTAGATCTGAAAATTCTGGGTCCTGTTGACAATCTATAGTTGTCATATGGCAGGGGACATTAGTTCCAAACACGATTTGGAACTTTCTTTGCACTAAGTGTTAGAAATGGTTTAGAAATAATTTCCTCTGTGTTGCTTAATTGTTTTTATTTATTGAATTTTGATTGTATTTATTTAACGTGCTTTCATGTTGTATTCACATCCTGTATTTGTTTACCTGAATTTTCTAAATCGAAGTTTATTTCTTCATTAAGCCCAGGAGAATAGAAGAACTCCATACTTGGACCAGGTTTACTGAAATATATCATTTCTAGAGTTTATTTTAAAAAAGGTCAAAACAATTTGGTTATAAATCGCAAATAAAATCTGAAAATTAAATAAATGAGCAGGGGTCAAGGGGGCAAGACCACCAGCATACGCGGCCCTGATATCCCATTAAAAGTAAAACTAAACCCTCTTGGAATATCTTTATTTTTATAAATTTTTATACAAAAAAGCTACTTTAAACTTTTTAACTTTGAAACTTTGAAACTTTGAAACTTTGAAACTTTGAAACTTTAAAATAGTTAAAGATATTTATCAAACTAACAGAAAATGAGCCAAATGAGCCAAATGATTAATTAAAAATACTAAGGAGCTGGTAACTATCGTCATACTTTAATTTGCAATGTATTTACATATAATGTATATTTATACGTTTGAGACCTTTAATATTTCAGAATACGAATTCACCAAGGTCAAATATACAAAGTTTAAAATATAAAAAAATACATTAACTAAGATTCGAAAATTAGAGTTGTTAGGCCAACAAGAAGTCAGTTTCTTAAAAAATCATTTTTAATTTCGATTTTTACTTAATAATGACAAAGAATGCTGGGACTAGATGGAGCTACAAACTATTTTAGAGAAACCTCTAAAATTTCTAAAACAAGTAATTAATACCCGCATCTTTTTTAACTTTAACGCACTTTGAAAATAATGCAATTTAGAAATTTAAATAATCGGTTTCAAAACGCCAAAAGGAAATCAATAAACAATTTGAAACTTTTCATGGTTGTTCGTATTATGATCTCCAAGTCAATTAAAAAACAAGAAAATTGAAAGATGTGGATTTTTTCCGTCCAAAGACTGAGTCTTTGTGTCCGCCTAGTTTACAAGAAAGGTATTTCAAACTTCAATCTTAGATTTTTCTGCTCAAGTAAACTGAAAGCGGATTTTTTCCAAAAATATTTGAAACTGGGTAAAAAAAACAATTTATTGATTTTATTTAGAAATTTTGATAAAAATGAAAAAAAACTATATATAGATCTAATAATGTTCAGCGGTGTATTGAGATAAAGGGGGGGGGGGCTTTTTCAGAATTTAGAAATCTAATTTTAGTTTTGATAATATTAAGGTGTAAAGTAGGGGGGCAATCAAACGCATTTGTTACAAAAGGTGGAGATGTGGGGGGGGGGGGGTTTTTTCGTCATCAACGGGGTGGAGAGAGGGGAATCATTTTTTACTCCGCAAATTTTGTCGACTCTGAAACAAAGGTTGTGAGAACTGTTTCCATGAATCATAAAGAGGGAGTGCAAAAGCAGATTATATCCTGGGGCATTTTATAAGCCCCCCCCCCCCCCCAACCATATTATGGTCACACGCCTGTACAGAGAGCACGTAGAAAAAGTGAGAGCTGTAGCTAGATGAATGAATGTCTAGAGAAGGAGAAACGGAGATTTCTCTTCAACAAGTGCTGCTGACAACATGAGAAATATTTCATTGTTTTATTCTTTATTTTGTAAAAAGAAATTAAAAATTAGACCGTATTTTGATAAGTAAATTGAAAGAAAAAAGAGCCTGAAACTGAAACATATAACAATACCTTGATATTTTTAGGTTACAGGAACATTTTCTTATTCTCTGAATACGTACTGAGTGTTGGGGGTTCTGATAAACACTGGTGGAGGTCCTAGCCCCCCCCCCCTCTCCCTCGCACCTACCCCTGTGCCCCTCTCTTCTCTTTTTGGAGGCTGCCAGCCTCAAACCTTATTCAGAGGTTGTGCACATTGCGCCCTCCTTTCTTCCTAATTAAACAGTGTGAGTAACAAAAAGCAATTACAATGAGTAAATTTTAAATTGTTTGAAAGGGAAATTTTAACGTCAAACCATAAAGACCTAAAGTATAACGAAATTTTTCCTGTCGTTTTCGTATGTTTAACCAAACTTGTTTAATTGTACAAGGGATTATAACATTTGAAATAGATCTAAACATATATAAAACGCCATGATGAGAGGGTGGGGGGTGGTAGGCACGCCACACCCATTTCTCTTCCCGTCCGCAACAATAAAATTTTTTTGTATATACCTGCGGATGTTTTTAAAGGTAGAGATAAGATAGACAGATAGATGTAATATTTCTGATAAAGAATTATAAGGATTCCTATCATAGAGAGTAGAATATATAGAGAGGAATTTACTAGAAAAAAGTGTAAAACGGCCATTTTGTTGTACTGTTTCCATACTGCAGGTGTACTTCACATATTTATGCTATATAACCTGTTGGGCCCTGGAATATCATTTTATAGAAAATCTCAAATTATTGTTAAAATGAAACCCAAATTATGAAATAGGCTGGTTTCATAACTGACCAATGATCATTTCACATAGACTCTATGCCTTTCACTTTACAAATGATGATTTTCCGTTATAACTATAAATCAAATGATGTTTTTATTCACCTAATTCATTATAAAGTTTATTTAACAGTTTAAAAAATTCGAAATTGAAATGGATAGTCTAGGGAACATACTGTATTAATGTACTCTACTGCATATAATTTGTAAGCATTTACATGACTTGTACACTTTGAACTCCCTTTCAGGCTGAAAGGGACTGAAAAAATTCATACCGGAGATTCTTTTAATTCCTCTCTATATATTCTATTCTCTATGATTCCTATACATCGTTGTGGAGTGTAGATTTCAGATGTCCACTGGAAATCAAGTTCAGCGGTTGAATTGCTGCAGACTATAGCCGGTTATCCAGTTATCCATGTTGCGAAGATATTAGGGCTAGAAAATTAGAATTAGTTGCAAGTGTTCAGTTCCGTTATTCAATAAACTCTTCTCGAAAATTGGAAAATAAACCTATAGCTTTATTGTATATTTTTTTATATCTAAAATTTCGTAATATAGTTTGAATAAAAAATACGAGAATTTCTTTATCAGCAAAACGTTTCCGGATTATATCAAAAGTTTTTACAGTAATCAACGTGATCAGAAATTATGAATAAAGATGAATGTTATTGTGGAAAACTTTTTATTTGTACTAGATAAATTATGACTAAACCAGCTGATATGGTTTATGCTGAACCATGAATGAGCGAAAGCATTTTATCGAAAAATAATATTAACTGAGTTGGGAACCCTTGTTTTGTGGATAAATTTAATCTGTATTTGATATCTGCAGTGTTGACCCTCAAATTAAAAGTGTCCATGCTGTGGATTGTTCCACTAATTGCAAGGGGCTGATCTTTTTGGAATTAAAAAGTCTGAAGAAAATTGTAGAATCCTCCTTTAGGCCACTTATACAGATCGAGAGAGTTATTTATTTTTGATATTTTCAAGGGTTTGTAGTCTAAAGAGAAATATCCACATCAGGCGCGTATACAGGTGGTGGTGGGGGGGGGGGGGTTAA